GGGGGCACCTTCTCGTGAATTTCATAATTTCTGGAAGCAAAGCGAAGTCCGGCCAGAAACCGTTCGAAGTTACTTTAGAAATCGGGAGACCTTCCACGAGTTTAAATTGCCTCGAGTATTTCGTTAATTTTACATGTCTCTAGGCGGAATTGCTGAAACTGAAATTGGAACGTGCGGCCATGTTGGTAGACGGTCTCTCCGGCGAAAAAATACGATGGGAACTGACGGTGAAATCGCTTGATGAATATTTTGATTGGCTCCCTGGAGATTGTTTGATATCGACAGCCTTTGTTTCCTACCTGGGACCTTTCGTATCTAATTACAGGGAAGCTCTAGTCGATATCTGGATCAAGGAGGTAAGCGATAAGAGAGAATTAATGAGCACAAGAGAGATGGTTGCGGTTGCGGGTTTGCTTAAAAGTTTTTGCCGCTTTCGCATTTACAACAACTGCCGCGTGTCTGACACTTTTTCATTAAGTATTTAGCAAGTACTGTGGCCTCTGAGAATAAAGAAACGCGTGCTGAACGTCGACGGTAATAATGCTTATTGCGGGCAAACGTTTTGCGTTATTTATCGTTGCGAATTAGGTTGACGTACGTTGGAATGCTGGTCCTTCGCTATATTACGTATTAAATGTAGTTGATGGCGAATGTAATAATGTTTCTTGTCGAGAAAGTGTCATGGTCGCTACAAAGGTTTGACGTCAAAAAAAAAATTCATTACTAGAATGAAAGAATATTGCAGAAATTCACTCTATCACGCTTTCTGTTGATTAAATACTAATTAAATTTAATTTCATTCAATCTACTGCCAGATATGACCTTAAGCTCGTATAGAGATTGAATGTTATTACTCGTTCTTCAGTGTAAATAATCTGTATAGGAAATTTCGTCGCGATTTACTTTCCAAATAGTAAATAATTAGCACACTAATTCTATAATAAATATCGATATACACATTAGTTATCTTTAATTCTTCCTGTTTTTAATACTTCAAAAAATTTGATTCAAAAATACTTAAAGGTACGTGACAAAGAAATTCCTTCCTCCCCGAATTTGGATGTCAAAGAATTCCTGAGTGATCCTACTACCATTAGAGAGTGGAATATTCAAGGCTTGCCATCCGATGGATTTAGTACGGAAAATGGAATTATAATAACGAGAGGAACACGCTGGCCATTAGTTATCGATCCTCAATGTCAAGCAGTGAAATGGATCAAAAATATGGAGTCGAGAAACGTACATCATTACGCCTTCTGATAATAATATCGTGAATCTCTTAGTTTCCCTTATTCTCAATTTCGTGTTCTAAAACGATCTACAGATCACGTACTTTTCCCAAATTAAAATATTTTCATTTTATATCCAGGAACTCAAGGTCATAGATTTTGGCCAACCAGATTTTATGAAATCCCTTGAAAATGCGATACAATTCGGTAAGCCTATTCTACTACAAAACGTGGGCGAGACACTGGACCCATCATTAAATCCAATTCTTCAAAAAGCCTTTATTAAAACAGGTTCGTATAAACAAGTGATATAACATATAAAAATAATTGACTATCTATAAGACTGAGATTTTTCGAAAAGCTAAAAATAATTCTCATTCTCGTCAAAGAATTACTTATAAATAAAAATGATAATACGTTCTACAGGTGATCAAGTAATGATAAAATTCAACGACAAGGTGATAACGTACAATGCAAAATTTCGGTTATTCATCACCACTAAGTTGGCGAATCCACATTATGCTCCAGAGGTATCGACAAAAACCACCCTGTGCAATTTCGCCATAAAAGAACAAGGTGGCTAACACGTTCACGAGACAATTGAAACGGAGCACGGCAATCAAACTGTTTTCGCAATGTCCTTAGGTCTGGAAGCTCAGCTTCTTGGTATAGTGGTGCGCAAAGAAAAGCCTCGATTGGAAGAACAAAAAGATACCCTCGTTGTGACCATCGCCTCTGGAAAACGAACTTTAAAAGACCTTGAGGACCGAATCCTCTAGTATGCTTCTTTACACCCCACGTATTGTTCCATTTAGAACGACTGTTCTCTCAACATTATATTTTTCAGTCTTCTGAGCGTAACCAGTGGCTCTCTATTGGACGATTTAGATCTATTGAACACCCTGCAAACATCGAAGAGTACATCCATTTCGGTTCAGGAATCATTGGTGATATCTGAGGAAACGGAAAAGGAAATTGATCTGGCTCGCGAAGGATATAGACCTTGCTCAAAACGAGCCTCTATTCTCTTTTTTGTACTTAATGATATGAGCCTTATTGATCCGATGTATCAATTTTCTTTGGATGCGTATATTGCTCTTTTTATGATATCCATTGATAAAAGTCCTAAGAATTCAAAATTAGCTGACAGAATTGATACTCTAAATGACTACCATACATACGCTCTATATAGGTAAGTGTGGAACTTTGTAAATCAGATCAATTAATATCAAGGAATATTTATTCATATTTTTGTATCGTACGGTTCCTAAAAACTTGATGCAAAATTTGATAATTAAAAAAGTTTTTTATTTCTAAGCAATATTTGCATATATTATATCCATAATAAGTATGACTAAATTTACATCAATAATTTACGTTAACGAGTATTACGTGGTAACCAATAAATTATATTGGTTTAATTATGAGTTGCTGCGTGTAAATTATATTGTTCGTTAAATAATATATGTATAATTATATATTTATGATGATATTAATTACCCTAAAGGAACACGTGTCGAGGCCTCTTCGAGCAGCATAAACTACTCTTCTCGTTTCACATGTGTATAAAAATAATGGAGGCTGAGGGGAAAGTGATCCAAGGAGAATATAACTTTCTCCTGAAAGGTGGAATCGTCCTGGACAGAGAGAACCAACCGGACAAGCCGGTCCCGTGGCTTCCGGATGAGACCTGGGACAACATAACGGAGCTTGACAAACTTCCAGGATTTCATGGTGTTGCAGTATCATTCGAGCAATTTCCGCGAGACTGGCACTCTTGGTATGGCCCGTGTATCTCTTATCATAATTTTCATATGCATAGATACAAGCCTCAAATATTTACACTTTCAGGTATATACACACCGAGCCGGAAACGATTCACTTGATAGCCGAATGGGAAGATAATTGTAACGAATTTCAAAAAATGCTATTCATAAGAAGTTGTCGTAGCGACAGAATAACATTCTGTCTAACAACATTTATCGTACACAATCTGGGTCAACGTTTTGTGGAACCACCTGTACTAGACGTAAAGGCTGTACTAGAAGATTCTGTCGCCCAAAATCCATTGATATTTGTTCTGTCACCTGGAGTTGATCCCACTAGTGCTTTGATGCAATTGGCTGACAGTCAAGATATGATGGACAAGTTCATGGCTTTATCGTTGGGACAAGGTCAAGCACCAATAGCCACAAGGTAACGCTTCTCTTTGATCTGAGACAGATCAATATCAAAATGTCGACACATAGCCAAAGACTAAAGTATTACTGTTTCACTGAGCATAGAATGATACAAGTTGGTGCCAAGGAAGGATCCTGGGTATTCCTAGCCAATTGTCACCTATCACTCAGTTGGATGCCAAAATTGGATAAAATTGTGGAAACACTGGGGAGCAGCAGAACACTACATCCAAAGTTTAGGTAGCTTAAAGGGACATTCTCAGGTTTAGCGGCAAAGAGCAGTTCCGTGTAAAATTAACAAATCTAACTCGGTGCCCTTAATCCAACTGCAATTCTATTACGGAGTTACCATTGCCAAAGGGAATATTTGAGTCATTCATTACGTAGTTATTAACAACAAACTTTTTGATATTTGAGAAAAAACGTATCAATCTTATTTCCCAATTTCATTACGCACTTCTAATACCGCGTCGATTCACGGGCCAGTCAAAAGCTTTTAACATTTTATGAAAAAGCTCCTTTCATGCAGGTTATGGTTAAGCTCAAGCCCAACGCCAGAGTTCCCGATATCGATTCTACAGGCTGGGATAAAAATGACGACCGAACCGCCAAAGGGGCTTAAGGCCAATATGAAACGCCTCTATGGTTTAATAAGCGAAACGCAATTCGACATGTGTCTGGCTAAAGCCAAGTATAAAAAACTTCTCTACACTCTGGTCTTCTTTCACGCTGTCCTTTTAGAGCGTAAAAAGTTCCAGCAGCTAGGATGGAACGTCATATATAGCTTCAACGATTCAGACTTTGAAGTGTCTGAGAATCTTCTTCAGGTTTACCTGGACGAATATCCCGAGACTCCGTGGGACTCTCTTAAATATCTAATAGCTGGCGTATGTTACGGTGGCCATGTAACTGATGACTGGGACCGTCGCTTACTGATGACCTACGTTCAGCAATACTTCACCGACGACGTCCTCGTCGTATTCAATTACAGGCTATCGTCTTTACCAACTTATTACGTACCCCGCGATGGCTCTCTTGAATCCTACCGGGACTTCATTACGATGCTTCCAAATACCGATAGACCGGAAGCCTTTGGTCAGCATCCCAATGCTGACATCACGTCTCTCATAACCGAGACCAGGAGCATGTTTCAGACACTCATGAGTTTACAGATTCAAGCAGTATCCAGTGATGAGGAAACAAACAAGGAGGATAAGGTACAGCACTTTCTGTATAATAAAAATATATTCAAACAATCAAATGACTTGTCATACCAATTTTTAGGTCATGCAACTGGCTGGGGACATTGCGTCAAAAATACCAAATATAATTGATTATGAGACCACAGAAAGATTAATTGGGCCCGTTAAGACTCCTTTGGATGTTGTCCTCCTACAGGAAATACAACGTTATAACAGTCTCTTGGTAAAGACACGTTCCAGCCTGGAAGATCTTCAACGCGGAATCAAGGGTTTAGTTTTGATGTCTGCCGAACTCGAGGATATATTTACATGCATGTACGAGGGGCGAGTGCCATCCCTATGGCTTACAGCTTATCCGTCCCTGAAACTTCTCGGCTCGTGGACTAGAGATCTCATAAGTCGAATCGAGCACTTTGCGAAATGGGCGGAAACCATTCGACCGCCATTGCTATTCTGGTTGGCCGCTTACACTTTCCCCACGGGATTTCTCACTGCTGTCCTTCAGACTTCCGCCAGACTCTGGAATATATCGATTGATTCGTTGTCCTGGGAGTTTACTGTCTTCACAGTTGAGGATTCCGCTATAGTCGAACCACCCGCCGTGAGTCTTTTACGTAATTAACTTTCCTAAAGGACCTACAGAATCGCCATATATAGCAACTCTTCACATTTCTCAACTATCCGTTCCCATAGGATGGCGTATATATTCGATCGATGTTTCTTGAAGGTGCCGGATGGGATAAGAAACATAGTCTACTAATAGAACCGGCACCGATGCAGCTTGTGTGCAATATGCCAGTTATATATTTTAGACCAATGGAACAGCTGAAGAAAAGGACCAGAGGTAACTTAATTTTTTTTATTAATCTGCAACTACAATTTTATAGTTTTTCTAAATACTTTTTATTTTTGCAAAATTTGCTTCAGTTTCATTTTAGTTAGGTTAGGTTTATGAGTTAGGTTGGCTTATCTCGTGCAACGATGCAGCAATTCCATTTACTTCGTTACACTACCGCTATAATTTTATAGCTTGCCTCTTACATTGCACGTTACTTTCGCAGGGTTGTATAACTGTCCTTGTTACTACTATCCGCAAAGGTGCGGAGCTCAGGGTCGTCCGGCGTATGTTGTAGCTGTTGATCTCAAAGCAGGCACTGAAGGTTCGGATTTGTGGATAAAACGTGGTACCGCACTTTTGTTGAGTTTAGCAGTATGAAACTATAGTTCGTTATACAGTTTTTTTTTTAATTAAGTATTCTATGTGACACGTGTAGTTCATTAGTATGGATTTCATTAAAATGTTATGCTATCAAAACTTATCATTTTTATTTGAAAGAAACAGAAATTTTTCTTTTTTTTAATTTAATAATGGATTTGACATGTGTGGGAGTAAGCAAATAATTTCCACTGATCCATAAGATTTCAAGGTGAATGTGTTATTTATTCGTAAAGTATGCTTTCGTCGTTACATCATTGAAAACGATGTTGTAGATTATTATTATGTAAAAACAGACTAGTAAATGCATTCGGAATAGTTTTGTATATGATAAATCTATGTATGTAATAATAAAACTGTCATTGCCGTTATAACAGAAGCTTTAATCTGTATTGCATTTAAAAAAAGTATTCCATTCGTTTTCAAACACCATTTTATTAGTGTTTAATCGTATTGAAAAAGAAATGCTTGTAAAAAATAGCACATTGTTTGAAGCTCCTAAGATATCTCAATTAAATTATTCTCTCATACATTTATACCCACTTATAACTAAAATTAATAATTTGTAAAATCATTGTCAGACAATATTTATATAGTATAAATATGTATATATATGCGTTCGAACAAAGCATTTATAATGTTCATAAAGGAATCATTGTCAAGTGTTCATAGAAAAATGAAAATGTAAAAAATAATTCCATCAACAACCTAATGTAAAAATATTTTAATAACGCTGAGTGTCAGAATTAATATTAATCTATTTCCATAAGGAAGAAAATCTACTGATATTAATGGTGAGGATGAGGATGCGAGATTCTCAATTTCATCCCGCTTCCCCTGAATAATATCTTGGAGCTCATCGAACATATTATGTACAGAATCCTCATACTCGTCCATACTGGGATCATCCACTGAAGGTTTAAGATCTTGAATTTCGGTAACCACATCAGAAATCGTCTTATTTATGCTACGCATAAAACGTGCCCAATCGGTCGGTGCGTCCGGTACAGCTTTCAGAATGGGAGCGGGATTCAGATTTTCAAATTTATCACGAGCTTCAACTAAAGCCTGTTGTAGACTACCAGATTTTGGATCATTCGAAGAAGGCACGCTCAAACTGACATCATTGAAAAGATTATTAACAGTCATGGAAATTTGAGCCTGAAAGTCGTCCCAGTCGAAATCATCAATTCCCTTTGTTGAATTGTCCTTATTAATAACTTTGTTTTTGGACACCTTACTTTTAGTCTTGGTTTTAGGCTTTTTCCCCCCTCCTGCAGCGTCGTCTTGTAATTTTGTAATATTTTGTAATGAAATTATTTCATTTTTCAGATCCGTAAAGTACTTCGACATCGAGGCTTTGAAATTCAGCCAGGCGGTAGGATCAGTGTGATTTGTGATTTTTATTAAATCCATTAGGGTAGCGTTAAGTTCGTTCTTGAAATCGAGCCATTCCGCTTCTGGTATAACAGGAGTCGTAGGATCTGGCTTAAACGCTGCGATATTACGTTTGATTTCAGAAAACGAGTTGTTTGTGAAATCCTTAAATGCCCGTAGCGACTGGAGATCCTGTGGCAGAACGTTTACGGGCACGACGTCCTTGATCTTCGCTTTATCCGGCTTATATCCTTTACTCTCGTCTGCCTGAACCTTCGATAACCATTCTGCCTTTATAGTCGCAATTTCGTTCTTTATATCCGCAAATTGATCTTTGACGGTGTCTCCAAAGGACATCCGCGCTGCGTCTCCCGAGAGGGCAGAACGTACTTTAATATGGTCGATGGCAGTGGTCAAACTTTTATTAATTTCATTTTTAAACTCCAGCCAATCACTCTTCAATTCCAGTAACTTCACTCCCGATGGTTTCGGTCTGAGAGCAATCACGTCGTTCTGCAGATCTGAGAAGGACTTGTTTATGTAATCACGAAATTCCACCCATTTTGGATCGCCTGGCGCGAGTGTTCCAGAATTTACATTATCTATTAGATCACTGACAGTTTTGTTGATCTTATTCTTTAAACCTATCCAATCAAAAACCGCTACTGGGGTCGCTTTGAGGGCTGGTTTAGTTTTTGAAACCGGAATCTTGTTTTTCAAATCAACAAATTCTGCTGTAACTTGATTCCTGTAGGTTGCCCAAGTTGGATCACCAGGAGGTGGCATGTTGTCTTTAATCTTCTGAACGGCGACATCAACCGAATTTATAATTTCATTTTTAAAATTTATCCAATCATCCAGTACCGTAATGGCGGAATCTGTCATACTTTCAACAGGTACACTTGGTCTCATTATTGGAATTCCATTCTTGATACCAGCGAATTGATCTTTGATCTTGTCCCTGAAAGTGATCCAGGCAGGATCACCTGGTGGTGGCATATTATCTTTAATTGCCATAATAGTATCGCTTAAAGATGTTATAATATTATTCTTAAATGATATCCAATCATCCATTGCAGCACTGCTGTCAGCTGATATTTTCAAATTCCCTTTCGCAGTTGGGATACGATCTTTGATAGAAGCAAATTGATCTTTAATCTTACTCATAAATGTGGCCCAAGCTGGATCGTTAGGCGGTGGCATATTAATCTTAATAGAATCAACAGCATCATTAACAGATTTAATGATATCAATTTTTAATTGGGTCCAATCAGCCGTGTCAGTCGGATTATCTGATACTTTTAAAACTGGCTTCACTTTGATGCCAGCTAATTGACTCTTAATGTCAGCGAATTGACTTTTTATATTTTCTTTGAACGCCAGCCAATCTACTGTACTGGGTATACTTCCTTTAATGCTATTTACAGTATCATTCACAGATTTCATAATGTTGGCTTTAAAACTGATCCAGTCATCGATTACAGCTGTTTCATTGCCTAACCGTAACGCATGATCTTCGGCATCTTTAAGAGAGTCGTTCATAAACTTTTGCACTTCCGCATACTGAGGTAATTTCAAATCAGAAGCAAGTTTTGGTTTTGGATGTAAACCTGCTAACTGATCTCTAAGCTCGGCAAAAGATTTGTTCATCATATCTTGAACCGAAAGCCAATCGGCACTTCCAGGTGGAGGCTTGTTAACTCCAAACACGGAAATGATACCCTGAACAGTATCATTGATATCATTTTTAAAATTCATCCAGTCCACAAAGACAGGTGAGCCCGTCAAAGATAACGTGAAAGAAGTATCTTTCCACGGATTCAAAGAAGGACCAGGAATATCTTCACAGGATAACATAGGGTTATCCACCCCGATTGAACGCATGACTTCAGGTTGTATTTCAGTGACTTCATCCGAGCAATCACAGATCAATTTAGCCAGTGAACTCTTGCGCACTTCCTTAAGTTGCCCTGAAACAACAAGACATAAGGTTAAAATAGCCTTCTTAGTAAAAGACTACAATGACGAGACAAATATCTTATTGAATTACCTTCGGTAAAGGAGTGTGGCTGATCTGGTGTCTCGTACCAGTAACGATCGCCTTGCTGAAGTCTAACGAACTGATGTGAGATCAGACAGGTGAAGGTAGGTCCCAGTAGACCATCAGATGCTGGTAGTTCAGCCAGAGCCCCCGTATATAAATCAATATCATCAACGTATCGATACAATTTTGAAATTTGATCCAGAGCCTCAGAATCCAATTGATCAGAGAGATCCAAGAAGGTGGCTGGCTTACTAAGACCACAAAATTCTCTCCACTTGGTGTATCCAGGTAAACCGTGATCTCGTCCCCGCTGAATATTCAAGGACACCAAGTCGAGACCGCAAGGAACTGAGACGTTACCCATGGGGTCTTCGAACAGGTGTCTAGTGAGCTGAGATGTAACGTGAGTCGAGGTTTTCTGAATGACATTCGAGGTCGCTGAGTTGATTGAACTTTCGACACCGCCTTTGAAATAGAGGCTGTAAGGATTAAAGAGCATCCTGTGAAGTTCGAGATAAGACGAAGTTCCTTTCTCAGCATCCGTAACCCTCATCAGACCAGGAAGAAGAGTATGAGCGAATCTGAATGCTGCAGCTGCAAAATTATTAGCAATCGAAGGATCCACCTCAGAATTATAGTTTCCTCGATAACCAGACGTTAATGGTTTCAAATTTCGAAGAATGGTCTCGCGCTCTCCCAAGATAATAGGAATAAATTCCCGATAAGTAATGTGCTGAAGTTGAGCACCAATAACGCGTCGCGTCTCTTGGTAGAGTTTCTCATCGTCCCAGAAAGGATTCATATCCGCAAAAATTTTTGCTATCCTATTGTGCTGTCTCGCCCACAAAAGATGCATGGTGGTCAAGTGAAGATTCTCGTTGGCCCTGCCGTCCCCAGTGGCGAAGCAATAACGACCACGTGCAAACTCCAATTCTCTGTTACATCCGTCCCCAAGATTGGTACTGGCAGGTAGTAAAGTTCTATTGTCAGATGTAGTCTGCATCCTGAGAAGACCACCAACACCTGAGCGAAGATCCCTGGATGTGGATACATCAGGGCCGTAGATAGCAGAGCCATCGATAAATGCACTGACCTGTAAGTTCAAAATAATGAGTTCATGTTAATTTAAAAAAAAATAATTCTCACAGAATATTCTGTTGAGAATACTATGTAACCTGGTTCAATTGCTGACGAGGTCCAATTTTACACTGAGGCGCAGATGCAGATCTGACAAACTCCATGCAGGAACTTCCAGCGATATCGTATACAGGATCTCCTGGACCAACCTCTACAGGGAAGCATTCAGGATGTCCATTCGATGGAGGGCAACAAGAAAGACTACTGCCATTTTGACCCTGACTGATGGCCGTGGCAGTGATATCATGATCCAGAAACTGTCCAAAAACAGCCAGCATCACGGTGAAAGACGGATTTGTACTAGGAGAAGGTGGATGAACTAGCAAGCTGACTTCCCTCGCCGAAGGAAGTTCCTTCCCGAGCTTCCCCTTCCTCGGCGCGTTTATTCCATCCGCGTAATCCGGCGGAAGTATCCTCTTGAAGGCCGTCAAGGATGCACCTTTTTGCTCAGGATGATTACAAGTTCCGTCAAATGTCCTATATATACCACTGGTGCAATTTATCCTTGAGAACTCTCTGCAGGTATCGGTTGGTATCCAATCCGCTTGGAGGGCAGTACCGACGGGGAAGCTCTTCCCAGCAAGGATCCTGACTTCTTCGATTTTCTTCGTTGCTGCCAGTTCACCAACCCCGATCAGAGCTAATTCACCAGCCCGAACGCTGGTGCTCACTGCGTACTGATGCCTGGAATTTGGCGACGGACCCGATAACGGCGTTGCTGCCTCGTCAGCAACACGACGTTCCTCGATTGCCTGTTTCCCTGCTATAATTCCATCCTGGAGTTCCTCATCAGTCAAGGCGTCGGATGATGATTCATCCATGTCAACTAGCTTCGTGAACGAAGTTACCCATACTGATTTAAGAAGATTCGTTGCTGCGCCACTAGTTGCTGACACGTTCGTTACTGCATTGCTGCTCCGCATGGAGTAGCTGACCGAGGCTACAAGGGCCATCACAAAAATGACTCTGAAAAGGAATTAGTATGTGAAGTAAAAAGTGTTGTCCGTGAGTGTAGGTTATATTGCGATATCTTTTAATTTCGAAATTGGAAATATAGGATATCTATTATCATATATGGCAAAGGGGGATAAGGACCAGACGTAAATCCATCCTTGTGATTTCCAATTACGTTTATCATTCATATCTTGTTATGATAATGTGACATGTAGCTAAACGTGACGTCACTCTTCATGGTTAACGTAATGTACGACCAATGCCATATGACTTCCTTCTAATAAATGTTAACCATATATATACATTTTCAAATTCAACGCAACTCGTTAAATATTTTCTGTATTTCATAATAAAACACGATTGCATAAAACATAAATTGTGAATCGATATGGCAGAAAGAGACTTCGTGTGTGATCGTTGCTATGTGATTTTCTCCTAATAACCGTCAACCAAGAATGTACAGTTCCAAATTCAACGGAATTCGCTCTCGTTAAATATTTCCCAGATTTCAGAATTAAATGCGATGGCATAAAACATAATTTATGAATGGCTACTAGGGGAAAAAAAATTTACCAGGGAATAACGAGCCAACGCAAATGAACTTTTAATTAATTGCTAAAAACATGAAGTTCCAAACTCCATTAGTGAATTCGCACGCGAAGGATCGATCGATGGGAAAAAAAAAGCAACTTACACAACGAGGAGAAACGTCAGACACTGAAGTTGTCGTTCCTTTCTACGACGTGTGTAAAATGGATGCACGCCATTGTCTACGTAAAAGGGACAAGGAGTCGTTCTGGATGACAAATTCGTCAACGGTGTCTTCTCGGTAGACATGTTGTGCAGAAACGGCGTGTTAAATGGCTACTGCATTGCAACATATTGAATGCCACTGAAGCAGGCAATATTCTTACGTAAACCATACGAGTGGGAGGAATTTTTCTTTCATTTATAAAATGGTAAAACAACGTGAATCATTAATGGAGCTATGGGTCGACCAGTTTTAATAGCAGCGATGCATAATATAGTTACGTTACGTATACTATACACATATACGAGCGCTTCCATTTTGTCATGTATTCAAAAGCTAAATAACGCCCATATGCCTTTTTGCTTGAAATTAAAAAAAGAAACTCCCTTTTAAAATGCAGTTCCATGCGGACTGTGCTTTACGCTCTTTCTTTCCACGGGTATACTTTCTTCTCTATTTTTCTGGCTCCCGGCTTCTGTGCTTCCCTTCGTAAAGTCGCACTCGGTCCTCAACGTAATGGCGATTACCATAAATTTCCCTAACGAAAAGATTCGCTTTCTTCTTATTCGGGTCGACCTGTACCTTGGTAATACGTAACGTGATGGTAACGTCGACGAGCGCGAGAACCGCAAAGCACCGTAAAGTACTTTTCGCAATAAATAGAGTGACATGCGGTGAGGATGTAGTTAATGCTTCGCTGTATCGCGCCATTACACTTCAATATACCAGGAACGAATTGCTATTTTCTACTGTCCCCGTATGACGTCCCTGTTACGGTGTAATTAATTTCTAGCCTATTGCCAAGAATAACTAGGAAATTTATTAACTCGGAAATACAAAGACAATGGTTGCCTACCCTGCACAATAGTATAGATTATCTTTGTTATTAAAATCAATGGAGCAAGGATGGATTGTTTACGTTTAATACTCACATGAAAGTTGCGCAAACGCAGCATTGTAATTGGCGAACTCTCATTCTTCGATTTCGTAGCAGAGATGAAAACTCGACGTAACTTGGCACATCCGATGGCCTGGTCAATGGCGTCCTTTCCGTTGGTGACATTATTTTAACTTTTCAACTATTCAACCTGGCAGAAATGGATTCTCCAGTCGTTGGCGACGCACTGTTGTTGAAGGATGGTTTTCAACGAGGATTATTTATACTTGTCTTAATTGTTTAACTGTTTACAGAGCAGGGACGAGTGAATCGTTAATGAGCGACCCACTGTGAATCCCAAAAACTGTAAAACTCGTTACACCTATTCGATCCAACTAAATTCCTTTGATGATCTTTCGTCTAGTAAGAATTCGTTAATTTATTCCAACATAGTCTTGTCTGACGTACTTTTCTTCGCATACTTTCAATAATTTATTGTCCGCTTTATATACATTTATAAGTCAGTGTTTTTTCTTTGAAAAATATTACATTGACCGATGATGAACGTTACGATTAAGCACTTTTATATTTCACGTGAACTCTTCTTTTATATAAATTATCACACTTTTTAAGTAGTTAGTTCACAGTTAATACGACTATAGAAATTACATAAAAGAAATGAATAAATATGTACTTCGTTAAAATTCACTAAAGATTTGCATGAAAATAATGACATTCAGGAAAAACGACTTAGGACAGTCATATAGTAATTGTATAAATTCCATATTTTTATATGACTGGGTATACGAGTTATATAAATACGATAAACATGTGTGTGTACTCAGTAATTAGTCAAGAACGGAGCAATTAAATGAGTAATAAATTCAGCAGCCTAATGCACAAGTTCTGAATCGAAGTGAAGATAGAAAATGCTTTAGTTTCATGAACCCCAATATTTTGTCTAATCGCAACTGAATCCACCATTTGGCTGTAAGAAGTAAGAACGTGTACTGAGTACACGAGTATAATTACGAAGACAGAGTGAAAGTATTAGAATGAGGCTAATAAGAAATGATTAACATTTAGCATTCTATCGTATTTACGTAACATCACTAGGAATTTATATCACGTTAAAGCTGCTAGTAAATAACCGTATGCGTAAATAGACGCGACGTAGTGGACGTCCATCCGAAGACTGGTTGCATTACGTAAGGTGTACTATCCCTCTGGGGGCGTATGAAATGTGAGTGGAATCAACTTTTATCCGGTGGTCGACCGAGGATAGTTTATTCAGTGTAAAGAAACTTGAACGTATCAAAATACAGAATTTAATCTTGAGTAGGGATGCTGCTTTTTTCGAATTTCACATTAGACGAAGCCCCGGAAATATAATATTAATTAATTACCATTGAATATTGTTAAGTTTATTTATTAAATTGTAATATCTTAATGGTAGAATATCGAACGATTTCTAAGATAATTAATGGACATATGTTTTTAGGCCACCCTGTATATATTCTACACGACTGGAGTGTCACAAGCAGACGGCAAAATGGCACGGAGATACTCGTGAGAATTGTTTCTGTACAGACAAGACAATGCTCCGCTATCACTGTCAATGTATACCACGAAACGTGAGTCTGACACGTTGTCTCAGTCCAGAAACACAGGATAAAAGTGAATTCGGTCCAAAAAAGGAAACGGATCCATCAATCCTATAGTGATAGATACTCGATCCAGCTTCTATCAAGAAAAAGAGTAGATCCAATTTGAACTCGGTTTCCGTAACTGACAAATGATAGGTATTATTTATCTTTGTATTTTCCTTTAATAAGAGTTCAAGAAAAATAGTGTAAACAGATATCTAATGAAGAAATTGAAAATATTCTTTAAAGTCTTTGTAGACGCTTAAATAAATTAATTTTTCTGTCCTTTCTTATACAATCCATACGTTGCTTTCATTTGTCCAGTTATAAATTGCGCAACAATAGTTCCGATCAGTAACCTGTTTTATCATATAGAACGTGTAAATTGATATGACGAAACACTTGTATGATTTCTTTGGCGGGCTTCATCGATGTACCATACCGTGTGGTGAAAAGATACAAAGACAAATTCTGTTCGTTATAATAGTAACAATAACCGAAAATATTATTTGTACACAAAAATTTGCATCGTATCTGATTTCAATTTATGTTATAGGAAGTCATATGCGGATGTGATAGAAGCGTATAAAATATAATGAACCATGCTTCAGATGGATATATAAATTATTTATTTTCTGGACCTAATAATAAATATTCTGAGAAGAAGAAATACCACAAGTAAGACCGAATCGATAGAAGGAATGTTCGGATTATTCAGTGCAACAAAAATTGTAGCGCTTCGGTGCACGAAGTTCGAGCCACTGTTCCTGATTTGGTACATACATTTCAGCGGGCATCCGTTCCAAACCAAGAGATTCCGGCGATCCGTTCTCATCCGTCATCCGGGCTAAAATATGGATAACTATTACCATCTCGCTTTCTCTATGCTCTAATGTTTTTATCATTAGGGAGGTCAAAGTACCCGGTCGCTTGTGCATCGCTATGGCTTCACCAGGATGTCTTAGTAGAAGACGGCCTACACCTTCGCATCGTCTTAATACTTCGTTCTTCAAAAGATGACTCCTCACGTTTTGAGAAATTATTGCACAGTCTGTGACCCACGTCGATACATATGCAAAATCTGTCAAAAGTTGTAATGCACCCCATTCACTGAAACACATAATATTAATAAAAGTATTGTACTGTGTTATGAATAGTAATTCGATAAAATATTTAATATCGTGTATTTATCAATATCAAATTATATGAATTTTATGGGAGTTGTCATAATAATGAAATTACCTGAACTTTATTCGATGTAAATAAATGTAATCCAACCACGCTTCGCACATGATTTTCAAAATCATATTAGAAACCTCAGGATCCTCGATCACTTCCAACACGGGTAATAATACTCGCTCTGAAAGATAAAATTCGTTCAAACTGAGAAACTGGATAGAAGTTTAAGGTCTTGCGGAGTGCCGCGTAAATTATGAGTGAATTCATGCACCAGGAACTCTGAACATAAATTAAAAACGAGACTGTACCAAAGTATGTTTCAACGTAGAGACTTGCGGCAACAGGAACATCGTTTCTACTTGTCCTCCAGTAATTACGCCGAGGGAAGCACATGTGTAAATTGGCGAGACTCACAACACGGCAAATTATAGCCAGAGTGTCAATACATTTGGCAGGCGACTCCTAAATATAATACAAACGATAATCAATCAAGTAACAGAATAAACTCTAATGGATAGCGAGAGATTTTCGTTTTCAATCGTCAGCAAATTTCGATATTTTTAATCATTATTTGCATGTGCATTCATTATCTCTCGCTTGGTAACTCATTAGGGGTTCATGATAAGCACATGAAATAACACACGTACACCTGCGCAATAAATCCTTATCCGTGATAATTAACGATCATCGATAAAGCAGTTATTTCACTAGGGATATAGAACGATAAAAAAAAATCATTTATTCTACAAACTAGCACAGTACCTTCAGTAATTGAATATTTGCCTGAACTTCGGATACAATCTTCGCCCTCATTTTCGCACATACGTAAACCTGCACGTTGACTATTTCCGTCGTCAATGCATTTGTATGATCAGCAAGCTGCAGTGAAGAAACTCCGTATGAGAAGTTCCCCTCCAAAAAAAAATTGAAAAAAACTAATACTACTATAAGTGCCAAAAAACTAATCGTGTACAGTGAATAACAAAAATTGTCAAAAATATATAGTTCCTCACTTCCGAGTAACATCTAATACTCTACTAGCCTTCAAATACGAGAGCTCTTCATTACAATTCTTGAGATCACCCTTGACCAAAAGAAAAAAGACATCTAGGTCCCAGGTGTGCGCAATGAGTTTGGCTTCCTGCATAGCCCACAGTCTCATAGTATGGATCGAATGATCTAATCTATGAAGCACGAGTATCTGCTCCGATAATGGAAGCTCAGCTAAGGGTGCGCCAACGACCCACTCGCCGCCAACTTCACACTCGTTACTCAGAGTAACCAGTAATTGAAAAACCTCACAGAAATTTTGCCCGGTGTCCGTGCCCTAAAATTACAGTCACACCATAAGATATGTACCACGACTAAGATAACTAAATTATCTGACAAACTGACCTCGGTAGACGAGGGCCTCGATTGGCACTCAAAAGCTGATGTATAAGCAAGTCTGAAGAGTTGATCCCAAGCCGTAACGGTTACGTGACATCCTAAGGCATCACAGAGATTCTGCAAAGCCGGTCTGACTGTCGGTGGGACTGTAATAACATAATAAATTGAATACAGATGTCTTTAGGAACAATGCATCACCCAATGTCACACTTACCATCCCTCCCTTGTGTGAATTGATGTAGCCAATCTTTAAGATGTTGGGATCCGTGACTGTGACGAGCTGCTAGAGCCTCAGGGGACCACCATAGAACCACGTGGTCTAAAATACTGGATACAGCACCCCAGGCAACTTCCTGATAATAGTCCGTGACTTTCCTCACTGCGCTTTTCCTCACCCTTGTTTCACCTGACACTGACAACCCGTTGGAATCTAATTAGTCGCAACGCAAACAAAAGTTCTAGACGCGTTCGAAACGGGTTGATGTGATGCTGAAACGATAACTGGTGTCGACTTTTACTTGACAAATTCAAAATACTCGGTAAACACTTTGAAATTGATGAACCTGAGGAAACCGAGGAAGTATAAGTTTTGTAGAAAATTCGAAAATTTATCTTTCACAGTATTGGTTAATTTAAACGCGTTGACGTTCGGTACCAATTTGTTAGTGAAATTATTTCAACAGTTAAATTATTTCAAGAACCGTTTAGACTACTCGACTAGCTTTCTTACACGTATGCGAACTGGAAGTGAACGATACGACTGAGAATACAATCCAGGATGTTACGCGCGTTAACGAGCTTGTGCTTGCTCATCTTCAACGTAAATTGCATTCCAGTATCTGACTGGTACAGTCTGGGCTGATAAGTAGTGACGGCGTACGTGCAATAATGCTAGGCATCTACTGTACCGTAAAGAGACTAATATATGCATGCTTATAAGGTTATATGGTATCGAACCATTCTACAAGAGAATTAATGGTGTTTGTAAGTATGTAGAAATGTTCGTTCTTTGGCAACGTGATTATTATCCCTAGGATATAGTACTATCTGAATAACTTTAAAACTCCCTAGCTGGCACCACTTGACTCGGTCGTATATCTCCCACTTCGTAAGGACCCGGTCGAATGCGATATATGACCTGACCCAGAAGGAGACTCAAGAGTCACTTTGTTCATCTTTCAAATAATGAGCCCTTCTAATAGTAACCTTGTCGTTAGTAATGAAATGTATAGGAAAGACTTTCTCCTTGCTGAAAATGCTTATATGGTTATCAGTATAAACAAAAGAGTTTCAAAATTGTTGAACGGTTAGTCCTGTGTGCAAAGGTCGGATGGATTTAAAGATATAAACGGAGTTCATAATATATAAAGTCAGTCTGTTCGAAATCTCTGCAGTGAATTGTCCTGCTTTGTCAGTCTATCATGGAATGAAAGTTATTTAGAACGCAGCACAAATTCGGGTGTCTATGTAATAGTATTGTAAGTACGTTCCATTACGTATAGTTTTTGTATAGAATGACAGATGAGAAAGCAATTTACTGATTTGAGAATCGGATAGAAAATTATTATAAAGTGATCGTTAATCCTAGGAGATTATTTTAGTTGATTTACTCTACCAATAAGGTCTTTTTGTGAAGAAATATTGTATCAGTCGTATTCTAAAAATTACTAAGTTTAGAAATAGCGTGTTCAGAATTTCTTTGATTAAAATATCTCATAATACAGGCAAAGGACATTGATTTCTCCATATTGGATTTTTATAATCTACTGCATCCTCGTAATCTATTTTCTGTTTTACCTTAAGGCAAATATCAAGAAATTCCTTCAAACAATTGAAAGACTTAGGCGCCGTTTCTTTGAAGATATCCAATAACTTTGAGATCGATACTGAACAATTTTGCAATCAACGTCCAAATTAAATTTACCTTTGATGAGTTTTAAAGCTTCTGCCCCAAGTAATCGAGGTGACACGTCCTTGGCGATATTCAACAGTCCAATTACCTGCTGGTTCTGAGTGTTTACAAGTACTTGCATGTTTTCAATGTTGGACAGCTTGACTTCTGGCGCTGGAGCATTCGTAATAGGTGGGGTCATATGTTTCGTGAGAGCACTATGAAATATTACATGGGTCATCTGATTAATGGAAGGCATTACTTTTTCGCAAAAACTTTGCCAAAGCAGTGCACGGCTCACCCACCGGTATATTTCCACGCTCGAATTTTCTGACATCTCAATGTCTGCTGACACAGGTGATTTCAGATCCTCCCGTTCGCTATTAGGCTGATAATTCGCCAGAAGACATTCTATAAGCTCATGGCAATATTCTTCAGCTTTGTTCTTTGCTAAAACCTAAATTAACCTAAATTAACGTATTTATTTACGAGGACGAGTCTTCATCAAGAATTTTTAATACCATTGCTGCAGGTAGCACTTTGAAATAGATTACTTTGATAACAATGCTAAATGAAAACTTGAACAATGCAACGATTGTTGGCATAGATGACAGCGTGCATTGATTTATTATGCAACGTCAATCAGAAAAGTATCACAATCTTTAGTACTTACTGCCTCGCATGAGACCGACATACCTGCAATAATCGCGTGACCGAGATCTTTTTCATAGATTCAAGCATACTTGGACAGTCATTATAAAAAATATTTATTGACGATACAGAAACGTCATGTTGTAAATCCAACATGTCATTGTGAGCATTAACCAATCTGTAAAATAATAACTTCAATATTGTTGATCTTTCAATTAAGGTTATGACGCTTCACAATTTCTTCTTATTTCAATACGATATAGTAAGAGAAAGTTATAAGCATTGTATGACCAGTAAGCACTGTAATTTCATATACAAATTGAATCAAGTTACCAACTTTATTGTAAATCGATCCATGTCTCACATTACCTGAAAAGTACTCGGAGAAAGTTGTCCTTCTTGCAGTCGATAATATCGAAAATGAGACCACGAGTAAACTTGGCCAGAATGTTGAGTCTGCGTTTCAAAACAGTGGATAAGTGATCTACTTTGTACTTATAAACAGGATGAGTCGGTGAGACAGCACCCCATATCAATCTATAATTCCTTATGATGGATTCTAGATTGTCAATAACAGTTATCAAATCCTGTAACAACAAAATGTAAAAATGTCACGCATCAAGATTTAATCCATTGTAAAATATTTCATTCATAACAAAAGTTCTGCAATACTGCATCAATACTTTCGTAATCTACTTTACCAACCGACGGCGGTAAATTCGACCGGTAAAATAGTTCCGGGTTACACAACTACTAGAAAGCATAATATACCGAAAATTATCGAGAAGCCAAGCTTTATTACATGCTGAAGCAAACTCTGTAACTCGACTACCTCCGGATTGCAACTGTTTGATTCTGCTATGTCTTTGACAATTAAAGCTATGTCTCTTGCAAGTTTGTCCATTATGTTGTCCAATGTCAAGGAGTCTGTGAACCATTTCTCTAGAGGAGGACTCGAAAGTGGCAGCCACTTTGCGATATTCGCTCTGTAATTAGTGTCCATGTGCCTGCCGACGGATACCCGTAGACCGTGACCTATTCCAATTAAACATTCTCTCTTTGTAACGCTCGATTAAGCGCCCAATGAGATGGGCGACATGAACGCTCGACCGTTAAACTGTATAGTATACACAGTTATACGTGAATAGTCATGGCTCAAGCGGATATTAGTTTGTCAACGTCATCTAGAAGAAATAAGTAATCAATGAAGTTAACTACTAATCCGCAACTTGATACTACGAGTGCAAATTAACTTAAAAACGTTGTCACACTATATAATACATGTATATGTATATATTTTTGTATATTCACGCTGTCTGTTCTAAGATTAGATAAACTATCGACAGACGGTTTTTTTTTTTACTCCATTTTATTCTTCGATACATTATCGTACCCGCTGTTATCATTGTGCAGCTACAATTCATCCATAATAGTCTGAGAGATAATGAGGAGATTTACGATAATAGCTTATCATGTTATAATAATTATTTGGTTGTCTGTATAAGTAGTTCCAATTGGATCGAGTCAATATGAACTTTAAACCAGGGCGATAAAATAATTATGATTTGATTGAAAATGAGAATGAATTACGTACGTTTTCTGTAAGGAAATGTTAATTCGGCTCCAAAGGCATCTTCGATTTTGTTTTACTTTGCGCGACGCATCACGTTGATGATTAAGAGCACGCAACGTATGATGCACATTAGTAACTTCGTGACAAATTAAGACTGGGTTCACCTGCATGATCTGAAAACCATGATACTTCGCTGGCAACGGTATTATAACGTGTAAACGAATTTCCTTAGTTACCACGCCACTATACAATGCGCAGGACTGTGCGCTGAAAACGGATTTTCACGAAGAAGTCCAAAATGCACAGTCATGGCTTATAAGAATTGCTCAGTATGCGATATAGGTATATATTTTGAGTGTAGTTACCAACGAATTATATTTTAATGTTATATCTTTAATTTGCATCACATATACATATATGATGTCCAGGAATAAAATGTCTGCCTTGAATGGGTCATCTTTGACATGACAGTAATAAAACAAATGTTCTCTATACTTCTTATTCTGAGTTAAAAAAAAATAATGAATACTAAATGACAGCTGTATATTCAATTTGAATTTTAATTCGTGATGGGCCTTACAATTGTGTCATGCTATCATTACATTAGATCATTATGAATATAGCACTTTCGGTATGATTAATATTATAACAATATAGCATCGATATAAATGTTACAAATCTCATCTGGTAAAGACTATAACTCATCAATTTTAATTTTTCTTGCAATAAAGATTAACTATATCAGTCGAGTATCACACTACATATCATATCATTCACTGGTCAAATTCAAATATATTTATTTTATTCTGCTGTACCGATAGCTGGTACTATCTAGCATAACTCACAGGGCGGGCCGGAAATGCATACCCATGACTGCTTGTACGTCCAATAAAAACATGGAATAAGTCTACGTAACGCTTAATAAACGCGCTATTGTATAAAATAATTATGTATTATTTTTTGTAATTAACAAAGGTTTATTAATTCAAATAAATATGATGGTAAAAACTTATAGACTCATAAGATAATGACGCCACGTCATATCCTCAAAATTAGTAAACATAAAATACGAATACATGTTATTATAATATTAAACTTCTTTCAAGATATTTAATTTATTTTTTGTACATTTATCAATATATTCTGTTTCCACTTCTACCCAATCAGTAACGGATATATCAGGAACAAATAAATAGTCCTCTTATTTCATAAACCAAAACGTAGTCTTGAACACTGTAGTTCCTTGAAAACGGGGAAGCCCCTATACATCGGTGCAAGGGCCCCGATACTGGGAGACCCATACTGCTTTGTGTTTTTCTCTTCGTCTTACTACGCGTAGGTCATATGCCTGATGCCAGTTCTTTGTCTGTTCTTCTAGTGTGTGCATCAGTGTGTATCGATATACGTGGAATAACGTACTGTAGTGCATCAGGAGTTAAAAGTATTAACTGCATAAGAATTTAATGTATACAGTCCAAACGGCGTAGCAGTTTTTGCAAATTGTAAGTTATTTTCTATAAATCACTATTTGTTAGACGCTGGGCAACTTAAGATATAACAAAACACGGACTAATTTTACGGAAATATGTCTATAGATGTGTATTTAGTACAGTCCATCAGTGGCATTGTGCCATTACGTAAATTAGAGCAATTTAAGTACTTCTGTAGTATGTATTCTTTTTAAAGCTATATATGGAAGGATAACAATTTTTAATAAGTGCACGTAGTAATTTGAGTGAAATATATTTGAAAGCGTATCGTATGCCATGTAACGGACATTTGCGTTGCCGACTCCTCCACATATTGTGGCATTCATAATGAAGCAAGTTTTCACCGTTCCTAATACGGTATATGCATATCTATTTTAGTTTCAAATTTGAGATATAAGTAATTGTGTTCTATTTTCTTTTGTAATTATTTTTAAATCATTTGTTTTCTCTTTCTTTAAAATATTCTCCATAATTTTTTATTGGAGAAAATTTAGTCCACATGCTTACTTACAAGTGTTATCATAAACTTAATTTTGACACTAAATATTTTTTATGCTGACATAGACTATTTTCTATGTTGAGATTAATAAAACAATAATTGATGATCATAAAGGAATAAACATACAATAAACAGTGTCTACTTGTATAATTACCATTTTTTCCACTCTATGTATGCATTTTTGTCTAGTATTTTCATCTAAGAGAAGACCAAACATCATTACAATGCAAGCATTTGCAAGAGCACCAAATCAAATGAGCAATAAAGGTCCAATGGATAAGAATTGGAAAATCTTTAAAGAACAATTTTTAACTTTTATGAAAGTAACTGAAGGCAATTTAGAAGCAAGCGATAAACAAGCAATAATGCTTCTAAATTTAATGGGAGAAGTAGGACAGGAAGCTCTCCAGAATATACCTTTTAATTATCCTGAAGAAAAAGAAGATATACAAATATTATTGGAAAAATTTGATGAGTATTTTGATCCTCCTAAAAAGGAATCAAATGAAAGATATGCATTCTTTACACGAACGAGAAAACCAAACGAAAGCATTGAGAACTTCATTGCTGGGTTACAAGTAAGTGCTTGTAGATATTATAAAACGATTTATTTCTTGTACTTCCATCGATAAACTGAATAGAAGGAATTAAATTATTAGTGTAATTATATTACTAAATCCTTTTTAGATAAATGTTTTATTATCAAATCTATATGAAAATAGGTCTCATATTGTTGATTTTTTAAAATGAAATGCAATATATTTTTCAGGAAAAAGCAAAAACATGTAACTTTGATTCTCTTGCGGATAGTCTTATTCGAGATAAAGTTATTTTGGATACCAAGGACAAATTATTACGCAAGCTTTTATTAGATACAGAGGACCTTGACTTAATGAAAATTGTAACAATTTATAAATCTCATGAGATGGCTACAGAAAAAATTAAGCAAGTCTACAAAGAAAAGATAAAACAACCCCAAGAGACAAATGTTACCCCATCAACAACAACAACAACCACAGAAGTGGAAAACAATGTTACAACTTGTTACAGATGTGGTACTCGTCATGCTCTTCGCAATTGTCCTGCATGGGGCAAAAAATGTTTAAAATGTCAAGGGGTTGGACATTTTACTCAGAAATGCACTCCAAATCTGGCACAGAAATGTCATAGACCCAATGTAAGTTACTAAATTATAAACTCTATTTCCTTTCTGGAATTCTCTTTTCATACTAATAAAGCATTTATATGTATAGAATCACCATACATGTTAATTATTCAAATGACATTAGTTGAATCAATTCAAATATATGGTGTCTTCAGAGATCTCACACAATAACATAAGATTCAATAAGCCATTAACATTAAACAAAAATAATATGTAAAATTTGTTGATGCTGTATATGCTTCAATCATGTATTATATTTACAATATTATATTTGATTCATTTTGAAATTTCAGGATCCTAACAAGACTATTGCAAGTCCCTTTACCCAAATTGATAAAAAAACCAAGGTAAAGAATAGTGGAAAAAATTAAAATAAGTATTATCATTGCGGTTTATTTTTGCTTATCTACACTGTCACATATAAAAACATTAGTCTTTTGAAATATTTAGCATCTTATTCGTATTAAATGTTTTCAACTATTAGTGCAATTAAGTTCTGTACAGAAAGTTTTATCACTATTTTTTTCCTTCAAATCTGTATTATACATCGTAGACAATTGAACTATTTAAGGTTCTATAGTAAAAAAATCTTTTAGAAGTTTTACATATTTCTATTATGTAGTGGCAATGTATTAGGTAATGAAATTAAAATCTTTAACAATGAGTTCTAATTCTAGTGTTAAACGTCGTTAAAAATATATGTATTACACAGATTGAATTTAATATTATATTTTATTAAAAAATCTGAAAAAACTTTCTGAACAGATTTCATATAGAGGTTCATATTTAAAATATATGTATAGTTTAAAAAAATATGGTCTCTCAATAAATTGTTTGATAGTGGGAAAAAGTTGTTATTCTTATATCGATATTTTGCCATGCCAAGTTTTGATACTGTAACCTCTATCCTCACTTAATAATCATTATGTAATACATTGCTAAAATAATATCTTCATTTATATGGTAATACATTAAGAAATCACATAAACTAATTGAATTATTTGTCTGATCAAAAAACGTGAATTTGAAACTACCAAATCTACCAAAACGATTTATTTTCTATTTTCTCATATGAATAATTATAAAAACCAAGTTTACTCCATAATTGTTGTGCATAAAGGAGGCCAGTGTCAGTTCAAACATAGTGTTGAAGGAAATAAAAACATTTAATCTGCCATCTATTGGTAGTAACTAAATTATAATTGTCTGATGAGCTATACTGTTTTTTTAAGAAAAAGTGACCAAAATTTCACAAGAAAATTCTGTAAAGATCATCGACAATATTAATTGAGATGTAATTCGTTTGTGTTTCAACTGGTGCCGATCTCCCCTGTCAAAAAACGAGTATAGCAAATATATATAATATATCAGTCATGATCCATTTTTTCTGGTGAAACAAGGTTTTTAAGTCGACAAGAGAATGATGAACTTTAATCTTGTAGTCCGTCGTTCCAATTTATACAGATTACTGTACATTGTTTGTTGTAGAACTATAATAGAAATCGAACTTCTCAACATCAACAAGACACCACGCGTTTGCCAAATGATCAGATCCCACCACTTATGGCACCAGTAAGTATTCCAAATAAATTGGATCATTAGAAATAATTATTGACACCTGCATCTTATATTAAAAATTCTTTGTTAATAATAATTTAATTACAGAAACATCCATGTCAGTCTTTAAAAAATCAGAGTTAATAAAATTCAAAATCAGCATACAAATAAAATTGTTTAATAGTGACAGTTTCTAAGAACATAAAGTATATTAGAATGCATATGTTCCAGCCGGCTTATACGCCATACCCCGCTCGATCAGAAGCTTACAATTCTGGATATATGCGATCAACAGCTAATCTACCTGTGGGTATTCATAATTGATGCACAATAATACTAAATTATATATATTCTCATTTGTTTGTATATAATACTCATTTGTTCTAGGCATATAACGCGCAGAACAATGATGCAAGTAATTGTAGCAATGCATTTGTAACATCACAATCTACTACCAAGAAAACTCCTGTAAGTTTAATATTAATTACGCGCTTATACGCAATGACTTAGGATATTTAGTATCATTAAAAATATGATTTAGCCATATAAAATCTGTAACAAAACGATTTAAAAAATTTATAAACTTCCGAGACAAAACTTTTAATGCAAGTTTCTTGTAGCTTCAGGAATGTCCTACGTATTCTAGTGCAGGATCAGCACCCCCGTTAGATTCCAGTAACGATTTAGTAGTAAGTATTAATAACAAACAAAATCTAACAATTTGTTGATTGTATATTGGAATGTTTCAAAAAACCAATTATTTGGTTTTATGATGTTTTGCATCCTTCAAATGGAAAACCTCACATTACATAGAGTAAACTGAAATTATATTAAAGAATCACACTGAGAATAATAAAAGTAAATCAAATAAATGATTATTTTATTTGTTCTAGACAAGTAATGCACAGAGGAATGGATCATTGTATCCTAATCTTCCTCGCAGCACATCATCATCTAATGCTGAGAGTATCACAGTACGTACTAAAAAATAATATATAGACATGTGAACAATTATTAGTTTCATGTTGTAAGAAGTACAAGACAATTATATAAGAAACTTCTTTTTCGAGAATATTCGAACTTTGAAAAAGTATTTTCTTTATAATCATAGATTAACAAAATAGTATTTTCATTAGATGACGAGATTGCCATTAAATATTGCGGCTCTCTCATATGGTAAAAAAACGCAAATTCTACTACGATTAATCAGAGAAAATCAGTATCATAAAAAATTATGAATATAGCAATGTTCAATGCGTGTTACAGAGCATGCAAATGATTTTTTACATTGAAAATTACATATGAGTATGTCGTAATTAGTTTGAAATTTGTCTTGAAAGCAGCCAAGAGGTATCATGCAGGTCGATAAGATTGAGATAACAGATGCTACAGAACTCCAGGGATATGTGGAAATTGGATTAGATGCTAACTCATCTAGAAGACCATGCAATCCACCTCCTCGTCAACCAGCAAGGCCAACAACTCAAAGATCACAAGCTTCAACATCTATATTTTCAAATACATCTCGTTCACATCCAAGAAACAGTAAATCTAATGAAACTGAAAAATGCATTATATCTTGAAAAATAATTCTGTTTGGAATTGAGTTTGAACATTTGAATGTTAATCTTGCGGAATTTTATTATTCAATAATTATACTGACTTGTATGTAATAATATCTGTATTTCATAGACCAGATATTGCACTTTTAAGGGAAAAATAATTGTATTAAATATTATTGTATGTTTAATGAAATAAATAGAGTTTTTAAATAAACTACCTTGCTTGAATGTGGGAACATTTATATTCATAGTTTCAAAAACTTTATACAGAAGTGTTATTGGTAACCGTGAGTTACCTATGCTCGTTGGTTGATAATGTCCACGGTCGACCGTGATAATGGCAGAAAATATGGAAAACCAATTTCAGGTGGCATTTGACATGGCTTTTAATAATCTTTCGTGTTATTAAAATCCATGTGTCCTGTTTGCCACACTCTCCTTGTGAGTACCAACAAAACCTAACACCCCTGTATATTGTGTATGTATGTATGTATATATGTACATACAATTTTTTAATTTTCTGCGCTCCGCAAGTTGGTGACGAATGGTTGGCGCCACAAGACATTTTATCTAAAATTTATTCACTAAACCGCAAGACGGCAGTACCGTATAGGAGGTGTTGTTGTAACGCTCCGAGCGCCTAATTTCGCGGGATACTTGAAAATCCTTCTTCCTTCCTTTCCTCCAACGAGGAGATGTGCCAGTATACTTGAAAATCCCACTCGATGTTCCTTGCTACTGGGTTCCGATGATAAAGAGTGGAAACTCACCTTGCGAATTTGAAAGGATATTTACGAAATAAAAGTGAATATTAGGATATAAACATATATATATCAACTGCGATCTGCTCTGATCGAAGGTCGATACACAAGTCTTTATTTCAGACTCAAAACTCCTGAGACTTACCCCCGGAGTCTTTACAAAGATTCTACTACCAACATAGATTTTAGCCAATCAAGTGCGAATTCAGAAGAAACAAGGGAAGAAAACTGTGTGCTTATACTAGCTGTTTATCACGGTCCAGTCTTCGAAGATAAGGGCCACCCGTCTCGATTTCAATCATTGGCAGTGGGTTTGCTGGCATTAAACACTCTTAACGTAAATCAAGAGTTTCAAATAAACATAAGTAGGCATCTAGCCTTTTAAATAAGAGAGGGAATACAGTTCTGGTATTCATAACTAAAAGAACGTCTATTATAAGATTTATAACATAATATCTTAAATAATTACAATGTCACCACTTGCATGTATCTATTCTCTCAGAGTTATCCTTTTATAACTGAATCTCTTAATAATAATGTCTTCGATTAAACATATCCTTTATTTGTCGTTTGAATAATCGCGGGTTTCGATATTGCTAAAACGTATACGCTCTATAGCCGGATTCCTGAACTATATCGAATGTTGTCGCACCATCACAGAGGTTTTACGGCCATTTTATCACGTGACTCAACAAGGCGTTTGCACTGCTATTAGTGCAACATGATTTTAAATATCATTTTTTTTTTGCAAATATAATCATATTATTTACGTATGACGTCAATATTCATAGTTTTTATAGTACCACATTAAGGAAAAAAAAAAAAATTGATCCAATTCCCCATTCCTTTTGCCAGTGCCGAACCTCATAACCATTGGTTGCATTGGTCCAATCTATAAGAATTGACCAATCCCATAGTTTTCTCGTGTAAGTCAGACGCACGCTACCGGAAATGTGGCATGTCACAAAGGAAAAATTCACTTGAGTAACATAGTCCTTTCAAACGAAAGGAAATACCAACCAAACATATGTGGATTATCAGAGGCTTGAAGAGTCCATGAGCTAGCCACCTAACTTCATAGGTTTTATGTGCCTTTGCATTGTTCTTTAATGCATTACATCGATGTGAATGCAGTAACGTACAGTAACGCGTCAGAAGTAAAAACTAAAAACTAGCGATTACATAAGAATTCAATTCGTAAATTATCAACAGCGTAGCAATTTCTACAAGTGGTAAGTTTTTTTTTATATGTATTTCTATCCTGGCTATCAACATTTCTTCTTATCTTTTCTTTATCTATTTTGTTGTCAAAAAATTGCGACTATCCTTTAACCGTTATTTTTTTAAATGTTTTTTTTTAAACCAAATTCCAGATTTCGTTGTAATTCTCACAATTTTCTGGTTAGTCCTATATTCGTATTCTTTTTTGTCTATAGTTGTTTCCTTGTTGCCTTTTGCTTTTCCAGACTCAATTTATCTGTTAAATCTACTTCTTTTTGACTTTTATTAATTTTTATCTACAGTTTTGCTACTTCTTCAAATTTTCCATTTCTGCTTTTATTATCTTATATTTCTAGTTTAGTTCTTTAATTTTGCAAGCTATCAAATCATTCTATTATTTCCTCGAATTACTTCGTTGCCCTTTTATTCGATTCACTCCGTAATGTCGACGTCAGTTATTCTCAGAAGTGACAGGCATTATCTTAGTTTTGTTCAATAACTTCACTTTGTTTTAACAGGTAATCCATAACTTGTTTTTCTATCTTGCTATTAAACTAGTCCATTATATTTTATTCGCTAGTTTGTTTCCTTTTCCTTTTTTTTTTGCATTTTTGATTTCTAACGTCACATGCCCTCGCCTTCATTGTCGCATATATTTTATACTCCTGCTTTTTATTCTACTCATCCAATTTCTATCACTCGTTTTCTATTTTTTTCTGTTGTTCACTGTCGCTTTTGTTACTGTTTTTTTTTTTTTATATATGCATCCATGTTTTACGCATTGCATGAGTTTACATTGGTTCACCCGTCTTCGTTTTCGACGCCAATGGTTACACATTCCATCATTCAAAAGTGTCCCTCCCCTGTTCTTTGTCTTTCCATTCATGTCATGGCTATGGTTTTTACAATCTATCCATATATTTTCTTCCAGATTTTCTTAATGTTCTTTCATGTTTCCTAAAAGCTTGATTACGGCTCTCCGGGAATATTCGAAAATACACTGTTAGTACTATGAGTATCCGTTGTGTCCCTGTTTATCTGAATGCAGTTGAGCAGGACATTGTACCGGCACGGAATTTTCCAATTATTTTGAATACATAGATCCATTACTTACGAAGTCTTTTTTCAATATTATATTTTACTATTAATTTTACCTTGGATACATTATTCTTGATATTCTGTTTGTAACGTAAATTAATGCTTCGTTTAAACATCATTTAAAAATATAGTGAAGAACTTCACTTTTCGGCTAAACATATAGATTTTATTTTCTTTGCGTGAATGAATCAAACCATAATCGTGATAGAGGCATTTATATAATGATTAGTATTATTATAGTTGATCCACGAGTAGACAATAAAGTCGGGAACACTTTTACATTAGAAGTTACATAGGAGAAATAGTCCCACCAAAAAACATGCTGTTTGTTAATGGATTATATGTATACAACAACAAAAGTTGGCGACTTTTCCCTCGTACAGTGTTTTTAAATTGTTAGCTGTTATATATACTATTTTGTTCGTATTTTTAGCTCAGTGAATATTAAGCAACAACATAATATAAGCAGTCGTCGTTAAGGATACTTGATAAAATGAATATTGAAAAGGGCGCAATAGGTAAGAAATGTAAAATTTTTAAATACAATGTCTAGTATTTATGAAATTAATGGAAAACACTTTAATTTTATTATAAAAAGAATTAAACAAGGGACAAACACTAATCCTTTTTAATTAATTGAATGATGTAGGGCACGGAAATATGCAAAATATAGGTTTTGAGTCTCTTGAGGATAAAGAAATTATTCTAAAATTATTGAAGAAATATGGTAATTACCTGAATACCTCCAAAACGGAAACTCATGAGAGGTATAAATTTTTCTCAAGGACAATGAACGACAATGAAAGCATTGAAGATTTCATTGCTGATTTACGAGTAAGTTTCTACGGATATTATTAAACTCGTCTCTTTTACATTACGGATGATTAACCCGACAATAAAATCTACTTATTAGCGTTATTCCATTATTAATCCGTGTGTAGTGGAATTTTTATTTCAAAATTTATGAATAAGAAAACGTATTACAGAAAATTGTGTTCTGAAAAAATGAAATCTGTTTTCCAGCAAAAAGCCAAAACATGCAATTTTCAATCTCTTGCGGACAATTTTGTCCGGGATAAAATTATTTTCGATACCAAAGACGAAATATTACGACAGTTTTTATTGGATACAGAAGATATTGATTTGGAAAAAATTATAACAATTTACAAAATTTATGAAAAGACAAGGGGAAAAATGAATGAAGTTTGCAAAGACAAAGTAATTCAAGGCAGAAATACAAATATTACTCCAGCAATAAAAAGTGCACAAATAACATGTTCAAATTGCGGCACTCATCACGTTTACGGTAACTGCCCTGCGTTTCATTCGAGATGTATGAAATGCAATGGACTTCGGCATTACACCAAAATGTGTAATAGACATTGGGCACGTAAAAATTACAAACGCAATGTAAGTTATTCATAAATGCAAAAGCTTTAATTTTTTAATTGATGTTCATGTAATCAATATTTTCGTATATAATGTATCTCGAATTTGTGAGATAGTTAAGAAGAAAACAATCATGAAAGTAATAAAAACGCAAAATTTCGAAAAACCTTAAGTTTTAATTATACTTTAATGATACAATTTATTTTATTCTTTTTATAATTGTAGAAGTCTGGCAGCAATGCTGGTGGTCCATTCTCGCAAATTAAAAAGAACAGGAAGGTAATGAGTGGTGGAGAATCTTCAAACGAATATTTATATCGTTTGTCTTTGATTGTATTCGCGTTAACAATAAATATTTTGTTAGTTTTCGAATCCCATAATTCCACCGAAATATGTATTAACATTCTACATTTCAGTATAATTTGTTGATTGTAGGTTGGTGATAATGCAGGGGATAAAATTTGGACTACCTCAAATAAAAAACAAGAGTATTTACCGGGCGATCGATTCCCACATCGTATACCACCAGTAGGTATTCTATATAAATACGTTATTAAATGTTGCAAAATTTAATAATCATTCTTGCATATTATCTTAATAAGAATAATAATATATTAAATATGAAAATATCCATTTAATACCTTTCGCCTTAAAAATATCGTTCTTTATTTAATATAATAATTATAATACATAAAAGCAAACTGTTCTTAATAGTAACATATACGAACAATAAATAAAATTGAAATGTGTATATTTCAGCCAAAATACACAGAACATCCTGTTCCAACAAAAGCTTACAATTCTGGATCTGTAGAGCCATCTACTAGTCAGGAAAAACCTGTGAGTTTTATTAATAGGTGATGCCAAACAATACTCTTATAGTACTTTTGTTCTAGGTGTACAACTTGCAGAATAATGTTATAGAAACTTCTAATAATATATATGCAACATCTCAATCTTCCAGTAAGACAACACATGTAAGTTTTTTTTATATATGCTTATACGCAATTACTAAGGAGATCTGTTTATGATCTGAAGTATTTTTTTTACAAAATCTCTGGCATAACGCACTAGAAAGTATAAATTGCTAAAAAATATAATAAATTTTGCTGTAGCTTCCGAGATCTATGCAAAACGCATCTACTGTACGTTCTGGTACAAAGTCAACACCATCTTCAGTTTCTGATAATGCTGCGGCAGTACGTATTGCTAGTCATTGAATCCTCATGTGGAGTAATAATATAGAATGAAGTTACAAAAAAAAAATGTCAACTATAATAGTAATATGCAAAAAAAAGTTATCGCATTTGTTCTAGAGAAAGAATGCGCAAATGGAAGGATCACGAAATGTTAATCTTCGTCGTACGAAATCATCGTCTAGTGTCAAAAGCTTTCCAGTACGTAATAACAGAGAAGCAGGTAAATGAGCAATTATTAATGATACCCCTAATATTGTAAGAAATACATTAACTGATTAGAAATTCCAACAGATGACGACTTTGCAGTCAAATGCTGCAGTTGCTTCATATGTTGAAAATCATGCAGACACTAGTAAGCATATGATGAATGTTTCATTTACTTGTGATTAAAATATGTGTAACATAATTCATTTCAAATTCTTTTTAATATCAGGCAGGACGTGTATTGAAAGATGATAACAGTGTGATAGATCCCATATCAATTATCCAGGATTCTGCGACGCTTGGATAAGAGTTTGACTTACCTCAGATACAATTATTTTTATCTCTAAAGCAACATGCAGAGTCAACAATTTTAAATATCATTAACCTCATCGTTAAATTTTTTGACGTTGAGTTCATTTACTAGTTCCCAATCTGGAAACTACTTACAATCTAATAACAACGTTATTTGTTAAGAAAATGTTTATTAACTAATTCTACATAAAAGTAAGAAAGCAACTATAATATTTTTTTACTTTATACATATGAGTATTTCATGTTTATTCAGTAATGTAATATGTTCACATAATTTGTATTCGATTAAAAGTAATGAGTAAGTCTCGTAATAAATATATTCATAAATACGCTTTGTAAAATCAGTCGCGTATCGTCAACAGTTAGAACCAATCATAAGTGATTGATTTCGTGCCAAATTCTTTGATTTGAGTAATAAATTCATGAGGTAAGACAAGCTGGGTATTGTAGATTATTCCAGCAATGACCAGCCTTTGAACGCAGTCGGTTACACAGAACACTGCAATTATCACCTAACTCTGTAACCCACATGTCCACAAAAACCAAAGTTCTGAAAGATTACCCTTCTTTGTCATCTCCCACTCAATGGTTAAAACCACGCAAAAAAATAATTCAAACGTATAGTGAATTTTCTTATTGTTATGGCCAGCCTGAATTGTGGTCGATAACAAAAATACGTCAGACTTCCATCACCTGTAATTATTATATGGTCTTTGGCTTCATTCAATATATACAACTATTACCGGAAATGTAGGTCGTAGAGTGGATCAATAGGCAGATATTATCATTCAGGAACTCCTAGAAACGATCACAAGAAATTTTTTAGTAAGCGGCCATCTTGATGAGTCTCGGCCAATGAATGTATTGGCGTAGCTGTCGTGGGGCGCCGATGGCGAAAGAGACTCTTGCCTACGATCTTGGCTCCACGCGTCCCAGTATCTTTCTAGACTTCTTGGTGGAATTGACGCATGTCGCACCTCGTGGCTACCAAAGCAACGATAGAAGAACGAAGCATTTTTGAGGATCTGCTTCGAGTGCCGGTTTCCAGCGAAAAAGTGTCATAGTTATTTACGATTTATTGTGTTGGTGAAACACTGCATCAACTTCCTGTGCATGGCGAGGACCCGTGAGCGTCGTCCGTCGTGTTGAGCAGTCAAAAAGTGGTGTTCGGCCGTGTTTTATCATTTGCCGAGTACACTCTTTCCGAAGTTCCGTTCGACGTGCGCTGTTTGCGGAGGGAGAGTAGTGCAGGTCGTGCGTGAAAAATGATCAACATGGAGACGGATAAAACCATCGAGGACACAAACACGAATCTCCAGGTGCGCAACGTATTAGTATTTTTCTTTCTGAGACCTACCGCCATCTTATGTTTCATTGCGACGGAGGGAATTCGCCAAAACCCTCGTATCATCGTGGCTTTTATAGAAAATTTTTCCTTCTATCTTTTATGCCGTTTAGTCATGCTTATCTTAAAGCGATAACTGGTCGAACCGTCAGTTTTGGCGTGGGAGGTTATGGGTTCGGAGTTTATAGTTTCATGACACATGACGATGACGGCATGATCGCTTCTTGCAAATCATACCATTTATCAAAAATATGTTTATGCGATTGAGCCAACACAGTTTCTCTTTTGGGACTCGATAAAACACAGTTGATTCCTCTTTCATTGATTCATTTGTATTGATGTGATGGATTTATAACGTCGAGACTGTTATAATAGTCGCTTTTATCTAACAAGATAACTTCAATTAGCTCTACACTTTCCAAATAGTTATTTCTGACTTTCCCATGGTAATAGTCGCGACTAGGTAACTTCGTAACGGTAGAATCAAACTGTACCAATGCTTAACTGTACAGTTTGCACTTGTTCAGGTACCCCAATTATATTTCAATACTGTATTACTATTCATACATGTCGTATTTTTGCCTATATCGGTACATTCATTGTCGATTTTCCTTGTAGAAAATCAAGAACTTAATTATTTGGAAATAAATGCAGCAAATAAATATTTTTATATAGTTACTTATATTTTTTCGACTATACAAGAAGGAACTGGTAGTTTGACATAATCGCGTTTTCTAATTATATACAGTATAGTATATATACTCCAGATTTTTGTTTCTGTGCAAACCAAACTGCATCTACGCAAATGTCATGTACGATACTTTAGGTATTTAAAGAATCATAAAAAAGTTGTATAATTGTAAATTGTGCAAATAGAAAGAATGGTTGCGCAACACCAACTCCAATATTAACGAAACAGAAGGATGCGCAACTTCTTGCACCAGTAATCAGCGCCGTAAAAGAAATCGAAATTTCAAGAGGAAGTAACAGTAAAGAATCTTATTCAGATAGAGATACCCTGATAGAATCGCACAACAGCAGCTTCATTTACAAACATACATGATTCATAAATTGACTTGGCAAGTGAGTCCAGTTTGCGCCCACCTGTTACTAACATTACACATAACACACATGTAATAGAAAGTGTATCAGTATAATATTACTTACAATTAGATGTACATAAGGAAAAGAAGTACACATCACGGAGGTGGCGTGTCTGATTAGATAAGTCCATCTTTCCGCCATCCAGTCGCTGACCGCACTGTAAATTGAAGAAAAAAAGGCAAATAGTTGTTTAGAGAAAAGTAAAGCAAAAGGTGTTCTCGAAAAAAAAATCAACGAATCTTCTGCTCAATAACTTGCGGCCGCAACGCAGTGCATTTGACTTGCCACAAAGCTCAGTGTATTCCTTTCTAGTCCTCTGACAGCGACTTTAGGCCTCCGACAAAGGCCAGAGATGTACACAACCGAAAGCCAGAGTCCCCGGAGCATGGGAGCAGCTTACTACATAATCAATGTTTTAGCTCTCCTGTCTCCTTTCATCCTCTCCTTGCACACCTCGTCACACCGGTACCAAGTAGGCCACATACATACTGGAATGCGTATTTCTATGAATATAAAATGCTGAAAGTCGATCACAACGCGTATTTTCAATTCGCAAGAATTTTCGGCGAATTGTCATACATTGAATTTATTAAACGCAGAATAACAGAAAGCAAAGACAAAGAGAGAGAGTCAAATTTAGCTAGTCAGAGCGCAATACTGTAGCTCGCAACAGCGTGCGAATTTTTAAATTCCACGTCATTGCTGGGAATCATGATGCCTTGGCAAGGTTCTTCGTCTACGTTGCTTTTCACATTGAAGCCGGAATTACATTCGGAACGGTATGTATTTGAGATAGACGATGGTGACGTTAAAGATTATATTTCTTGGTAGGATATTTGGAGTGATCTTTCAATGCATTCGTGTCTACTATGAGTATGCTGGGTATGAACGGATCCTAGAGTCCTTCTTAATGAACTATCTTGGAATCCATATATTATTGAACGCCTTGACTTCTCTTAGACTTTAAGTCGCTGCGCTCACGAATCTTGATTTTTTCTTGGCCGTGCGGTTTCACGGTGGACGAGTAGAGGGAATTGCTCCATTTGGTTCACGGTTCCCCGTCTAGGGATACGGCTGGATGCGATGATCGGCATGAGCGAGTTCGATCGCAAATTACAAGGGCGATACGAGGAGAAACTGCTGGAGGAAGGGAGATAAAAGCGAGCGAGTAAAAGAAAGACAAACTGAGAGATCGTGAACCTTGAATAGGAAGGACTTTATATATGCATATATGTGTGTGTATATATATCTATTGATTTCTTGACGAGATGTGTTATCGAACACTTTATCGTACAGAATTTAACCTATTATTATAATTTTTCTAATTAGTTACTATAGTCAAAATTTAATTGCTCTATTGTATTAATAAAAAGCTCACGGAAATCTAAGTAAAAAGAAAGCTAACACCCCCACACGTATATCAATCTGACACAGCGACTTCCGTAGCGCTCCTTAGTTGCCAATTATTTGCTATATTCTCAATTTTGTTGTTCAAAACGTTTAACCGGAAATAGCGCCTGTGGCACAGTACAGTTAAAATTACCACAGCCGCATACAAAAAATAGATGAGCTATACAACAAAACGTAAATATTGGTTGCTCTTTAGTTGCTAATTAGTTGCTGCATTTTTAAATTCATTAATTAAATTTTGGCCCGGAAATGCCGTCTCTCCGATTTTTGTTTTCTTCGTCATAAGCAACAAGAAAAATCATTTTCCTGAGTTCGCCAGAAAATCATTCAAATCCATGTATTACATTAAGGTATATCAATGTCCAGTAACATATTGGATAAGAAAAACGACTTACTAAATTAAAAAGACAACTTATAGGGTAACTGTGAAAAATAACTTAATCAAAGCCAAGCCTCGGTGCTTCAAGCATGTGATTTCGCGTGGTGTGGTTTCGTCCCGTGAGCAGCAGAATAAAAATATATTAAAGACTCCAGCAGCAATAGCAGCAGTTAGAAATCTGTTGAAGAAGTGACGAAATATCCTAACGTAATACGCGGGTCTAAATGATTGCCTCGCAAGCTCAGAAAAATGGTTACCTGTTGCTGAGAATGAAGAAAGAAAGTCATAGCTACGGCATTTCTGACCCAAAGTCGAATTAATGAACTTAAAAAGGCTTCCGTAGTCTCCACAATGAGATTTAGTTATATCTGCTTATTACAGCATCGTCTACTAATACGATTAATCCTTCTTATCGGTCTTTAAGTATTACACTTTATTCTATATCTTCGCTCTGATACATCAATAATGCCAACTGAAGCTTCTTTGTTTCGTCATGCAGGTTCAGTCGCACTGGGTAAACACTATGATTCACCGTTTAGATGTCCAAGTTCCACACGGTCTTTTCTACCCCGGTATTCGCATACGTCTTCGCGTCTCATCCTCCGTCCAACATGTTAATTTCGGGTCATTAGCTTAGCGCGCTTGTAGTCGCACAAGTTTTCCAGCCCGACTCGCGGAGGTGTGTCATCGCGGCCATAAATGGCACACGAGGCCTGCGACGGGAATGCTTAAGTAGCACTGTACGGATTGCATCGTGCGCCGCTGTAGGTTTATTACGGTTAAATGCTTTTGTCGACGAGATCTAGGACGAAGTTTTTCTCATTTAACGCTTCACTGACGTTCCTCGCGACCTGGGAACATCGTCGTTGACCCGCCTCGAGGAAGACGATCATCTCCTTCTACCTTGACTAACACTATCCACCATACGAATACTGTACAGAGTTACCATTGGCTTAATGGCAACCTATGGATAAATATTGTATATACATTATCTCATGTATCTTTGATTTGCCAATCAACAACGATCGGAGAATGCTGCGCAACGACTAGTGGGACCTCGTTGTTGTTGGCCTCTCTAATCTTAATTGGTCCCAAGTATAAGACGGCGAGAGGGGGAGAAAAGTAATTATAAAATTTTATTGTCTCTAAGCGATGAATATCACCGACGATTGTTAGTTTCTTTATTTCCCGGAAGAAAAAAAAATTTCAAGAAATCTCACAAGATAGTCGCCAGACTTATTGTCCCGGTACCAGGAACGCTACTGTAATTTTACTTTCTGTATGTACGAAAGAGTGGACTAAATTAGCCGCAGTATGGAAATTTTTATCCGGTTTTAACCAACCTTGTAAAGTGTCTGGCTGTCCAGGAAGACCTTAATAGGAGGTACAGTGCTCGATGAAAAATTCAGAGTCAGTCCTCGTACTCCGTTTTGGCATGAGACAAAGAGGATGAGCATCGGTAGGAGAACCCGTGTAAAAAGTAAACTTCGATAATGCCAGAGGAAAATCCGTAAGGGTATCTGGAACAAATATTTGAGACTGGCGGCGTTCGCTCGGGGTGGTGGTACGTCTCTGGGCAAACTTCCACCTCAAGGGAAGTACAGCTTATGTTCGTCTTGTCGAAGATTGCGAAGAATCGTCGATTATAGATAGTAACAGAACGATGCTAGGGATATTCGATATTTTCATGTTATTACAGGAACTTCTTGTCTCTTCGTCTTTCAACTAGTTCATTACCTCCGGGGGTATCGGTAAAAGACAAAGGAAGTGCGAAGCAAGGCGACCATGGATTCGATACAAGCATTTAAAATACCGTTAGGCAAAGAATACTTGCCAAGAGCAGGCGAAGCCGTCCGCTATTCGGTTTTTCCATTGCTTGCCACATTTTCCTGCTTTTTTTTCGTGTTTTTTTTTTTTTTTTTTTTTCTTCATGAAGCGTATAACGTATCGCTTAGTGGAAGTCGCCATTGCCAAGGCGAAGCAGAGCGGCAGGTCTGTTCCTACTTCTTAGATACTTGGATCCATACGAACGGAACATTGCGCGATTGGATTGGAAAGGTTGCGCGAGAACGCGACACGCGTCTGTTTAAGCGACATTGAATGTCATCGAGGATACTTTCGATTCATTGGATTTTTACATTCGAATCTTGTACCAGGAAACAAAATCGTTATTAATCATATACATACGTTTGCTAGTCATGGAACACGTGTCATTGTCGACGTGGTACTTTATATTCCTTCATTTTTTAAAATCCTACGGCAGCTTCGAGTTTCAGCTGGATTTATGTACGGTTGGGTCAGCCGTCGATATAGGAAGTGTAGTTGGTTATTTGATATCCGCGACGAACCGTAATTAGCTATCGGAGTGGAAATCGATATGACAAAAATTAATCTTTTCCATCTCGATCAACCCTCTGCTCATAGTTATTGATGCTTGGTGTGTTATTTACAATTTGCCGTGTGTAAAGTCGAACGAACCCTGCGTGGATAAACGCGACTTATAACTATGCAGGATATTGGTTGAACGGTGTATAATTTTCTGGTAAACATCTCATTCGAAATTGTATTGTCCTTAAATGGCGGAGAATCGTTGACGATTGATCAGAGACAAAAGTGTATACAACGCGGAGCTGTTAACGATAAATTTTCATTGTTCTTTCGCGAGTCTGGCTAAAGTTTTTCGTGGTTTACTCAAGGAACGAACTTTCACGGAAGTATTGGATAACCGATCGAATAGGATCTCTTTTTTTAATTTTAATGAAAATCAGACTTTATCACTGCACGGTAACGATCTTTTAAATAATTCTTATATTTTATTCTTCAAACGAGTTTACTCGGCTCTGATAATACTGGGATAAATCGAATTGAAGTTCATTTGATTGGGAGGAGTGACATTTGAATTTCTAGTGGATTGAGAAACTCAATTTCCCACATTCCTCTTTAAGCCCTCGTGACCCCGCTGTGCCTTTCTTAAAGGTCTCGGCTTTCCTCACGCCAATTCTTCGCACCTCACATTGTCAACTTATATTCTCTCAACTGACAAACGGACGATAGTATGATTATCACACTTCCAGAAACTAGTCAGACTTGTTTGCTTTCCCGTTCTATCCCCATATCAGCACTACCATAAGAACATAACATAACGGTTCGCGAATAGTGAGCCAAATGAGGATCCAGAAGTGTGATCCGGGAGAAGAAAAGCCATTTGCGCTTGAGTAAGGGACAAACATTACGTAATCGCTCATTTATTTGCGGCAGTATTCGGCCATTGTCGGAGGGAAAGCGAAACGGGAGTCCAGGAGTGAGTTATTAAACGAACAGAAAAGCACTGAGAAAGCGAATGCTTTACAGTCATAAGTCAACTGGGCTGTCGGTGGAATCAGTCAAACGTACTGTTTACCAACGCCGTGTGTAATCTTATGCGCAATATGGAATAGTGTATCGAATTATCGTGTTAAATAAAGCAACGGAAACATCACCTCGACGTAAAGCAAACGTCGGAACCCCTTCTATGCTCTTACTCCGTCGTCGTGACGATCGACGTGTCAACGGCAAGGGAGGATTTTCAATCTTCGTTTCGTAATTCCTACCAAGACGCTCAGACTCAACAAAAGCAGATGTTATTCGCTCGTTTACGGTATTGCGCATGAACGCCCGTTTGACAGGGCTGTACCTACCGGAGGGTCTTTCAGTTATGTTTCTTCTGTCCAGTACGAAATTGTTGATTTCATGGACGTCGTTCCTCTATATAATCGAATACTTTTACGGTCCTTTGATTTCGAAACTGTTGACACTTTTTTTCATTCCAATCGCGTTCGTGTCTTACCTCCTTATAGATTCAGTTGGTCTCGCGATCGTTGGAAAGGAGAACCTCCACTGTAAAAGGTGGTAAATATACTTATGGATATTAGAAACGAATCTTGGCTACTGTTTTTCCATGCAGGAGCCAGCTCCTGGTCTTCCGAGTTTATCGTAACGGATCTCCTATCTGTGAAGACACGAACAAGAGTACATAACTCATCGTTGGAATCTTGGCGATCTGTCTTATCGGCCTCGTGACTTCTTCGCCGGTGTTGCCAGGCCGGAATCGTAAACTGAAATCGGAGAATCTAGAAATTATACGTACCTATATCGAATCCTCATTGTTCACGTTGCCAATGTAATGCCCTGAGTCACCGAGTCTCCTATGTATGTATGTATTCCGTCGGTAAGTCTTGGCACTCGGTTCGTGAATTCAAGTAGCCAATCTGACGTATAGGATCACCTGGGAAACCTGGCTAGACTGAGGAAGATCAGCGAACTTGGGTATACAGACGGACAGAGCCGTCTACTCGGGGTCAAGAACCCCGCATCTCCTGAACCCAACGAGTCTCCGCGATAGTAGGATTTATAAACGCAGTATTGTATTCAACAAGTCTACGACCTCGTGGTCAATAGTTATTGGTCAACAAGATGGCCGCGGTCCTTCGCAATTTTAGTCTTAGCCTTTGGAGTACACTCCTTCCTTCTCTCGCTGTTCCTGCATGTCGAATGACTCTCTTTTTTTTTAACCTTGTCCGCTATTAATGTCTATCTCATTTTTTCTCCCAGTCGATTCTCCATCTTCTCTACTAATCTTTCTTGCGAGACTGACAACACGTTTTTCGCCATGAGTCATCCTTCCGCAAGTAACCTAACGAATATTGCACGAGGTTGCATCTCACTCTGGACACGTGTAGGACATACGGAACCTTGTGGTTCACGGTAGGAATCCGCATGCCGGTAGCACGTTACTAGGCCGTCGTACATCGCCTTTAATATACAAGCTACTACGATCAAGGAATCTCGTGCCTATGCGTTATAATCTTTTTTTTTTTATTCTAGATTCTATGAGATCTTTGAGGCTCCCGAAACATGCGAACTTAAATATTATACTTTGGCATTACGCGCTGGCAGCTTTGTTTTCAAATTAAGCTACCTGACAGAAACTCAATGTAAATGGTTATTACTGTACGAAGAGAAAAAGATGTCGCATGTTTTCAGTGAAATGTAAAAATAGCACTGTACATCACTGAGTGTGGACCCCTGTCAAGATGAAATTATGTTAAACGAAGGGGCGACCCTGGTTTTAGATGTGGCACAACCTGGGATATTTTGACGGCTGGGGGGAGGGGGGGGGGCGACGAGGCGGCTGAAATAAACGAAGTGTCATGCTGCTGCGATTGGGGCGGGGCATTCATAGCTTTTCCACTTGAATTTACTTCTCATGGCGCCAGGTTATGTCAACCGATCGATCGACTTATTGTTTTTCCTTTTCTTTGACTTTCTTCAATCGCTTCTCTCTCGTTCTATCCTTTTATTACGTTATACTGTATAAGCTGTTAATGAAGAGGATTATTGGATTCTCGTTTCCTGTTACAAAGCAGCGTCGATACCGTTTATTATGTCCTGATATTTTTTTAAGAGAATACGTGCAGTCGAATTTCATGCTGTGTAACTGTCAGGTGTTTATTAATTTATTGTTTCAAACTGAACGTCATCTTCTACCGTCAGATACTCTTATCCGTAGCACTCTATGTGTAGCGACAAAATTTATGATAAAATCAGTTGTTGCCATTCATCTGCTAATAAATCGGGACGATTAGAAGGTTTTGTTCGGAATTACATTGACGGACAGTGGATATATTGTATAGGAAAGTGATATACAGTGTGAAAACTTGTAACGATAAGGATATTAATAAAAATAGAAGACCTTATTAATTGCGATTATTCTTCTATTTTTAGTATCCAATGACGATACTTTACGATCCTACTCGCAAGAAAGAACCACCCACGGGCGTATCTGTACAATACAGCCACGACAGGGAGATCTGTATGAAGCTTTTCGAAAGATGGAGCGAACCGGAACAAGTGCACTTCGTGGAACAACTATTGGCACGGATGTGCCATTACCAACACGGACACATCAACGCCTACCTAAAACCCATGCTGCAGCGGGACTTCATCTCTCTTCTGCCAAGTAATAAAAGATTTCAATGGTCGTGGGCAACGGTTGATAATAATGGATAGTAATATGTCTATTGTGATCTTTATCGATGCCTTGCGAATAATTGCATTCATTTGTTTTATGGCTCATTACACAACCATTTTGTTTCCTCTTTGCAGAGAAAGGATTGGACCATGTAGCCGAGAGCATTCTGTCCTATCTCGATGCTGATTCGCTATGCGCGGCAGAACTCGTATGCAAAGAATGGTACAGAGTAATTAGCGAGGGAATGCTTTGGAAAAAGTTAATTGAACGTAAGGTTCGGACTGATTCCGTATGGAGAGGATTAGCAGAGAGGAGAGGATGGTTAGTTTTTATTTCAATTATACTTATTGCGCATTGCGTGGCATTATGGCAATGGATAAGGATTTCGTGGGATTGTATTCATGAATAATGCTTTTTTTTCCTTTGTGTTTTAGGATACAATATTTGTTCAAACCGAGGCCTGGCGAGAGTCATCGAAATCATGGATTTTATAGAACTCTTTTCCCCAAAATTGTCAAGGATATCGATAGCATAGACAACAATTGGCGAATGGGGAGGCACAATCTGCAGAAAATAAATTGTCGAAGCGAAAATTCCAAGGGCGTTTACTGCCTTCAGTATGATGATCAGAAGATTGTTTCGGGGCTGCGCGATAATACCATTAAAATATGGGATAGAAATACTCTGCAGTGTATCAAGGTGCTCACTGGACACACAGGCTCCGTCCTTTGTTTGCAGTACGATGACAAAGCTATTATATCTGGCTCTTCGGATAGTACTGTCAGAGTATGGGATGCCAATACTGGTGAAATGGTCAACACTTTGATTCATCATTGTGAAGCTGTGTTACATCTCAGATTCAACAATGGCATGATGGTCACTTGTTCTAAGGTTTGTACGATAACGTTAACATTTCATTTTCACTTGTTACGAGCATTTTGAAATACGTGTAACGATATGGACAATTATACTGTTAGTAAAATGGAACATGATTCGATTGATCCTGATTGGGCATTCATCATTTGCAAGAATAGTGAACGAAGGAAAAATGTTAATGATTCTTACAGGACCGTTCAATTGCTGTATGGGATATGACTTCACAAACTGAAATTGCCTTGCGTCGGGTACTGGTTGGGCACCGAGCAGCGGTAAACGTTGTGGATTTCGATGAGAAATATATAGTGTCGGCTAGTGGTGATAGGACTATCAAAGTATGGAACACATCCACCTGTGAATTCGTGCGAACGTTAAACGGGCACAAGCGGGGCATAGCATGTTTGCAATATAGAGATCGCTTAGTAGTTAGTGGTAGCAGCGACAACACTATCAGATTATGGGACATTGAGTGTGGTGCGTGTTTGCGTGTTTTGGAGGGTCACGAAGAGCTTGTCAGGTGTATCAGATTCGACAGTAAACACATCGTCAGCGGGGCTTACGACGGGTGAGTTAATTTTATAGAATTATTGACGAACGTCGTCTTGAATTGATTCATCGATTTTATGGAAATAAGTATTTAATGTCTTAATGATTGTGAAAGAATTGGTCTTTGACATCTTTATTTTCTTTACAGAAAAATTAAAGTTTGGGACCTGGTGGCGGCACTGGATCCTCGTGCCCTAGCTAGTACTTTATGTCTACGCACATTGGTGGTAAGATATCTACAACAGTTTTCATAAATCATCAGTCTTTTGTCATATTGACACTTCTGATACTTCAAATACAGTTATACTTTTAATAGTTCATGGTATACCAGTTGCACGTTCTGTGCAAAACTTAGCAATGGGTCTTTGATTTCTTAATTAAATCGAATATTACAATATTCAAAATGGCACAGTGATTATAGTACGCACGTGTTTCTTCTTGCGCCAGGAGCACACCGGACGCGTTTTCCGCCTTCAATTTGACGAGTTCCAGATAGTGTCGTCTTCTCATGACGATACAATCATCATCTGGGACTTCTTGAATTTCACGGATGGATCTGTAAACAGTGGATCCATGGCAATCAACTCATCAAATGTTGCTGCACAATCTGATACCAGATCTCCCTCTCGTAAGTTCAAAATTTGATTCTGAAGTGTCCTACCTGTTTGAAGTACACGAAACTTGATTAGTCAAGTTTTCTTTAGCCTTAACACCTTTCTTAACCTCTTTTCCTTTTTCCAAATTTCAGCGTTCGAGTGACGCATAACACGAAGATTCCTTTATTGTGATATGACTGTAAGTATTTCTTCAAGACTCGACTATTTTTAAAATGTAAAAGATATAACGTGACATATATATTGTTTGGCACGAGATTTTATGATAGTTTCAAAGAGAGTGCAATTGATGAGCGAAATAAGTTTTCCGTTATAAATAGTTGAAGCAGAGGCTACCAAAGAAAGAATGTAAAACCATTTACTTTAATTTCGATATTCATGAATCTTAGATTTGAATAACCCGTTGAAACATTAAACTGTCGGCAAATCATTTACTAATATTTTTGCACTTAGAATGCTAATGACAAGATATGTATGAAATATGAATAGAGTGCATGAATGTAAAATACTGTTACAGTTTGTACAGTAACGAGTCTTCTATATGTATAAAATAGCAGCAGCTTTTGTTTAACTTGATTAGGTTGGATGGAATAAGGTTTCGAACGTATCAAACATTGGAATAAAGGTATTTACGCGGATCAGTGTTAGTGGCGCGTAGACGCTTAGCCTAGAATCGTCATAAAGCAATATATTGATACTAACAGACAAATGTTCCATTTTATTATAAAAATGACTTCACAAGTGCTTGTTCTAATAGTTTTCTTCGATTTGTTTCAGACAAGTGGTTAGTGAGTGAATTCAATGTGTTCACAATAGTGTGCACAGAGAATGAAGAACCAGTGTCCAGTGTGACCAGCGCCTAAACAGACAAAGACATCACAAATAGACTCGGCTAACGACTTTTGTTTATTGTTTGCCGTGAAAAGCAAAGAAATTCTCAGAAATTCGAAATGCACTGACTCGTAAAACTATGAATTAATTTATACGCGCTTGACGTACTACGTATAACGATGGACAATATTATATAACTATGTAAATACATCCCATGGATGTAAATGAACATTGTCTGCTTTGGCCATACCTGGAATTCTTCTACGCTCTATGACACGATAGAAGTTGACCATTTTCCTACTATGAAAAAAAGACTTAAAGTACGCAACAAAATGGAACGTTATTAGGGAGGCTGGATACACTTAATAAAATAATAGATGTATTATAGTAAATTAAAGATTTTTTATGTAATTAATTTATAGATAAGAGATTCATAAAATATCATTTGATCAGAGTACTTATTCTGTACGAATGGAAAATAGGAACGTCGAGAAAAAAAATACAAACAATTACCACGTATTTATATCTTCTATAATCAATTAATCTATATTGCTATTTAATTAGCGACATAGGTGCACAGCGAAATTGGTCAAGCTCAAAGATACTTGGACTACAGCAGCCTTCATTGATCTTAGTTTTTCAATGGTTTGTCCAATTGTACTGTGGATTTGAAAAAATTTGATCAATATTTTTGCACAGCCTTAAATATGGGCTACTATTTGTTCTCAAAAGGACTAATCCTTTACTCATAACATTCTGAAATATAGGCAATTATGTACTGTATTAACGAACATACATAGATTGCACTAACTGTTCCAAGTATTCTGATCTTGGATTATTGATTGTAAAGTTTTTCTCTTACGTATTATTTTTTTTTTAATGTTACTCGTATCTTTTCTGTCTTCAATTATTATTAATTTCTATTTGTCGTTTTCACAAGTTAGTTAATGTCCATTCTTGCTGTTCTTTTAATATGACTGAATCAATCGTATAGTGTACATTGGGAACCTTATATATTAAATATCTGAATACCAATTGAATATTTAATGTATAAAGGTATTTATGTTCGAGACATCGATTTATCTGTGTAATTTATGAAGCGATTCCATGTGGTATAGCCCTTATTTATTTGACGATAAATTAGAAAACACTTTTAATACATTCTGAATAAATAATCAATGATTTTCAGCAGTTCTTTATTTTATATACTCAGCGTACAGTTGCATTTCGTTTTTTTTGTTTCTGTTCATGACGTAATCGTGTAATCTGTAAATAGCGAGTTCATCAGAACAAAATAACTCACTTAACATACATTTGATAAAACAAAATTCATAAATTACGATACTCAATTTATTGTAAGGAAATACATTTTAAACATACTTTAAAATTATAAATAAAAAATAAAGCAAAGGCTGTGCAAAAGCTGTACTCCATCCAGGTGAAGCTAAACTTGAATTTCAATGGGAAAAATCTGATACTATGCGTAACGCGATATAAAAATTATAAAATAATTTTTAAAACCTTTACGGAAGATCTATTATTTAAGATCTGTTGTAATGAAAATTAGGCCACAACCGAACAAACATTCAAGCCAGTCAAAAAAAGTTAAAATCGCATGCCAGATATGAATGATGTTTGATTATTTATTAACATGTACACGTAGTGGTTCGCAATTAATATCCATCAAATACTTGAAAACGTCCAATGATAAGGATGCTTAATGATTCCTATTAAGGAATCTAAGGAGACTGTGAGCGAAGGTCACTATCTTAAAAATACTTCTGTAACTCGTTTTTTTCGCAATGCGCTCTTACTGCAGAAATATATCGCGGAATTGACGTGGCGTAACAAAATTACTGTATTATGTTTTTTTTTCTCGTTCGTTCATCAATGCGAGTTGCGACTAAACACGGATATACAAAAGTGTGCGAACGAGTGAAATGAAAGCTGGAAAGGATCTAGGAATAAGTTCATATGTATCCTTTGAAATATAATGACGTTATAAGTGAATACAATTTGGAAAATGCTTCAAGAGCATAAACCAATATACAACGCTTTTACGTATAATTCTAATGCACGACCTCAATATTGCCATTATCGATCTTCACTACAGTTGCGGTTACATCATTTACCAATTGAAAAGATGCGAAGGAGTATCTCGGTTCTTGTTGCATGTTTAATATACGACTAATAATTAGCTACATAAAAGGAACCTCGATTCGTTAATAACGGCTCAAGAAATAATGTCTCCATAGAATAATAACGATAACTATTAAATTACATTGTGACCAAGTAAGATTTAAATAATTCGTACGCGATCGCATAAGAGGAGAATGTAATTTTTTGGTCTACAATGTCTATTTTGGTTCTACGTATCGGTAACTCGAGTTTTCATTTTTCGCAATAATTTCGTGCACCACACCGCGCTTTTTGACAAGGCATCGTTTCACGTATATTTTTGAAAATGTAATGTACAGTGTTATGAAACTGGAAATCAAGAGACTCGAGTTACGAATATATAGGATTTAAGGGTTTCGTTATTTAAGACCTCAAATTTCAGCGACAACCTACTCTTTTACTGCTAATGTGTATTATATTAATATTAATATAATCTACATTCTACATTCAAAAAAGTGTCAAGTCTGTTTGTAAAAACAACATTGCAGCAAACGTGTTAAGAAAAAAAAAAAAGAGAATGTGAAAACCGATTGAAGATCCTACATTAGATGATAAATTTTGCGACTTGCGAAATTAATCTTAAACCTCGTTAACGCAAACTGGAATTCATCATGATGTAACGATTTTTTACAGTTATCGTATAAATATATTCATAAATTTATTATACGAGCGAAAAGAAGCTTTATTGCTGAGAAAAATTCTGTTTGTTCAGTCGTCGCGAATCGCGCAAGCGTGATTATATTATAGATTTGTGCGGCTGCATATTGATGAGCAAAACAAAAGGATGGAATAATCGCACAAAGTGACATTTTTTCAGCAATAGGGTATCATGACTGTACATTATACATTACATTATAATTAGCGATAGGGGATATAAAAGTAATTGTTTTTTATTCAATGCCTGCACGATCGTAAAACAAACAAAAAAGAGCTGTACCTTGTGCAAATTAGATTCACAAACCACGGCTATCTTTCCACTAAGACTTCGATTGTTAAGTCATAATAATAAAACACGCCTTATGCTTTACAAAAAAAAACGCCAAAAAAACAAGCATAAGCTAAGCGAGTATTGTACAAATAAAAATTTAGCAAAGGTGCGTGCGCGCGCGCGCGTGTGTGTGTGTGAGAGAGAGAAGAGAGCAAAAAAGAAAAATAAGTAAATACCTGGAGAGTCTGTTAAGTGAATTTGTTAGCTATTAGTTTTATGCACGCTTGCTAGAGATTAGTCATATCTGTTTTATGCGGATTATTGTTACGAGTTACAAAGAAAAACCAAGAAACTCGCTAATGAAAAAAAAAGAAAAAATTTTATCCAAGGTCTTTGCGATTCTCGCGCAGTTCCCTTAGGCCGACTAATTCTCGCTTTCAATTAGCTAATTAAAAAAAAATACGGGAAAGTCATTATGGAAGGAGTGTTTCGTAATTGTGCAAAAAATGATAGTAGCATTGTCAGGTTTCGTGTAGAACAATTAACCAGCGATAAAAGAAAATGGGAAAGGAATGGAAACTTGTGATATCCCATTATACATAAGGCTATTTACGTATAGCTGCCTATTTAGAACCAGCTGAATTTTGTAGAATTTTGAGAAGTGAAATATCAATCGCATCGTGCCCTTCACAAAAATCTTTATATCATCCAGAACCTAGACCCATTCTAATTATAATAATAATATCTTTTGGTTACAGTATCTGTTAAAAACATTATTACCATATACTCTAAAAATATGCTGAACACAAAAGTTCAACTATCATCCAGTGATTAGATGCCCTAGCTGCTGCGATGTTTTTCAGTCAATGTAAGTACATATAATCCCACGGATTAGCGTAAGCGCACGTTTGGTGCCTAGCAACGCAGCAAAGATTTATTCAATTAAAAAAATTCCCATCGTTATCCAATAGATTTGTCATCCCTTGAAGGAAGGTTGCAAGTCCATGTAATACCTAGAAAAAAAATAAATTTCATATCGATTTGCGTACAGATTTCTTCCAGCAATTAAAAATGTTTGAAGGAAGCAATATAAATAAATCCAGTGGTAAAATCAAAGCACATAGCTGGCCCAGATGTCGCCCTAAAGCACATTTGCATTACTAGGCTGGAGGTACCAAAAAAATCGTATAGTTGGCTCCCTATGTGCAGCGTAGTCGAGCAAGTCCGTTCTCTATTGGCGTGTCGAGTCGCATGTGATCCAGCCTTCAGTATAGAAATGCGAAGCTGCGAAAATGGCGGATGAACAGGTGAGTTCCTGATGAAAATAACGCACGAGCTGAGGCGTCGCGAAATGAACAGCGCGCCCAGCTGGCCGTGAATCAATTAGCGAGAAATACGCGGGAGACGCGGATCAGACTGAAACAAATTGTCGCGAAAAAAGATGGTCGATTGTTACTAAATTCGCGGTACCGTTGCTGGACGCAGGAGTGATTGTCCGAGCGCGCACTGTCAACCAAAACATTGGAACTCAAAGAAGTCCCTCTTCGAATTTTAGCCGGCTTTGTGGCGTCGTGTCAAGAAGAAATATACTATTGTATGTCTGTGAGGATATATAATGCGTGTCGTTGATACTTTTGATATTTCGGAGTATTTCCAAAGAATCGGGATAATCATTTGAGAAAATATCTCATGACCAGTGGCTAGTGTCGATCTTTTATAATATATCGCGCAAGATACAATCGGATAGTTGTATCCTGTATTATTATTTTTATCAGTACGAATCCTTTTCCGGTCTTAAGTTTGCTTATTTTAAATTAATTTCATTCTGTCTTATTATTGCACCTAACCAATGGGATCCTCGCTGTTACGGTGATTGTGTTTTTATCCGATCATCGCACGGAACACGCTTCGCTCTATTACGTCGCTCGATATAAGAAGGAATTCCTATCTTGTGCCGCGTTAAAACTTCACTGAAAATTGCGTCGATTTTTCGTGCAAGGGATATATATCTTCTTGGATGCTGTTTGGAACTCGTAGAACGATTCAGGAAAGATTGCCTTTATCAAACATCGGCTGTAACCTGCAACTTTGTTCTCGTTATTGCTGTGCTTAGTGTAGAATATTACTGTGTTTCCTTGTATCTTCTGTGTGAGACTTGTGCTAGTTTTCCTATAAGTGATATATGTAAGCAATAAGACTTACGAAATGTGATAAATTATTTTCTAAAAATCCCTTGTGTCCGAGATATAAGTATCTCTTTGTGCTATGATTGTTCATAATGGATCATTAAGGGTTTTCGTACAGTCATATTTTCTTCTCTAAATTGATCTTTGTTGTTACAAAATTACAAGAGAAAATTTTCCTTTTTAATGTGTTCATGGGCTTAATTGGAGAAGTGATATACATTATATAGTATAATAAAGTGTTGTGATTAGTTTTGTTAAATTGTATCAATATCTGTTCTTTTTAATTTATATAAGTTTATACTGCGTTTAAGACAAATTTTTTATTATTTACTTAATGAACTATGGACACATAAATATTATTATAATGGATCTATAAGTGAACTTTATAGGACTTGCTGTTGTTTTAACTTAAGTACCTGCTTCTAGTTTCATCTGTTTCAAGATTGCTAATTGATGTCAGAAGAAAGAATAAATAAATCATGAGAAAACAATGAAAGTCAATGGGATCCAGTTAGACTAAACATGAATTTATGTCATATGTATTTGACAATAACAAATTGCAAGTTTGAACAATATCATTAAGAATGGATCACATACAGGAAGTACGGCAGCTGGAGTTGTTGTGCAAGCAGTTATATGAATCACAAGATTCAGCACATCGTGCAGAGGCTGAAAAGGCTTTGGTTGGTTTCCAAAATGCTCCAGATACACTTGCTAAGTGTCAGCTGCTTTTGGACCGTGGAGATTCTGCTTATGCCCAATTGTTGGCTGGCACTACTCTTACAAAATTGGTGTCTAGGTCAGCACAAGGGCTCAGTCTACAACAGAGGCTTGATATACGTGAGTCAAATTATTCTTCATTAGAAAAAAATGATTGAATGTATACCTATTGCATTTTATATTGTTCTGTTTATATTATATCTTTAATTACAATTGATCTATTATATTTAATACAGGAAACTATGTCCTTAACTACTTAGCAACGCAACCCAAGTTGCCAAACTTTGTGATACAGGCATTGGTTACACTGTTTGCGAGAATATCCAAACTGGGTTGGTTCGATTCAGACAAGGAAGAATTTGTCTTTAGAAATGTCGTCAATGATATTACAAAATTTCTTCAGGTCTGAATGTTATATCTATCCTTATTAGAAGTATTTCTCTATCTCATTATGTTAAATATATAATAATTTTTCATATTTTTATTGGTTTTCTCAAAATCACAGGGCTCAGTAGAGCATTGTATGATAGCTGTACAGCTCCTTTCACAATTGACATGCGAGATGAATCAAATATCCGAAGTCGATGCAAATAGGTCACTTACAAAACATCGAAAAATTGCTAGTAGTTTTAGGGACACGCAACTCTTTGAAATATTCAGGTTATCGTGTTCCCTTCTTGGAACAGCGCGGGAGAACTGCAAAAGTTTAAATTTTAATGATGAAGCACAGGTATAGTAGTTTTATTAAATTATCAACAAAATTGATTATATTACCAGCGAGGTTTAATAAGTTTCTAATACAGTTCATTATTTTGATTTTTTTATCATAGCATGGATTGATGACACAACTTTTGAGGCTTGCACAGAATTGTCTTACCTTTGATTTCATTGGAACGTCCACTGATGAAAGTTCTGACGATCTCTGTACGGTTCAGATACCAACGAGTTGGAGACCAGCATTTTTAGACTTTGCGACATTGAAACTCTTTTTCGACCTTTATCACAGCCTTCCGAACTCACTGTCTGCTTTAGCCCTTTCGTGTTTAGTTCAAATAGCATCTGTCAGACGAAGTTTATTTTCGAATACCGAGAGAGCCAAATTTTTAACACACTTAGTAAACGGAGTTAAACATATTTTACAAAATCCTCAAGGCCTTAGCGATCCCGGGAACTATCACGAATTTTGTAGATTGTTAGCACGTTTAAAGAGTAACTATCAACTTGGCGAATTGGTAATGGTTGAAAATTACCCAGAAGCGATACAGCTCATTGCAAAGTTTACCGTACAGAGTTTACAAATGTGGCAATTTGCACCAAACAGTGTGCATTATCTTCTCAGTCTTTGGCAGAGAATGGTAGCATCGGTACCTTATGTAAAAGCAACTGAACCACATTTGTTAGAAACTTATACGCCCGAAGTTTCAAATGCATACATCACGTCAAGATTAGAGTCTGTAGCAGTAGTAGTTAGAGAAGGTTTAGAGGATCCGTTAGATGATTTGGGAATGATACAACAACAGTTAGAACAGTTATCTGTGATTGGGAGATGTGAATACCAAAAAACCTGTACCCTATTAGTTCAGCTGTTTGATCAGGCAGCTAGAACTTATCAGGAATTAATGGCACAGACAGCAACACCTGCTCAGCAAATGGACATAACGATACAGGAAGGACAACTAACATGGCTTGTATACATAATTGGTAAGAAACTTGGGAACTTGGACAGTCCAAAATGCAATAGCGTTAACTCGATACGAAACATAATTTTACAATGCGCAGGTAGTGCCATCGGTGGTAGAGTATCATTTAACAGCAACGAGGAACATGACGCGATGGATGGTGAATTGGTCTGCAGAGTTCTTCAGTTGATGAACCTAACTGATTCAAGATTAGCACAGGGCGGCTGTGAAAAACTTGAACTGGCTATGTTAAGTTTCTTCGAACAATTTCGAAAGATATATGTAGGTGATCAGATTCAAAAAAATTCCAAAGTGTATAGAAGACTGTCAGAAGTGTTGGGTCTTAGTGATGAGGCCATGGTACTCAGTGTATTTATTAGGAAAATGTAAGTCACAAAAGCATCATATATTTTAATCTTGGAAAGAAAAAAAATATCATTGTAATTTGCAGAATAACAAACTTGAAGTACTGGGGAAGAAGCGAACAAATTATATCGAAGACTTTGCAGCTTTTGAATGATCTCTCAGTGGGCTATAGTTGTGTACGCAAACTTGTGAAATTAGAGGAAGTACAGTTCATGCTGAACAACCACACAGTAAGTATGAAGTATTAATTAGTGCATGCAGAAATTATTTGAAAGATGCTTAACGTTGCGTACACTTTACATTACAGAGCGAACACTTTCCTTTTCTGGGAAACAGCGTTGCTGTTACGGAAATGCGCTGCAGATCAATGTTTTACACATCGCTTGGCAGATTGTTAATGGTCGATTTAGGGGAAGACGAAGAGAGGTTTCATACATTTATGTTGCCCCTCACAGGTATAACGATCAATCCATGTATGACGTACCTTGAAACTCAAGTGCAGTAAAAAGCCACAGAATGTTGCGAATGAATGAATGAATGTGAGTCGGGTTAACAAACCGTAAGTGTTATGTTTATTTGATTTCGGTCGAGCATGATAAGACAGATGAAATGAGGAAGATAAAGGACCTTATGGTAGTAAAAGTATAGGCCCGCTACGGCTCTGCAGTTTCAGATACTGATTTACAAAATGTTTTATCGCTAGACTTAACTTACTCGTACGTACTACAATATATGAACGTGACTTTGCATTAATTATAGCTGCTTTGGAAAGCCTTGGTCAGTTAATGGGTGCTGCGGACACTCCCCTATTCGCAGCAGAAGAAGCCAAAAAAGCCCTGATCGGTCTTGCTCGAGATCTCAGAGGACTGGCTTACGCCTTTAACACAAAAAATTCTTACATGATGCTGTTTGACTGGATGTATCCTTTCGCATATGATTCGATTTAATGATAACCATCTCTTATCTCTTAGTACCATTTTCCTCAATTGATCACAGATATCCTAATTACACACCTATTTTATTACACGCCGTGGAACTGTGGCATCACGAACCGCAAGTGACTACGCCCGTCCTAAAATTATTTGCGGAGTTAGTACAAAATAGAAGCCAACGTTTACAATTCGATGTATCCTCGCCAAATGGGATTCTACTCTTTCGCGAAGCCAGTAAAGTTATATGTAGCTATGGTAATCATATACTGAACGTCGAAGTACCCAAGGACCAGGTTTATCCATTGAAGCTCAAGGGGATAAGCATATGCTTCAGTATGTTGAAGGCAGCATTATGTGGGAGCTATGTAAACTTTGGAGTATTTAGGTTATACGGGGATGAGGCATTGGACAATGCTCTAAATACATTTGTGAAATTGCTCCTTAGTATACCACAAAGTGACTTATTGGTAAGTGCTGTACAAGTTTCCTGCATCCTTGATAAATGATAGTTTGATTATTCCCAGGGATATAGGACGACTTAGGGATTCCTTTAGATTCCATTATAGGTGCTGCTTATAACAATCGCGTCAGTTTTGACTGACAGCTTTAGGATGATTATATTGGTTTTTTTTTTTTGTTAGGATTATCCAAAATTGTCCTCTACATACTACGTGTTACTGGAGTGTCTAGCCCAGGATCACATGGCCTTTCTCTCGACGTTGGAACCCAGGGTCTTTCTCTACATCCTGTCAAGTATCAGCGAAGGCCTTACGGCACTAGGTGCGCTAAAAGACTCCTACACAGGTCTGTGCGGCTGATTCTATCTTATCGCTACCCTCTATATCCTCTATACCGTGCCCTCTAGTACTGTTTTATTATTACATTGAAGACCAATATCCGTTCCCTTTATCCGCATCGGAAATAGTTGGCTAGTTAAAATACTATTGATTTCTTATAATTGATTTTTCATAAAATTACTGAATCACTATTGGAATTTGATCTAACTGATTGTTTTTGAATTTTTCTGAAGTATTACAGCGATTCTTATTATACGTATGTATCGTTATATGAAATTGTTTTATAATCAGTCAAAACTCAATTTTGCAGTCAAATATTTTTCCTATGTCAGTGTCGGATAATTTTTGTAAGTTCCTTTAAAGTTACGGGAAATACGCGATAATTGGTTAATCAATATTTATTACCCGTGCTTTTAGCCTAAAGTAATAGTCAATAAGTATTGGAAAATTCCTTCATTTCAAACTTATGCCATGTGCTTTTTGCATTGTCGCTTGGAATGTAAATCTGCCTTTGGGTATTAGTCACTGCGATAGTATGCAATGACTTTACGGAAAGCAGAATTATGAAGTATGTCCGATAATTTCTATTGCAACGATAACTTTATGCACATAAAGAGATTGATTAAGAACACCCCTTTCTATGACATAGGCACTAAAGAGGATTGGAGTGCGTAGAATCTAGACCCTTGTTGCATTGTCAAAATTTCACTTATAGAATGATAACATTTAATGCTTAAGAATGTTTTGTATTATGCGTTTTACAAATTCCTTTATATTTTAAAATAGTACCTACAATTAGCGATTTTGGAAATTTGACTGAAATTCAACAAAATAATGGGTCTAGCATAATGCAGTCAGCCGCACAGCTGACATATTACTAAATCATTAATCCGTCGTATTTAACTAACTTTGAGTAAGTTTTTCGTACATTAATTAATCAATGGGCGTGGCACGACTATGTGTGTTTTATCTTCACATCTTCATTTACTTGTTTATCCAATTATATCTAATCAACCTTATTGTTTTGCTCGTACATCTCTAAAGAAAGTTTTGAAGGAAGAATACAACTATTGATTAAATTAAATCGATCAGGTATTATTAGCCCAGAGAAAAGAATGACAATCTCCCCCGCTGGTGTTTTGTATGACAATTGTTTGCAGATTAATCGCTCTAAGAAACGTAATGAAGAGTTATTATTTTCTCATGCAATTAATCTCTTTAATTATTGAGCATGTGTTGCATTTGTGAAGTCGAAAAGGTCATTGACGATTTTATCCACTATCATTTTTTTGTTCAACCACACGCTGTGGGGATTATTTAATGCACGGGAAGAGTCGTTTTGACATGATAGATAGAGTTTAACATTTTGCTCTCAAATATTTTTTCTGTCTACCTTTATTTCATAAAATCTTGGCAACAACTTAAGCGACTCCGCACTATATATGTGTAATTGAGCCAGTCTTAAGGTAGGTGCTTTGTTTGCTTTGCAATGTTACTTTAAAGTATTCATTTGCATTCACTTTTCTTTTTGTGCTATCGTATTATCTTGCGCTCTTGTAGTGTCGCTCACGTGCCCTTACGGTCTCTGATAGGAAAGACTTTTCATTATGTTTCAGACACTATGGTTTGCACTGGCTGTTGCGCTACGTTAGATCACATTGTGACGTATCTATTCAAACAACTCTATCAAAAAGGTGAGAATTAATTAGTTAGGTACAATTTAAACTCAATTCCTTTTGGGACACAACAAAATTGTTTAGACAAGCTCAGAAGTATAGTGCTTTACGGAATTTGATTTTCAGCTGGTGTATATCCAGGCAAAAAGAATGCAGTAGTTCCAGGAGGAGGGGAGCTATTTTTACAAGTCCTGAAGCAACATCCTGAAATCTTACAACAAATACTGAGTACCGTTTTAAATGTAATAATGTTCGAGGATTGTAGGAATCAATGGAGCATGTCCAGGCCTCTCTTGGGTCTAATACTTTTGAACGAAGAGGTAACATTATTGCTCTAGTATTTCATGCATAACATTTTCACTGTTTAAAACTGAATTGTGATGTATTTTGTGTTGCAGTATTTCAATCAGTTAAGAGAGAACATAATTAGGAGTCAACCGGTTGATAAACAGGCGACAATGGCACAGTGGTTCGAGAACCTTATGGATGGTATTGAAAGAAATTTACTCACAAAAAACAGAGATAAGTAAGTTTTTTTTTTATATACGGTACTCTTTATCGTTGCTTCCTTTTTTTTTAACGTTAGTCATACAAAATGATACTGCTTGATTTCACCAAACGTGAATATTCGATATCGCATAATGTTTTCTTGTTTTTGTCATTATATTTCAGGTTTACACAAAATCTGTCGATGTTCAGGAGAGATATAAACGATTCCCTAAAAGGACCCAGTATGTCAACGAATTCAGTCAGTGATATGATGACTTCGTAGTGACTCCGCTCCCTTCGGGTTAGGTTCCCCTGGGCTCTTGTCTGCCAAATGCTTGAATGTGCGAGTGCAAGTGTATCTATAAATTATGGTGGAATTACGATTCTAGTTTTAATTGAGTATAATTCAGTACTGAGATTTTACATAAACACTGCTGATTGGCTTCCTATTGCCAGTAATTGCAATTTCATTCCTCGAGAGTTTAACACCTTAAACTTGATCATATAGAGCATCACTTTTGTTTTCCATTCTTCTAATTATTTACATAAGTTTAATAAACAGAGACATTAAATCAATGCCATGATTTCTTTTATAAGTTCAATCGATCTTTACATCGATTTTACATCTCATGGAGAATAATATTTTTGTTTTCCTACCTCTTTTCCTATTCTTTTATACTGTCAATAAAAACGAATATATATGAAAGGTGAAAGCGTGGGTTTAAAAATAGGAAGTCGCGAAGCAGTTAACGTGTAGATATACGGTATTAAGTCCTTTGGTGTTTCTTTTAGACACGTAGTATGCTTCCATTCGTTTGAATGTGCCAGTTTGATTGATGTTTCATTTCGGATCGAAATTTGTATTAGCCACAAAGAGTGTAGTGTAAATGTGGACTGCGGCCTTAAAAGCTGTTTGTGGCAATGTTGTCTTGTGTGGCGACGGAACTTTATTGGGGCTAACATTTGGGAACCAGACCGAAAATTGGATCCATTCGAGGATATGACTATTACAGACTATATCAGTCAGTCAGTTGTGAACTAATGTGAATGATGTACATGAAGATATCATTAAACAATATCATATAAGAGGCCATAGTTATTATTACTATGACTATATTACTATTACTATTAATACTATTATTATTATTATTACTGCTACTACAATATTACTATTACTATTACATATTATTATCATTATAACGGAAATAGATCATAAAAGAGTAAGTAAAGTAAACAAATTTGTTACACGGGTTGGCTTGCTGTCAACATGCATGGTATATATAGTCTGTCCATTTTACAAGCGATAAAAGTATCCGTTCGAAATGGGCGATAAAAATACCCCAATTTCTAACAGTTAAACAATGTACTCAGGATCACCCTGTGGCATTTACGTCTAGTCCTCACCTACCGTGCGGGGAATATCAGGCCTACAAAATATTTTGTTCTCTTGTACACGAGGCCAGTACTTCATCTATATTCGCTATAGACGATTCACTATTGGTATCAGACGAGTGAAAATTATCCTCATTATTTTGATGACACCTACATCCATCGGTTAACGCAACTTTAAATCAACGTATAGTCGCACGATCGTCTCATCGTTGCGACTTAACTTTAAATGCATGTTGAGGGCAATCGGACGATGTGGAATTGTGAGAGTCGATTATCGGCCAGCAAACCGTATGTATTGTCGTACCGGTTCATTACATAGAGTTTTACCGTTTTAACCATAGTATCCGATAGAAATTCGTATTTCTGCGATACCAATTCAGGTGCGGTTACTATAACGCGATAAAATATATAGTTTTCATACGCGCAGTCATCACCCGACACAAAGGCAGTATTGTTAAGTCACAAATAACACGTAGGTCCTCGTGGAAATGGACGATTAACTATAGATTGTTAAGTAGAACGTGGTGATGCGCAATAGATGAACTCCGTGCCGTTCCTTTTTTTTTTTACCATTGATACCTTTGTACTTGTGATAATCGTGTCGATATGTCGCACCTCGATTTTGAATGCCATTTTATAATCCATGAAATATGTCACGTTTAATTTTAGTTTTGCTGATACAACAATACAGCTTTTCTTATATCTTCAATAGCAATCTCTTTTTTATAATTTCATTGCTTAGGATTTTATAGGATCAGTTAATATGGAACTTTGGCATTCAGAATATATTTTCATCTTATCAAGAAGCTATTGCAGGAGTCTTGGAAAACGGTACTTTCGTAATAGTTCTTTGAATAGCTTACTATGACTTTTTGTTTTCTTTACATTGAATTAATTTTATCTAATGAAACATTCTCGATGTGAAATAATTTGTATGATTAGAGTGTAAAGCCGCGAGGCCCTGTGCACGTACGGAGATAAACTTTGAAAGGGGTAATACCCGAAATATAGTATAAATAGATACAAATTACCATGTTTGTTATTATTTCTATAGCTTCTTATAATAAACTAAAAATATACAGAGGTCTAAAAATCATATATGCACTCAAGTGATAGCGTGCCTGATGCTTTTAGAGTACAAAAAGCGTGAGAAAAGTGAATTTATAATTTAGCACTAGAAGGTGATCTGGACCATAAATTTTATAGCAGTGCGAAGTAACCATTATATTTTTTATTTACGTATTTTGCGAATCGACCAAGATGGCACAATAAATTTTTCAAGAGCTAAATAAAATTTTACACAAGTAATTCATTCGATTTCTTAAATCGGTTTCATCCGAATTATCATTCTACGCAGATCCTCTCCGAACGTAAGTGAACGATTTTGTTTAATGATTGGATGCTTATGTAATAATATATGTGTTTTATTATTTTATTTATCCCAGAGCACACCTCAAGTGCTGAATCTTCTTCCTCATCTTCATCCGGGGGTGTAACTCAGTGGTAGAGTGTCTGCTTCGCATGCTGAAAGTCCTGGGTTCAAATCCCAGCTCCTCCAATACTCATTTTTTTTTTTTTTTTTTTTTTTTTTTTTTTTTTTTTTTTTTTTTTTTTTTTTTTTTTTTTTTTTTTTTTTTTCGTGACGTCAACAACGTCTCTTACGTCATCATTAACACACCGAATAAATCATCGTTTGAGCAATCAGTTATGTATATTTTGTAATTAAATTAAACCTTTAGTAATTTTATGAAATATTTATTTATCAGAAAACATAAAAGTACAGTTAATACAACATGTCTAAAATAAAATATATTACAGCTGTTTCGCAAGGTATTAAATAAAAGCAATATGCTGTTCCTCTTTATTAATCGTTGTACAAATAATTTAGACGATGTGCGTCCCGACCCATTGATAAGCACTTGAGCAGCAGGAGACACGGTAATTCCTAGCCCAGCCTAGTCACTCCTGCGGCACTAGTACTTAGGAACAGGACAGGATTTCAGTAAACCACTATAATCGGCCATCATTCAGCCGTTTCTTGATTCCGCGTAGAAACCATAAAAAAAAGAGAAATTAATCGTTGATAAGCGATCTGAAAAATAAATGACATCTCGTTAAGTTAAACGGTCTTACATTCACCCTGTATAATAGACTGTAATAATTATTAAATTGATATTCTACAAGGCATACCATAGCGTGAGACCATGCTGAGGTAATGGCTCCCGGGAATTAGTAATTAATCGACGAAACGAAGGAAATCCTAATAAAACCAGCATGTGCCCACGCGTCGCCAACTCGAGGTGATATTGGATAATTGACAGGAAAATGCGGTAAGTACGTGCCACGATTATTTTTCAAGTGTAAAGTAACGAAGGCTTAAAACTATTTTAAATCGTCTGAATTATGAAAAAACTGTCTTACGCCGAGCGTTCGTTTTTTTCTCTTTCTTTTATATGCATCGCATCTTACATCCGAAATATTGTACACTGAAGAGAAATTACAGACAAAACGTGTTTCATGCCACTCGTAGAAAAACCATTGAAGATCATGCTTTGATATCAATGCGCAGCCATAAGATTATTACACTCGTCGTCAGACATACCAGGGGCAGTGTGCTGCACTATGCTGTAAGGATCTGATGACAGACAGTGGCCCTCATTGAACCGGCCTTGGGAAGTCATTAAAGCCGCCTACTGCTGATTCTGTTATAACGTTAGAGCGCCAGACTTCTGCCGAATATTAGTCTGGCCGTGCAACCTGTTGCTGCTCTAAGCTTGGAGTTTCCATTTTAAATTAGCATTTAGATGGAATAAGGACAACATTAAATCTATACAAAATCCCTATTATATAGTTCAGATAGGTTACTAAAAATTGTATGACTGTAAATGAGACAATGAATTTTCATTTCTACATATCAGAATGCTTCAAAGAAATTATGCGATTACAAATTAGTAACTAACTCAAATTGCTATTAAACCAACGTAACGTGTTTCAAGTAGGAATGCATCTTGAATGAGACCCTCTGTCTTATGTGACGTCTTGGATATGGTCCATCTGTCCCTACGGGGGCCCTCTTATAAAAGTGCAAGCGTCGCAAAGGTCTTTGGAAGAGAAGAAATTAAATCTGAATGTTTATCCCTCTTGGTGAATTCCTCTTCCAAGCAGTGATACAGAAACTTCAATAGTGTATTGAGGGAAAAATGAAACGTCACAGTCCGATCTTTGATTCCTATACTGTGGACTCTGTTTAACGTCTTCTGTTTCATCAAGCAACGTATTCATACTTCATAACGTTATACCTAAATAATTCTAGGCATTCCTTATATATATTCGCGCTATAGTAGACATCCTGGAAATTTCGATAGATGAGTAATCTGAGTATGCACAGGAAGCGCGATGTTATAAAAATACAATATTTCTCTGTATATCTTATAGCTTCTACGAAATCAAATATTAATATTCTCACGTGCATCCCAGTCGGTATGTTTCTTCACGATACAAATACGGCTCATAAATTCATAATTAGTACCGGCGTGTATCGTAATAAAATGTTCAAAGGCAAAACAGCAAGCCTAAGAGGATTATGGGTATGGGGCGGGGTCTTGCGGATTCAGCTGCATCTATGTATAATGCATTGCATGCACGTTGCATGCTATTCGTTTATTCCGTCGGCGTTAGTGACCGTGCGAGAGAGAACTCCAATTAACGCTAATTCCCACTAATGCGACTCCCTTATGGCTCGTGCACTCGTAAAAGCCGCTTCCATCTTTAATTTTAAAATGTCTCGTTCGTATCCTTCATATTCAGCGATTGCCGGTCGCCGTACGTGGCCGTTCTGAGAGATACGGAAAACGTTTAAAAAAAGGCTATCGGCATCGAGGCACAATTTTACACTGAAACTTTTTGTATCGATGGGTTTGAATTTTCGGTTAGAGACCGTAGATAAGGAAATCGGGGGAAAAGGTCTCTTTTTTTAATACATGTCAAATATTTCTAGCTTTATGAATTGTATCAGCATCCAAATGATAGTTTTACGACATTGATAAGGGAAAAAAAATAAAATCGATAACGATTATTCAGTCGGAGATCGTGACCTCGAAAAAGAAATAGTGAGAACTTGAAACTTTTTGGAGGTTCCAAAACGCATGGAATGTCGTATTATTTCTTCTCCATACATGATCGCGGCAATTTTCGTAATACACTTTCTTCTGTGATATTTTTCTTCCACTGATTGTATTTCTTATGTTTTTCTATATGTATTTGTACTTCCTGTGTGAGACGAACTTTAGAGATTGGACGTCAGCAGAAAGTATGGAAAATGAAGGTCAATCTATCTATGACACTTGGTAATTGTGGATCTCGAACTTTCAAACAAATAGAAAACTTTTTTATATTAATTCAAAATTACGTAATTTCTACTTTATTTATTGTATGAAGAAGTCTCCAAGAAAGTCATGACTAAACATATTAGCAAAGGGGAAATTTTGTATTTTTTATAATTTCTTAAGCGCAGTGCTACAGCATTACTAAAAAAAAAATATGGAATATCCACGTCGTATGAATTTCTTGTTACGAAATTGTGATTTCTAATATATAAACCAGAGTAAAAAATATAATGCATAGATGATAAAAATAATTTTCTTTTTCTCATATAATGGTTAATCATCATTTATAATTTCATAAATAAATACAAATGTGTCTTTCTTTACCGAGAGACTTCAGCATATGAGAGTTACAACAGTTTGAGCTTCTTGCTTTTTTTCTCTGCGATATCGTTGAGGAGAGAGGTTAAGAAGTCACAGCGATAAACCACCACCAGATAGAAAGCAACTATTTTCAGAATAACAAATTGTCGCAATCTAATTATGAACCCTCGATTTCGTCCCGGGTGCACAAACAGCATTAACCTTAAACTCCCTTCGACTGATTTCACTAACTTGAAAAATTTTATATGAATTATTAATATTGATTTAATCTTTTTTCCCGTGTCTCTATTACTCCACATAGAAGGATGGAGGATACAAGGAGATTCGAGAAGCCGAAAGACAAATCGTCTGCACGTGTTATACATCCTGATCTAATTAACATGCTGATAAAGTTGTGCTTTGTTGATACGAACGTAGCTTCGCCAGCAAAACATTATGTGATACACACTTCTGAGTATGACTTCACTGCAGACTGCTCCGAGCCTTTTTATTATTAAATATATGTACAGGATTTGTATACCCTTAAATAGGAAGAAGGATACGTAGAATTATACGATGTATTTTGTTTCTTACAATTCGCGTAATAGCGGATCTTGTCTAGAATTTCAGAGAAGACATAGAGAGGAAGAAAGAAATGTAGAAATTCTAATTGTGTCTGTTACAGCTGTAGATTTGAATTAATTGTGAGGGAATCCGACGAGGCGCTGCGGGTACTTAACGTCTGACAATGTCTACTGCAGACGCCTTGAGAAATGTTGAGATACGTGTGAGTTATACTCATTTATTTATGACGTATATTCTAGTAAGGCAAATGACAACTTATCTTAAGATAAATGTGACACTACATTGAAAATTCTTAAACCGTACGCCATTAGGCCGTTTGTGGAAAAAATAGCAAAAGGGCACTCGACACACTGTGTTACTTCTTTATGACGTGTCCGCGCGTTGTTTATCCGGCTTTTTTGGAATTACGAAGTATTCTTACCATTCGTGGCACCACACTCACAAATTCACGCACAATTCGTAATATCTCGCAGAGAATAGGAAGTGGGAAAGACGGATAGTAAGGAATGAATATTTATTCTCAAAAATTTGGAATTATTTTTATTTCCTGTCGTGCACACTCTAATGGAAAATGTATTAGAAACCACCACAGAATTCTGGTATTAACAATCGCGGGAAATCTCACGACCTTTGAACCTTCGTTTTCAATGCGTTCGAAAGAATAATACTCGTACAGTATCCCGTAAACACATCTTGCAACAGTTACATCTCAACCACATGAATTCTATAGTATTATATTATCAGCTATTCAAAAGTTACATAAACGTGACAAATGTGTTTGCTGGGTATGACGATACAGGTATAAGAAGGAATTCATTGTAAAAGATTTATGATGCATAGAGAGTTAATAACAATATAATATGTAACCGCGATATAATATATGACCACCTAAGCAAACTCAAACATATTCAAAAGTGAAAATAATCAAGAAACACTTTAAACTCAAAATGATCTCAAAGTATTTCAATCAACTACAATATCAAAATTGACTATTTTCGAAAAATATATTCGTAGCTTCACGATTTTCAAGGTTAAAAATCCGAATTTTCAAAAAACTAACGAAGCACATTTCAAACACCCATAAGACGAGTCGTGTGTAGTTTTTTATAATTCCGTAAATGAATCATGATAAATTAACAGAGCACGATGTATCCACGCAGGATATTAAAACTTCGAAAGGATATGAAAAGGTAAAAAGGAATAATGAAGAGGACAGTCACTGATTGTCGTTGAGGGCCGGATAAGGTCACGAATAACACGAATGAATGTTCATAATGATTTCCACCATCTCTCCCCTGGTCCCTTCCATCTTCGAATTTGCTCGTGAATGTGTCTGGCTTCCCCGAGGGTAACGTGTTAGAGCGCGTAAAAACGTAGGAAGATGCACACGGCACGAAGGCAGATCCTCAACTGAGTGATAAACTAGCCTTGATTGGCTTAATATAGTCCGGCGAGCACTGTAATTGGCCGTTCTTTGCCGCGCGGGAAATGATTGGTCAATTTAATCCTAGAACCGCGGTGCATTAAGCATTCAACCGGCGTTCACTCCCTATTAACGGCAGCTCTGCCGTCCACTCGTCCTGGTGTTCTTTCTTTATCGCCTTTTTTTTGCCTCCGTTCCAAATCAATTTACCAATTGAAATCACTGCCGGACGGTAAAGCCCATACTGAATGGTCACCACCCGGCATGAGTAACTCCAAGCCTTGCCTGTTATCAAACCATTCACTCTCTTCTATATCCCTGAGTTGAATTACGTGCTAGAACTGTCATTGATTGAGTCTTTTAATAATCGAAACTGCCTTCCTTCACGGCAAAGACACTCACCGGGGTTGAACGCCACCTTAGGTATCCATGAACCCCTAGATAGAAACAAAAATTCATCATTGATTTTAAGACCACTGATTTTTCAATGACTAATTGTGTACTTTCGTATATTTCAAATTCGAGTGTTTTTTTTTTCAATAATTTTCTAAGGACTTTATTACCTGCTTTTTTGCTTTATTTTATGACTGATACAACGTCGACTGGACTAACTCACATGTAAAGTAATCGTGTCGAGGTGAATATCAAATTCATCACCTACGGCACTACTACTTAGCATGTTGATCAGTTTTGTGATTTTTCTAAGATTTTAAGACGGATTTGTTTCTAGACGGTTTCTCTAGGATCGTTAAATTGTAACTAATGCGATTTTCAAAATTTCTTCTATTTTATATACCCCCCAAAGACAGAGCTAAAGTTCAAAATGTGACCAGTAATGATAATTGGTCATTATTTGTGTTCTAGACTCTAGTCTTTGGAATTCTCATGAGCTTGTTTAGGGTATCATAAATAAACTTTGACACATTACCCTTTTCCCTCTACAAATGAACATTGAACCACAAGGGAATGAGACTTTCAAATCGCTGACCATATCCAATGTCACTGTAATCCAGTTACTTGAGAACTTTGATTTCTTCTTCACATTGATAAGTTGACAAGATGGTTCAACATGCGAACGCAGCAATGAGCATGATTTTGCCCTGCCCATTATTGCGGTCACAAACCGAAACATCTCTACTATTTTCCCAGATTAAGAAGTGGGACGATGACATTTTCTGAAAATTTAAACAAATTATGCCATACAGTAACAATTGTAACAGACAAACAATCTTGACACGCATTAATTCATGGCGACGTCATACATATTTTTGGTGCAAACAATAACAGCCTAACTGAAATATTTTTCCGTAACATTCCCCATTCATCTTGTAACAAACAACCGTACTTGTTGAAAATTGTCAAATCTAAAGAGCAAACAATGGTCAAAGATTATGAATAGGTCTGTCAGCAAATTGGCAAACAATGGTGGTGGCTGTTTGAGAACCGAGTTTGTCAGACTAAGGGACAGCGAGCTGACTAATACATAAGCCATGCCCGTATCTAGTCTCCTCATCTCTTGGGTTTCCGTTTACGAATGTCTCGGTCATTCTGTAATAATGGTACCCTATGTTGCCCCATAGGTTTTCCCATGCGGGTCCACTCTACGCTGATTTAAAATTACTCACGACAACCGTTCCGGTTTTGCCGCACGCGTTATTAGTGTATGCTTGCCTACGCTTCGTCGCTTCCTGACTTTCTCAGGCAATTGAATGATCCTGACACTGCTAGAATACGATTAATGATATTCGGATGCGCGATCCTTACGGTATATGGGATCTTAAATACGTCTATTTAAATTTATTGCGCACTTGACTGGAATATAACAGGATGGTTAATGGTTTTTGAAAATTGACATTTCCGTAATTGAAGTATGGGAAAAAATTACAAAATTATCTTGACATCTATTATCTATGTTAACATTTCAAACTAACTTAATGAAATGTTTGTCAATTTATCTTTGACTTAGGTATTCAAAACTTTTTTTTTTATTTCATTGCACTGCTTCAATCAAATGGAATCAATAACGTCTTATATAAAATAAGTAACTGGTAATTATCTGAATTATATTTTTACTAATTATTACAAATTCCTAAGATTTTATTCGATTTTACTAACAGTGTATAATCCGTTCAGAGAGAATAGACGCATCGATTATTATTTATTAAACACGAAATAAATATTCTCGAATCATAGAATTACAATCTTTTACGTCATTTTGAGTACCTCAGAAATATTCTTGCATAACATCTGGCATAACATTCTGTTAGAATATGTAAAAAATACGTGTAGGCAAATACATACACTTACCTGATACCAAATGAATAAACGTTCAATCCAAAAAGTCAGCAGTGAAGAACAAACCAAGAATTCTGGTATCATTCGCAACGGAGAAATTCAAAACCGTGATAAATTTTTTCGTAGCAGAAAGAAAATTACGTTGGTAGTAATCATCCATGTGGCAGACACTTCTGGAATGGATGCCATCGAAAATTCCCTCTTCTCAGTGTACACAAGAGTTACACATGCACAGGTGTTTTCTGGGATCACGTGTGCCACATATGCTTGACTAACGATATCGTTTTCCTAGCTGTTGAATATTTCCATCAGTGCGGATAATGTCTGCCAATGATATTCTAATAATGTAGAACACTAAAGTAAATCGATATCGATAAACAAAATAAAAAATTGTTCTATAAGATTTAATCATACCAATTCTATATCATTTTCAGTATTATCAGAATAAAGGTGATTCATTTTTATCAGTATTTACTTGCTTTCTATAGGAATCATAGTCGGTGCACGGTACGACCCCAGTAGTAATTTAGAAGAGTTTATTAAATTGGGTAGAATGCGGTGCGTAGGCCTTCGCCGGATACTCGGAGAATGAATCTCATCCAGCGAGAGGAAGTTTGAATTAACTCGAGCTACCGTTGACGGGGTACGATGGGGCCCCATGAACTCCCATCCTATTTATCCTTTGCACCTCTTCCATACTACGTACATGTACATTGTTGCCTTTAACAATTAATAATTGAATTTGTTCTTTCTTTTACAAATTAATTACAAGGGCGCCTCCCGAATAAGGATACGACGAATCTTAACCTTAATGGGCCTTATTCTGGATTGATTATAATATTGCGACACATAGTTCAACTTTATCATGTTTCGTGCGACGGAACAAAAGAGTGGAACATTTTTTAAAAATTTTCTGTCTCTTGATCAAGCAAAGGTAATTCCTAATAGAGGATCGGTACGAACGTGCACGCAACTTCGAAAGTCCGGCATGTGGCGCGGAGTTAAGGCTTATTAAAATCGTTTGACCCCTCTGGACGGTAGTACTGCTGATGGGTTTACTTTAGACAGTATAGACAGAAAGGGAGCGAGTAGTGAGACAGAGTTAAGCATGTGACACCATGACACCTAAATTGTTGTACTTTGACACTGCGTGCAACCCCTGGCTGTATCCTGACCTGCGTGGGTGTATCGTCCAGACGAATAAAAAAAGAGGTAAAAAAGTATATTTCGCAGGAAACATAACATTCTTTTACTGCGTCCCTCGAGTTTCATTTCAGCAGGATTATTAAATGTGCACTAGTTAAGTTCTGCATAATTGAGAACATTACAACCCCCGAAGAAGATACAGTATAAAGTTTGACAGTAAGAATATCTTTACAAATGAATGTCAAATAGTATTCATGAGTATAATGTAGAATAAAATTATAATGGATATAAGTGCTAATAGGATGATAAGGCAGTTTCAAAGATTCTTGCGATTAGATATAATGATTTTTTCAGAGTTACAACTCATTATATATATATTAGATATTTAAATTATACATTATCATACTTCCTATATGTGAGAATAAAAGTTTGAGGAATTATCCTCTTTCACATATAATATCGACGACACTCGGTTCCATTAGGACGGGCTCCAGGCATCTGTGTACGGCACTACCCAGGATCTCATCCAATAGGAAATGTACCAGACTACAAAGAGAGATTTGTCAGTGTTGAACTTATTGAATTAAATTTCCTTGGAACTTACTTCTCGTCCGTTACAAATCGCCATAAATAAAGTTGCAGATAATGCGTGTCGACTTGGATCTGCTGCAGACCATATTTACTGAAGGTGCGTAGCCTTACGCATTCCAAAAAAGTCTGCACATATAAGGAAGTATATTGAATATATGTAAACTGTCATTTGGCAGGAAATGTCAAATGGTCCTTGGCTCGTTAAAGCTTAGAACATATTGCGTAGCATTGCGGCACACGTTGCATGGGATTCCTGCGTAGATGCGAGAGCATAATGTATCTTGGAGATGCAAAGTGGATAATGGTCGCGTTATTTTGTCATTGTGACTGTTGTACAGCACCTGCAGCTATTACGGTACTGAGTGTGCTAAAAGTTTGTCCTTGTCTACGCATGTTTTTTATGGTACGCTTATACGGTATGGGTTTTCAAACTTAGTTCAGACAGCATTTTTTTACTACATCGTTGGAATGCCGTATGATATTAAATATATATAAATAATTTTTTTACGAAAAATTCGTTAAAACATACGTGGTAATAATTTTGAAAAACTTCGAACACAGTGAGTTTTCTAAGGCTTTTGCAACACCTGGTGAAAAACATAGGTCAAAATTCCTATCGATTTTTATGTCTGCTACAAACTATTTTGTTTGTATAGGTATAAGATTATGTAGTCATGGCTTCAAATTTGTAGTACATTATTGATTGAGGTACGAAGATTATAGTATAATAAATATTAGTTACCTTCAAACTGATCTTGATGATTCCAGTTAAAATGGAAGCCTTGTTGAATTGCACGGAGGAGAAGAATTCAATTCTTTCGGAAAAGAGTTTATGGATATTTGTTACCAGTGATGAATCCAAATGACTAGGTGTATATGACGACCAATTAGAACGATACTGATGTCTCGATACGCTGACGCTTGAAGTAAATGAAATAAATTATTTCGGTTTTATCCGTTTTGTGCATAAATATTGCTAGTAATATATACCTGTGTGTTTTTCTACTGCTGTCACTACTTCTATCCATCTGACCATCTGCGTCGTCATATAGCACAGCGACTTGAGATTCAATTGCTGTTACGTCTTCAACTACTCGTTTCATAACAGCCCTTACAGTTCTTGGCTCAATAGTATGCAGCCAATCTCGAGTCTCTACTGACTTTCGTAGCATTTGAGACACAGCAAGACCTTGCAAACGAACATAATGATTGAGTAAATTTTGGGCAGTTGTTTGAAAATTTTCGCATATTTCCGATTCTGTCGTTATAAAATTCTCAGAAGTTGCATGTTGCTCAATATTAAATAAATCATCAGTTGTTGTCAGCTGAAGAATAATAAAAAACACATATTACAATTAATTTTAATGATACTTCATATGCATTCCAAAATATTACGCACGAGGTAGCGTACGCTGCTGTCTTTGAACTCAATACACATTTTACTTAGCAACAGGAGCAAAGTGGGTGGAAATTTTGGTACGTCAGAACCAGTACAAAAACCACTTGCTGTGGCTGTTAAGTGGTGCAAATAACCAACAACTAATCCCTCACGTACTTCGTCGACACAAAAACTTTGTAAGAAGTGAGGCTTTAGACTGAATGATAGGTCTGGTTGCAGGAACACCTATAAGGGTAGTATTGAATGTGATTAGAAGTTTTTTGGATAGGTTTTGAAACATGCACTATCGTGAAAAGTTTACCAGTAAATCCTGTAAGACTCCTTTAACTTTTTCGATTGTTGGCATTACTAGTGTTGCTTGGAGTTCTGCTAAACCGCCATCGCCATCCTGCGTTACTTTTGCTGCTAAAGTCTGTCTTACTTTAGCCAAAGTTTCGCTCAAATGTTGTTTCAGAGAGTGGAGATGATTTCTACACTGTTTCCTTCCAGCATTTATGACTATATCAATTCCCGTTCTATAGTTTAGATAGAGATTGTTAATTTGTTTACTTATAATAATTTACTATAGTTTATTAATTTACGCCAATGAATTTTATTAAAATCTAGTTTACCTGGCGAAATCAGTCTCGGTACAAAGCATATTCATGGCTTGGAGTCTTCGATGAAATCTATCGAGTGCTCTTACTAGAACTGCAGTATCTGCCACATCTTCGACTCTTTTTCCTATTAGATCAAAATATTTTTTCATATTGTCCATAATGAAAACGTTTAAGCGGGTAAGAGCCTTAGTGTCGAAATCGTCGCTAAAATCAGTATCATCTGCAGGTGTTCTATTTACAAACATGTCATTGTACGATGCGACGATTAAGCAAAGATCACTAAGAAATCCTGAACTACCCATGTCCACATATTCTATTATATCATTTTCACACATGTCTTTTAATATGGCTAACTGTTCTGCCAATCTATTATCAGCGTGGGTGAGAAAATCGGCGCATAATGAGTCCGCAGGCTCGTTTAATTGAAGTAAAAGATCAACACTTTCGGCAAGAGATTTTGTAGAAGCTTCTCTTTTATGAAATTGTTTTCTAAGCTGTGATTTCAATTCTTCTACGATCTCTTCACAATCCTTTTGAATTCCTTGAAATGAAGGCATATTACCATACTGATTTAAGACACGTTGTGCATGTATGTAATCTTGAACTGCCTAGAATATAAATGTTATTTTCTTATTAATATGTCAGTTTCACAACGCAAAGAAGATGATGAAACTAACTTGACTATAATTTCCTTCGTTCATTCTATCTTTGAGTTTGCCAGGCAGTTTGAAAAGAAATTGTAAACGCTTTAAAAGAGCATGTACAGATGACAATCTAGAGATTTGTTGACGTGTCCCTTGTAAGGTAGAAGATATTTGCTCTGAAAATGAAGTTATACTGTCCATATTCGTGGCTAGCAGATCCATGCTGTCTTCCATCTTTTTGAAGTCACTTTTCATCTATAAATATTAGTAACTGTTGTGGAATATCTACAGAAGTACTGAATGAATCAAATCGATTGTTCTCTATACAATACCTTCCCAATTGTATCTGTAGCTGATATGAATTTATTATAATTTTCATATACTAATGTTTGCATATCAGAAAGCAAAGTTTGCGTATCACCTATGATTTCTTTTTCATTATCCATAATCTGTTTTAGGGTACATTCCTGTATAAAAATTAAATTTTCATATTAGAACAAAATAATGACAATATCGTATGTCCCATTCTTGAAGTTGACAGAAGGATCTATACCTTAAGCATTTTCTGGAGATACATATCCGGATTAAAATGTTGTCCGTTAATGTCATAAGAATTGCTCAAATTATCTGTCATTTTCTTATATTAATTGTGTACCTTAATTCGAAAATATTGTGACAGTTCTTTTCTATTTATGACGTTTTAAGGTTATCTTCGTGTCACGGCAAGTAGGGTATTGTAAGGTTAGGTTGAGGACGCTGTACTACGATTATAACCTTCGTGTAATCCTGTAACGAATGTTCAACAAGCTATTGAAAAATTATAAAAATGTATATATTTCGTTTTTGATTTATGTTAATTAACGAAGCTTAATTATACTTAATTGAGCAGTGCATCTCGATGTTATAAAGGAAGAGGAGTATATATTATTGGATAAACAGTTTCGTATACAAAAGTTTACAAAGAGTGATATTATTTCTTATGGAGATGCAATATTTATGTGGTTTAAAGTGAAATCATACATTTAACAGTAAATTATTTGATGTGAAAATATACTGCTGCTTACTGAAGAAAAGTCCAGCTTCGAAAAAGTGGTGAAAAACACTGTAGCAAAAAGAGGTTAATATTTGATTTAATGTTGGGCAACAATGTATTTTATTTGACAAGCGTGTAAAACTATAAGATTCTCACAAAAATGCCACATCCGTGTGTGGTATGCGGCCGTTCTCGCATGAATCCTAACAACAGGGAAGAGGAGTATATGTTCTTTGGTTTCCCTGTAAATGATGAGGCACGATGCAGAAAATGGTTGGAGTTTTGCTGTCGGGAAGATCTGTATAAGCTTACCAAAAAACAGCTGTTACAGCGAATGGTATGTTCAAAACATTTTGAACAGAGAGATTTTCTTAATGAGTATTTTGATCGGCTGAATTGTACAGCTGTACCATCGATTTATGATCCAAAACAATCTCTCTACAACATTACCTGCGTACTGTGTGGTAGATTTCGACGAGATCCACCAGGTCTAGATTATGATGGAGCCACATTTCATCATTTTCCTGGAGAAGAGTTTCGTTGCCTGAAGTGGCTGGATTTTGTGGGTGTTGATTCATATTACAGACTAACCAGGAAAGAAATTTTATTTTGTTACATCTGCTCAAAGCACTTCGATCAAACACAATTTATGCGCGGTTATCGTAGTAGATTAATAGACTGTGCTGTGCCAAACATTCGTTACCCTGATCAGATTGATGAGTCAGAGCCATTTATAATGGAACTGGTTTCTGAACCAAAATTATTCAATACTACAGACAAAGGAAAGAAGCTTGATCCATTGCCAGCAGCTGTTCTTGATAGCCAAGCTTGTGCAGCATGTGGACGTTCCAGGTCTGATCCAAGAAATAAAGTGGATAGATACAAGTTTCATCCATTTCCTGCCTATGAAATTGGAAGATGTCTACGATGGTGTCAGTTTCTAGGGAGAGAAGATCTACTGAAAATGTCTCCAAATCAAATAAGAAAATTGGTATTGTGTTCAAAGCACTTTCAAACTGGTCAAAGTTTTCATAAAGTAGGTCCCTGTGATGCTGTACCCACGATTAAGGATATCACTGACGCAAACAATATAGATTCTGCGGAAGAGATGAAACTTGAGCAAGAAACCTTGGAAGATCTAGACGGTTCAGGATCAGCAAAAGCAGTAAAGAAGCAAATGTACCCAAGACCAATGGTATCAAGTAAGAAACCAAAGATAGATAACAAGCCAGCGCCATTGGCAAAAAAACGTGGAAAGTCCAGAAGACCTACTTCGATCAATATACCAAGACCGGATCCAAACAATATCGAAAATCGAGTGATCAGGAAGTTACCACTTCCTCCTGCTTCTAACTGGAAACTGCAAATTTCAAATCAATTCCAGCCTATCACAATTGCTAATAATATCTCCTCAAATATAACAAATAACATTACCACCGATGGCAAGAAAGTTATTCTACCTTTTACTGGAGACATATCAAACTTGGGTGCACCCATTCCAGTGCACAGTCTTTCAAGTATTCCACCAGGTCTGCTTATTAAGATAAATCTTCCAGAACAGACCCAGAAGCAACAAAAATTAACAAAAACACAAAGTAAAACAAAAAAATCTGATAGTTCCCAGGTCCTTACTACTGAAAGGGAAATGGCAGTTAAACAGAATAGCAATGTTAAAAATGGACAAGTCCCAGAAAATACAGCAAGACCTAAAGACATAGAGGAAACAGAAGAAAGCCTGTCTGAGTTGTTTTCGTTTTCTCCAGAGCCTACACAAGAAACTTTTAATTCCGACGACATGGAGGTCCAAGAAGAATTGATCTTGCCGCATTCGCTCGAGATGCTTGAAGAAGAGAGCTCTACTCGTATCAAGGACGAGCATTACTATGAAGAATCTCTGGAGCCAGAAGATCAGTGTACTAAGAAAAGAAGAAGAGTCAGACGTTGTAGAAGAATGACAGCGCTTGCGCGAAGAAGTATTCTTCCTATTCAAAGTGAAGTCAGATACTTCTTGCGGAAAATGACACCTCAAATGCACAGATTACCAACAAAGGCAAGGGCGCAATTGAAACTGTCTATTGTTAACATGGTAATTGATCACTTGTAAAGATTTTTATTTATGCAAAATATTATTTACAACAAGGATCGCACATTCAATTTGTATATTGAAAAAGTTGGACTGTACTGATGACAATTGCAGAAGTTTACGATGAGTTATATTTGAGCTTGATGATGAAGAAAGGTGTAGTATGAAATGTTTTCCAGAAGTTGCTCTTGAATCTGGTGAATCATTTTTTATTATGAACACTGTGGTCTTCTACAATTGTGGTATTCCGACATTATCAATTTATTCAAACTGAGAAATCAGAATTTTTTAATAGTCGAGCCGATTTGGCATTAAACATGAATATGTAATTTACGTATTATTAAGAAAAATCTTTTCCCTAATTTCATATATCTTTTAATTTCTCTATCAACATAATATTAAACAATCACGTCAAATATTAATGATACTTAAGCCCGTTTTCTTCAACGTAGTTCAATGCATAAACTTTGTTTATCTTCAAAATGCAAGTATCTGCTTGGCTAAAAGAACAGTTAAACCAAGTTTAGCATTGAACTGCGTCGACGAAAACGGGTGTAGTGATATGTTTAGATGAGGGTTAGTATACATATAGGACATACTTCCAATATGTACATACGTATATATACATATATATAAATATATATTTATACTTGTAATTAGATTTTAATCATTGCTAATTGTTTCGTTATGAGAGTGTGCGACGACATTGACTCATTGTACATTTGAACAGTATATAAAATACAAGACGAGTATCGTTTGAGTAAAAACTAATTTTTTTACTTTATTATCATTATGTACATACCTTCAATTAAATCGTACAAATTGTTTCTGGAATTTAAAACTAAATAATGCGCTTAAAATCGACTGTATGATTGAACAATGTTTGTCCCTACTCGCATATGGTTGTAGCGGAAAATTTATTGATTGTTTGACCCACTTCTAAAGCGTCAGTATGCATTGACGGTGTCTATAAAACAGCCATTTCTCACAGAGCTTACTACGAAAAGCTTGCAATCATGGATTTTGGAGAAAATTATATGAACACCTTCGCTGAAACTGTTCATGTTTTTGAAAAAAATCGTCAGTCATTTCAGGAAGTTCGTTTGCAGTAAGTACATTTAACTTTGAGGTATTAGAATATATACTTATTTAAAATTACTTTTCATGTTTATTAGAAAATTACAAGACCAAGGAGCATTGGAATGGGATGATTTCGAAAATGAATTATCAACTTTGAATCTGTTTGAATCAATCACATTCAACGAAGCTATAAAATATTTTCAAGAGTCAGATTTGGCGGAATATAAAGTCTGTAAAATTTAGTTTATAATTCATGTTACGAATAACAGTGTTTTTCGGTAGTGGGTATTATTTGCAGGATAAAATTACGACGATTGTACATAGAAGAAAATCTTTTTCATGTTTGCCATGTTTCAAAACTGCAGAGCTTCAATCAGAACATTTGAAAGATTATGAGTTATTGTTTCTCATTGCGAAATGTGAGTATATAGAAAGTAACCTGGGCTAGATTTGGTATACAAAATTTAGTGACAAAATGTAATTTAGAGACGAATTAATCTTTTCAATACGGAGGACAAAACATGGATATAGTAAATGCATCGGCCCAAGAACAGAAACAACCATTAATTTTCCGCCAATTTGTTTCTGGTTCATCAGACATTTTTACAGGTGTTTCATGTGATCCTATTTCCCAGTCTATATCTTTACGTCTTATCACTCTTCCTTTATGTGGCAACATATCTGTTAATGTTGAAGTATCAGCAGATTGAGTGTGTCTTTCCGTATTATGAAGATAACTCATATTCGGTCGTAATTCGCTGTAAAAATTATTATCGATTTCGCAATATACATAATATAAATATTAATTCAATGGAATTGCATCTAACTTTGGAGATACGACGTCTGTCGCTACGGGTATCCATCTTTTTTTAACATTTGTCGAATCAATTTTTTCTTTTTCAGATTTCTCATAAGAAAGAATAGGCTTGGTGGGATTTACATTTGGCTCTGTTCTAGTTGGCAGCCATATAACCTTTTCTGAAGAAATTGGATCTGGAATATTTGTACTTTATTTGTGTTTGCAATTCATTTTTATGTATTAAAGTTAAAATTGTATTTTTTATACCGATGTTCAATGATGTTACTAGAGGATGCTGAGTTCCCACTGTGTAAATGATAAATTTATTAGTAATATCGTCATATTCTGCACATCTGCATAGAATTCCTAGTGGATGTTCTATACAGGCTTTAGAATGATACGGATGCAACATTTTGTGAATAAGAAAAATTAGAAAATTCCTTTTGGATGGTTGACGAAGATAAATTGATAGAAAATTGAACAGGTCATGATAGTGTCGTCATTTTTTTTTAGGTTCTTACGATTCGAATGATTGTAAACATTTTTCGATGTTGAGGACTGTGTATCGTTCTTTGGTACAGGAAGAGAATGTTGATTTCGACTGGGAGAAGATTGGGTTTCAGGTAATCTTGATATAGTTAAAGAAATAATTTGTTATTTGGTATTATATGTATTATAAGATATTTTAGAGTAATTCACCTGGAACTGATTTACGAGGTGTTGGTATGCTGGGAATACTACAAATGTTGTACTTGTGCCTTAACTGTTCTGTTTTGATGGAATTTTTGTACGTAACTTCCATAGACAAATACAACACTTTTCCTTTTGCTGCTGTTGGTCTGAACATGACGAGAATCACCTTAAGTGTCTTGCGATACGAGAAATTGAATAAGTGAGATATTACATTGAAATTAATGAGGTTTTGGTTATACTTATGGGATCATATCATGTATATTTTAGAGAGATAAATAAGAACGGAGTTTTTGAAGCTGCGAATAAATTTTATGCTTCAATTTTTTACGCATTTGGTAAATTGTGGGTTAGTAAGAAGAAGACTATATCTGATGTGGGGGCCATGTTCCAAGGTATTGTATTTAAAAATTTCTTAAAAGTAATTTTATGGCAATGAAAGAGAATGAAATTTACAGATATAGAAAAAATCTCTGCCAGAAGAAGTAATAGAAGAAAGATGGCAAGGGAATTAAAGGTATTTCTTAGAGAAAAGTGTTTTCGAGATAAATGAATCAATTTAAAAAATATTTTTTCATTTCTATTATAATGTATAAAGCAAGTGTGCATACGATATTTACATAAGTCAAACAAAGTCTGTTGTAACGTTAACGGGTCGTTCTAATTTATAAAATGTTACAAAAGCTATAACACCGTAAGTCTAATGGCTAGATATTATTTGCTATTCAAAATGTATTGAATTATAATTAAGATTAGAAGTGTTTAATACCTGCAATTTCATTAATTAAGTTTCTTTTATGTTGGGAACGCGAAGCCAGCTTTCGCAAAATTATTTCGATTGATATACTAACACGACAATGTACAGTTTTTCTCACTGAAACTTGTAATCAAACGACAATTTATACATGTGCCCTGAGGGGTATTTTCTACAATATACTACAAGCTTTAAGTACAATTTCACCCAAACATCTGCGCAAAATGGTCCCAAACTTGTAGTTAATAGAAATTTGAAAGTAGGACACAATATTTTTGTATAGTTCATGTTCTTATGAACATTATTTGGATTGACGATCACTTAATTTTCACGTTGCTTGCATTGTCTATCCTACTCTGTTAGGGAGTGTAAGATGCTTACAAATATAAGGTAGGTACAGATAAATTATCTAAATATTTTTCAATTTAACTGCGGAGACTCTGTAACCTATTTTTCATTTCTTCAAGTTCTTTATCATCTTCAACTGGTTCTACCTCTTCTTCGTTTTTCGAAGTTGATGCTGCAACTGACCCTGGAGTGTCGGTAACAACTGCAGGGGCAGTACCTAATTGTCCTGCCGTTACTTCCCAAAGAATCTATACAAAGATATAAAAGCGTACGTTTAGATAAACATGGATCATAATCAGAATTATTCTTATTGTTATTAATAATATTACAAAACGTTTGTACCTTGTCAACCTCTTCATCAGCTTCATCCTCCATTTCTTCAGAGTCCTCGATTGAATCCATAGTCTCATCAAGCATTTCTTCAATAATTCCAGCTTTCATCATTTCTTTTGACATTTCTCTCATTGTTGCAGCGACTTCTGGAATTCTTACTAGGGACTGCATTGCTTGCATTACTTCGGTAGATTTTGCAACAGAACCAGCAACTCGTATAGTAGCTAATTGATTTTTCATTTGCAAGGAGACAGAGTTTAAGTGTGCTTTAGATGTATGTATTTTATTACATGCTTTGCGTGCACGAATTATTTCTTTTGCAAGGATCTTGCAGACATCCTTGTCTCCCTTCTTAGCTGCCTCTTTTAAAGATTGTTTTACCTTTTGCTCCTCCCGCTGAATTGCTGAAAAGTAATGCAACAGTTTTCAATCCTCTTTCAATTATATATTTTGTTAAGGAACAGTATATTATCAAGAATATTTAGTTTATGTGTAAACCCATATTTTAAATCAGTATTGTGAGAAATGGATTTTATTTAGAAACGAATACAGTACTCTGACTCACCTCTAACCTGTCTGTCTAGCTGATAACCTTCCTTTCGTAATTTGTGGGTCCATTCCTGAACCTACAATATCAACACTGAATTAGTAAATGACACTGTAGCATTTTAATAAATTATTTAACAATGTCTCTAACCATCTCCTTTGGGTTCTTCTCCTGGGATTTACCGAAGAGACCCATTTTCAAAGGTTTAGTTCTGACAGATACGTCAAAGGCGCACTTGGTTATTCTCGACCCTGCCCAACTCAACTTCACCTAGTTTCTCCATTACGTCATATCTATTGAAAGCGTTGATATTGGAAGACATCTTATTGGAATCATTTAAAATGAAAAAAAACTTCGGAAAGATACTAAAAATTAGTAGAAAATTAGATATCTGATTAATAATGAACAAACATATTTTCACATCTGACAGAGCCATGTTCGTTGCTAGAGTTATGTCACCTGTCATTATCTTAATTAACATTTTATTGATAAAATAATACATACAAAAATTAATTCTTCTTCAAATATCGTTCGTGGATTCACATGCGTTTGCTGATTTTACGTGACCCCAAACATCAGTAACTACGGTTGCGATTTTCGATTTTACGCGTCCCCAAAAATCGACAGTATCTGTTAAGCTATCGTCTTTTCTAATAGGTTCCGTCAGAGCTCTCGTTTTGGCGCAGTTGAGACTGTTCCATCTTAACTCCCAGATCATATCGACTCGTTAGTTCCCGGTGAAAAAAGAATTGGCTGGCGCCCGCCTGGTATGCGGATGCATGGACGAAGGGTGGAACATCTGAAAGTGAAGTAGGTTGGGTCTTGGATTTTCGTTATCGGTGTGGAGTTGAGAAAATGCATTACAATATATATCTATATATTTATTAAAATCTTTTAAATATAATACATATTCCATACAATTTGCAATGAATGCAGTTATTGCTCTTAACTGTGATCCGATAAAAATGCTGGCATTCAACTTATTAAGAGTTTTACAAAGTCACATCATTTTCCATAAATACGTTTATAATTATTAATATAAATAAAAAAAGCCTATGGTATCAGTGTATTTACAACTGTATGAAAAATATTGTCTCTGCTAAATGATTAATTAACTTTTATTCTGCGTAGGAGTTCGTAGAATAACATCTTTTAACCAATACAGAATTACTTTTAAAATTTCCATTTTATCCGCTATGTCATTATCGTCTATTTGTTGGTACATGTGTTGGCTCTGTTCCTTCTGTTTTCTTTTGATGAATTTTATTCGACCAAGTATCGGATTATCCTTCTGATATCCATACTTCGCTATCTCCTCGTCTTGAGCTGCATCCGAATCCTCTTCCACATGTTCCATATTCATAATTTCCACTTTTTTCTCTTGACCGTCAACAACTGCATATATTTCTGTAGGTCCCATTTCGATAAGATTCTTTAAAGCATTGACAACTATACCAGCCCTTTTATTTTCAGGAGCATCATTAATTGCAATTAAACTTTTCACCAAATTACTAGTCTGATTTCCATCGAAAATTTTATTTCCGTTCGTTTTATTCAAAATGTTTGAAAAATTTTCTTCAATTTCCGTTAAATCTTCCTTCTCTTCATGCTCAATCCCTTCATCGTTGTCCAAAATCGATTTATTATTATCTGCCTCTGTAACAGTTTTTTGAACATTTTCCGTAACGGAATGCTTTGCCAAATCTAAAATTAGATTATATTTTTTGGCAAATTCTTGTACTGGCATTGATCTTAATAGAGTTGAATGACTCTCTGGAATGATAATTTCATCGTTATTTTGAATTTCTGAAATGACCGCTGGCGTCGATCTGGTATGTCGTGTTTTTGATTTTCCAACTTCATCCTGAACTTTTTCATTGGAATCTCGTTCACCTTCCACACAGGATTTCTTGCTAAGCTTCCATAAATCTCTCTTCAAGTTTCTACCCTCGTGAGAATTTCTTTTTTCACTAACAATAGTTCCATCGCGCGGTACGCAGCAGGGACACCTCGTGTTCATAAAATGTTCGCAGACCTTTTCTGAGATCGATAAACCGTACGAGCCGTCATCAAGTTTTTTTATAGTTAAAGGTAGACGCACTCCATCACCGATGTAATATAAATCGGAATTGGTCAATTCAGAAATGTCGTTACCTTGATTCTTTCCACATTTTGGCAAAAGTTTACCAAAGTACGTAAGATCGTGATCAGAATCTGAGAAACACGATGATTTAGTTGCGGACACCATTTCATTATTTGGACTATTGACTGTCGTGTCTTCGATACTATCTTCAGCACCATAATATTTCGTAGTTTTAGTTATTGTTTTTTCAATAGTTTTTCTTATAATCTCGTGAGATTTCGTTGGTATCATTTTTTCTTTTTTTCTCGTTTGTTTAAGCATTTTATTTTGATTTGACGATTCTAGAACGGGAATTCCCATTCGTGTACTTTTTCCCATTTGAATATTTTTCATGCTTCCCGTATTGCTCTTTGAGGCTCCTAAATATTGTGAAGCAGAATGCTCCAAATTGTGCTTGAAATTCTTTTCGTATGCTTCTCCTTGCGCGTTTTCTAGTTCAGAAGAGTATTCTTGCGATTTAGCTAGATCGTAATCGTCATTGTTAAAAGTTGGCGAATTTGACGTACCTACATTTTCTGCGGTTTCTGCACTGTCGTAAGATACGTCATCAAGATCGTTTAATTCTTTACTGTCAATTAACGTTTCCAAAGATTCTTCACCCTGTTCCGACTCCAAGTTTGCATATTCTTCGCTTTTTGAAATCTCTTCGTCGCTAATATCTTTTGTCATTTTTGACATGCTAACATCGCTTACTTCTTCATTGTTATTTAATTTTTCCAAAAATTTCTTATTCTCTCTTGGTTCTGCCAATTCTACATGCTCTTTGCTTCTTGATCCTTCTTCTTCACTAATATCTGGGGCCATTTTCGATTCATCATACTGTTCCGGCTGAATGAATGTTTCCTCGTCCGATGATGGATTTACAGTAGTTTCAAAAAATGTGTTCTCTTCCTGCGTGGCAGTCAATTTTGAGTCGTCTTCTATATCACCAGACGTTTCTTCATCCAGCGACGTATTTACAGCAGTTTCATCAAACATACTTTTCTCTTGCGTGTTTTCAAAACTTGAATCGCTCTGTATATTTTTGTTAGATACACTTGAAATATATTTTTCATTACTGATATCTTCAGTTCCACTTTCATCCGAATTAATATCCATATATTTCTTTTTTAATCCTTCAATTGCATTTTGAGGTTCTGTTTGACCAACAATTCCATCGGAAGTAAATTGCTCCACATTATTTTCGATCTGACTTTCAGTATCATCGTAATCATTGATTTTTGAATTTGGCATGATATTCATTGTAGATTCTAAGATAGCTGAACTTGTTTTTGATTTTATCATTTCTTGATTAACTTTTTTATCTTTATCTGGTGTAACAATTTCTCTATTATTTCCGACCATGTATTCATTTTTCTGAATTTCGTTATTGTTGTATTGCAACGAATTAATTTTTTTTATTTTATCAGTATTGTCATAATAATCGTTGCTGTTTTTTCTTACCGTCGAATACCTACAACCTTGATCAGATCCTGTCACAGATTCCTTAACTATATCGTTACCCAATGGCATGTTGGTCTTTGATTCAGTATTCCAGTATTGCAAATGATTCTTTTTGTACTCCAAAATTCTGTCATTAGGCGAGTAATATTTTATAGGTGTCTTCTCTAATAAATTATTAATATCTGCAACTTCTGAATTAGATGATACTTTTCCTATGGTTTTTGTAGCCACTGCTGGTGAGTTATTTGATAAGTCTGTACTGGGTATTGACGCTACGTCATCGTAGTTTTTAGCAGGAATTTTTTCTGTCATTCCCAAAACATGTTCAGTATTTCCATTGTCAAATGTTAAATTTGGATATTCAGTGACTGTCAATGTGTCATCGATGATTTCTTCACTACTTGCTGATATATCTGCAGGAGGTGTATGTGAGATCATTCTATCTGGTGATACGTTACTACACTTGCTTCTCACAGATGATGATAAAATTGGGTTAGAATGTGCTGCTTGAACATTTTTTTGTATTGATTTATCGATCTGAATTTTGTCAAAATTCGAACCTTGTGATGATTTCGAAGAAATATCTTCATCACGTGGTAGTTTTTCTGTCATTCCCAAAATATGTTGATTATATTCATTATTAAATGCTACATTTGGATATTCAGTGACTGTCAATGTGTCGTCGATGATTTCTTCACTATTTGTTGATATATCTGCAGGAGGTGTATGTGAGATCATTCTATCTGGTGATACGTTACTACACTTGCTTCTCACAGATGATGATAAAATTGGGTTAGAATGTGCTGCTTGAACATTTTTTTGTATTGATTTATCGATCTGAATTTTGTCAAAATTCGAACCTTGTGATGATTTCGAAGAAATATCTTCATCACGTGGTAGTTTTTCTGTCATTCCCAAAATATGTTGATTATATTCATTATTAAATGCTACATTTGGATATTCAGTGACTGTCAATGTGTCGTCGATGATTTCTTCACTACTTGCTGATATATCTGCAGGAGGTGTATGTGAGATCATTCTATTTGGTGATACGTTACTACACTTGCTTATCAAAGATGATGATAAAATTGGGTTAGAATGTGCTGCTTGAACATTTTGCATTGAGTTATCAATCTGAGTTTTGTCAAAATTTGAACCTTGTGATGATTTCAAAGAAAAATCTTCATCACTTGGTAATTTTTCCGTCATTCCCAAAATATGTTGATTATATTCATTATTAAATGCTACATTTGGATATTCAGTGACTGTCAATGTGTCGTCGATGATTTCTTCACTATTTGTTGATATATCTGCAGGAGGTGTATGTGAGATCATTCTATCTGGTGATACGTTACTACACTTGCTTATCACAGATGATGATAAAATTGGGTTAGAATGTGCTGCTTGAAAATTTTCTTGTATTGATTTATTGTTCTGAATTTTGTCAAAATTCGAACCTGGTGATGATTTCAAAGGATAATCATTATCATTCGGCGTGAAATGTGCTGCTTGAACATTTTCTTCAACAGACTCATCAACTTGAGTATTATCAACAATTTGAGATTGTACTGATTTCAATAGACTTTCATCATTAGATTTAGATGAAACGCGATGATACTCTTCCTTATTGAATTCTCTTAGCATCTTATAATCTTCAGCTTCTGTAGCGGTTTGAGATGCTTTCTCATCATTGATAATAATGGAATCTGCTGAAGAAGAGAATGCATCATTAATACCTGGATTCGTGCTGAGAACATGGTTGAATACTTTCTTATCATTTAACAATGACTCTTTAGGTATATCGTAATCAGACATATCAACAGTTTGTCCCAAAATTGAAGATTTCTCATCATAATTATCAGTACTTGTGAGTAACACTGCTTTATCATTATTTTCAAAAATTTCCTTTGAATTCAAATTCTCAGGGTTCTCGATTTGAGTTTGAATGTTGTCTGTAGTGGTCCATTTTTCTAATTCACAATTATTCTCCGTCATTGGAATCTTTGTATTTTCATCTATTGACTGTCCCAAAATAGATGCAGAAGAATCAAATGAATCTCTTAAACTTCCTGTTGCTGATGACCCGTCTGCTTTCATTTCCCTTATAAGATTATCCAGTACTTCTCGAAGTGCAGAATCGTCAATGGACGCCGTGTTTACGTTTGCCTTCCTAAGTGCATTCTTTACAGTTTCCATAATGACGTTTTGCACAACTGGATGACTTGCTGCCTTTGAACCAAGTATTGGTGATGTGACAATATTCTTGAGAGTTTGTAGAATAATTTTATTGACAGTTTCACTAAAGGGAATTTGAACTCTTTGTTCTGCGGGTACTGTTGGCATCAATGTGATTTGTTCCGTTACCCAATGTCCTCCTTTAAACTCATGTTCTTCCACAGTGATCGGGTAATCAGTCGGAAGTGAATTTTCTATTTCCGCAATAACATCTCGTAAGATTGATTTGATGGCGTCGCTTTCTGATCCTAGGATTGATCTGTACTTCGTTTCATACGGACTTTTCGATAAGGTTTCTTTTACAATGTCTGTTAACGTGTTTTCTACCTCGGGCAAAGCAAACAAAGTTTTTAACATTGGAGTACTTATAATCTCTGGTAGCAGATCTTCGGAATTACTACTTTCCGTTGATTTTGAATTCTTGCTACTTCCGACCATATCGTTGTCTTTATTTGTCGCAAAATTATTAATCACGCTCTTTATTGTTGCTTTCAGATAATTATCATCATGGGGTGAATATTCTTGCTCTTGTGTCGTAAACATTTTTTCGCTATTTATCACACTGCATTTTGAATTTCCTACCATTGCTGATTCGATAAGTCTATTATTAGATTCTACAATATCTTTGTTATCCTCAGAAGACTTTCCAATTATAGTAATATCTGCTGTTTCTGTATTCGGTATGACTGGTTCTGAAGTATCATAAGAATCCGTATATTCTTTAAAAATTTTTTGATTAAGAGGTTTTCCAATAGTGTCAGATGCTGAAGTCATATCTATATCTTTAGGCAAATTGTTTGACGTAATCAATTTTTCTCCAGGTCCATAGATTACAGATTGAATATTTTCAGTGGGAGTCAAATTGACCATATCTGAATTCTGAGTGACGGATATCAAAGTATCATGGGAATCTGTATTTTTGTCTCTGGTTCCCTCTTCAAAATATTCTCCGACACTGTCACGTATTAAAGTTGATTCTTGATCCGTGGGAAGATCAATTGACGGATTTGAATTTACCGCCGCTGCATGAATCGTGGATTTAATTTTTCCCGCGTTCCTTAAATCCAAATCTTTGCTTCCTACAGTATATGTTTCTGCACTCTGTTTCATAGATCCTTCATGCAGGCTTTGTCCAACAAGATCCTGAAGAGGCGTAAAGCTTCCCTCCTCGCCTGTCCCAGTGATAAAACATTTCCTAGAGTGTGGACTAGTTAAATCCACTGATATAGAGGGTGAATATTTTTCACCTAGATCTCTGCTAGAATCTTCTTCTCCATAAGGTGTTTCTGTACTTTCTGCATACGTCACTTCCGTCGCGGAATTCTCTATTTCATCCAAGTGTTTCATAGAGTCTCCGAAGTAGCGTATACCTTCGGGTCCATTAGTTTGAAATTCTACAGACTGCAAAACATTGCTGGTAGAATCCACAAACTTTTCCAGGGAATCCGTATATGGCACGTGACCTAGAATATCCTGTGGTTGTCTTTGAATTTGCGGATCATTTATATCAGTGAACTTGGGATTAAATCGATCATTTCCATCATTGATAAAAAGATCGGTGGAACTTGCTGGATCATTTGTATGCATTCCATATGCTTTGTCAAAATTGTTATCAACAAATGAATATCCATTTGTTACTTCTATTATTTGAGAATGATCGGTAGCTGTAGATTTTTTTGAATTATCTACCGATGAAAATCTTTCAGAATCCCATTCTGGTCCAGGACGCTGGTGCTCTTGTACTCCTTCGGACATTTCTCTTAACATATTACTAGAAGCTATATGCTCATTTCTTGTATCTGGACTTAATATCCCTTCAGAATTTTCCCAAATATTTTTTACTCTTCCATCATAGAAATTTGGATAGTTATTGAAATTATAATCATTGTTAATATACTCGGTATTGCCAAAGTCTTGAGCAGTATAGGCTTTCCCTAATTGATGATTATCTAATTGGTCGTTAAAATAATTAATATTTGTATAGTGATGCGAGGGAATGCGATCGTATGAGGGTCGTGATAGTTGAACCTGTTCGTAATGATTATTGGTAATTTCTAGTGGTCTTTTAATTGCATTTTCTGGATACGTTGAATCTTCTAATAAGGTAGGTTCAATTTGTGTTAGCGATGGAATTTCAGTGCCGATAATTACAGGTGCTTGTAGGTCATGCTGTATAGTTTTTGGCATTTTGTTCATAGCATAATATTCAGGTTGCACGCTATCGTATCTGTTACCTGTATAAGGTTCTGTATTATCAGCATAACTAGATTCTCTTGTTTCATCCGATATAAGTGGATATTTCAAGTCGTTTTTATCGTCGGATGAATAATCATTATAGTGTTGCAGATTATTTTCGGTTGTATAAAACGGATCATCATTTTCATAGGGTGTAACAGGCACCCTACAGGGACTGTCAACAATATGATGTCTTGAGTCGCTATGTAAATTAGGCTTTTGCTTTTCATTCAAAAGATAGTTTTGTGTTGTATAATTATAAGTGTCATAAGTACCGTAAGTATCATGTGATAGAGATTGCTCATTGTATTTCATATTATTATTATGAACTGAATTGTCTTCGTATTGATAAATATGCGAATTTTGAGAACCTGTATTATCGTAATAATCGGATGTGTCTATATTCGAATTTTTACCAATTTCATTCTGTTGTACATGATCTTCTTGTATTCTTTGCTTGAAATTATTTTCAGGTGAATATTCAAAATCTGTAGTACCAGCTTCGTAAGATTTGGCTGATCCTGGTAAAATTTTATTCTGAGCTGTTTGGGCTACGAATGGTTGTTCTGAGGTATATTTTAGTTGTGTATCAGGATTTCTAGAATCATACTGATAATTCGAGCCTGCCGTCTGTTCCTCGTTATGATCGGTAAAATATCCAAAATTAGTAGTAGTAGTTTCGTAAGATTCATCGGATCCTGGTAAAATTTTATTCTGAGCTGTTTGGGCTACGAATGGTTGTTCTGAGGTATATTTTAGTTGTGTATCAGAATTTCTAGAATCATACTGATAGTTTGATTCTGCCGTTCCTTTTTGGTTATGATCGGTAGAATATCTAAAATTAGTAGCAGCAGTTCCGTAAGATTCATCGGATCCTGTGAGAATTTTATTCCGAGCTGTCTGAGCTACAAACGGTTGTTCTGAGGTATATTTTAGTTGTGTATCAGGATTTCTAGAATCATACTGATAGTTTGATTCTGCCGTTCCTTTTTGGTTATGATCGGTAGAATATCTAAAATTAGTAGCAGCAGTTCCGTAAGATTCATCGGATCCTGTGAGAATTTTATTCCGAGCTGTCTGAGCTACAAACGGTTGTTCTGAGGTATATTTCAGTTGTGTATCAGGATTTCTAGAATCATACTGATAATTCGAGCCTGCCGTCTGTTCCTCGTTATGATCGGTAGAATATCCACAATCTGTAGTAACAGTTCCGTAAGATTCATCCGATTCTTTGATAATTTTATTCCGAGCTGTCTGAGCTACAAACGGTTGTTCTGAGGTATATTTCAGTTGTGTATCAGGATTTCTAGAATCATACTGATAATTCGAGCCTGCCGTCTGTTCCTCGTTATGGTCTGAGCTACAAACTCCAAAATTAGTAGTAGTAGTTTCGTAAGATTCATCGGATCCTGTCAGAAGTTTATTCCGAGCTGCCTGAGCTATAAACGGTTGTTCTGAGGTATATTTCAGTTGTGTGTCAGGATTTCTAGAATCATACTGATAGTTCGAGCCTGCCGTCTGTTCCTGGTTATGATCGGTAAAATATCCAAAATTAGTAGTAGTAGTTTCGTAAGATTCATCGGATCCTGTCAGAAGTTTATTCCGAGCTGCCTGAGCTATAAACGGTTGTTCTGAGGTATATTTCAGTTGTGTGTCAGGATTTCTAGAATCATACTGATAGTTCGAGCCTGCCGTCTGTTCCTCGTTATGATCGGTAGAATATCCAAAATTGGTAGTAGCAGTTCCGTAAGATTCATCCGATTCTTTGATAATTTTATTCTGAGCTCTCTGGGCTACAAACGGTTGTTCTGAGGTATATTCCAGTGGTGTATCAGGATTTCTAGAATCATACTGATAGTTCGAGCCTGCCGTCTGTTCCTCGTTATGATCGGTAGAATATCCAAAATTAGTAGTAGTAGTTTCGTAAGATTCATCAGATCCTGTCAGAAGTTTATTCCGAGCTGCCTGAGCTATAAACGGTTGTTCTGAGGTATATTCCAGTGGTGTATCAGGATTTCTAGAATCATACTGATAATTCGAGCCTGCCGTCTGTTCCTCGTTATGATCGGTAGAATATCCAAAATTAGTAGTAGTAGTTTCGTAAGATTCATCAGATCCTGTCAGAAGTTTATTCCGAGCTGCCTGAGCTATAAACGGTTGTTCTGAGGTATATTCCAGTGGTGTATCAGGATTTCTAGAATCATACTGATAATTCGAGCCTGCCGTCTGTTCCTCGTTATGATCGGTAGAATATCCAAAATTAGTAGTAGTAGTTTCGTAAGATTCATCAGATCCTGTCAGAAGTTTATTCCGAGCTGCCTGAGCTATAAACGGTTGTTCTGAGGTATATTCCAGTGGTGTATCAGGATTTCTAGAATCATACTGATAATTCGAGCCTGCCGTCTGTTCCTCGTTATGATCGGTAGAATATCCAAAATTAGTAGTAGTAGTTTCGTAAGATTCATCAGATCCTGTCAGAAGTTTATTCCGAGCTGTCTGAACTATAAACGGTAGTTCTGAGATATATTTCAATTGCGTCTTAGGATTTCTCGAATCATACTCATAATTCGAGCCTGCCGTCTGTTCCTCGTTATGATCGGTATAATATCCAAAATTAGTAGTAGTAGTTTCGTAAGATTCATCAGATCCTGTCAGAAGTTTATTCCGAGCTGTCTGAGCTACAAACGGTTGTTCTGAGGTATATTTCAGTTGTGTATCAGGATTTCTAGAATCATATTGATAATTTGAGTCCACCGTTTGCTCGTCGTTATGATAGCCATAGTTGGCAGATATCGGAGTCGAGACGTAATTCAAAGTATTTCTATCTGAATAATCTGTCGACAGGTGGCCGTCCTCTGAATCTAATCCAATTTGGTGAACGGCGGCGTTTTTCCACTGGGATAAACTCGTCGCATCCACCACACAAAATTCCCTTCCATAAAGTTTTATACAATCTTCAACGTTTCGAAAACTTTTACCAAGTTCAGTCCGACCTATTGACCAAGTCTTTTCGTTACCTATGGGAATCGTCTGTTCAGTTCCCACGTATTCATCTTCAATCTTGTGATCGATTGGATTCTGCTGACTTAACATTTTCTCATTACTTTGATCAATTGCATTATTTCCACTGTACGAAGTACCAACGCAATTCTGTCTAAATGGCGTTTGCACCGATGCATGTGATTTTATTTGTTGACCGACAAACCCATTTCGCTGTATGGCACTGTCAGCTGACGCCATTTTATTCAATTGCTGCCAATTTATTTTACCAGATGGTACTCCGTACTGAATATTGAATGGTTGCTCGGGCAATTGTAAAATCGGTGGACTTTTTATATTTTCAAATTGCTGCTTTTGTACGTCACTTCTAGTATCCATGGGAATTGTCCCACTTTGTGTTTTCAATATACCTGATATAATTTGTGAACTAACCATCGGATTTTGAGATTTTGCCAATACCGAAGGCTGTGAGTACTGTGTGATTATGGGTGCTTGTACGAATTTTTGAAACTGATGATCTTGTTGAACATTCGGTATCGTGTTGATACCATAATTGTTTTCATTAAGAAAAACAGGTCTTGCCTTTTTCCACACAGGATAAGCCTGAAGAACCATTTGTCCAGGGTCATTTCCGCAATTCTTATCTTCATAATAACACACAAATTTTCTTGGCTTATTTGGCCTTATATTTCCTGCTCTTTTACCTATCAAAGCCAAAACGTTACAATCTTCCGGTCTGAGATGAGCCTTCACTCTTTTCAGTACTGCATTGTCTTTATTAATTTCACTCTCTTCGTATCTCTGCATGGATTTTGATCTCAAAATATTTTTTAGTATTGCTTTTGGATTTTTCACAGCTGCTATTCGCAGATATGGTTGCTCCTCTTCATCGGACTCTTCCGAGGTCACTTGGTTATCTTCTCCCATTTGCAAAATTATATTTTTACTAGGATCTAGACTTCTTGCATTTTTTATAGCATACGACACAACATCCTCTTCCGGTTCTTTATATAATTTTATTTTACGATAAGACGGGAGTCCGCGACATCGTTTTGTTTTGTAATTTCTACGATTTATTTCTTTATCATCATCATCATCTTCATCATCTATGACGTCTTCGTTATTATTTCCATCGGCGCGAATGCTTTCCATTGGCAATACTACAGCCATTGATCTTTTGTCTCTGCTGTTGGTATCAACTGTATCTTTTGAAACTGCTGAGTCTGCAGGAGTCGCTGGAAACCTGTATGATCAAGTGTTAGAAAAATATAATGTGTAAAAATTGATATAGGTTGGTAATGTTACTATTAGTCATTGCATAATATTGATCAAATATTACAGTGCATTGTGCAATAATAAACTATTGTATAATGTATAAATAATTTTGCAATGGTATTTAATAGATTATGAAACGTTTCTCAAAAATCCTTTGTATTAGAATTGGCAATCGTTCTATCCAGCAATATTTAATTGTTTCGTTACCCTAATGACGAGTATTATTGTTTCGCCAATTCATTTTGCACACTTAACAAAAAAAAAAATGTATATTTTTGCAAGGAATTCGATACTTTGTTTGAGGAAGGTGATATCCTGTGTTACAGCGATGTTGCTGACGTGGACGATTATGGCACATTCACTTTTGAGTTATTTAAGGTATTTTTGGGTGTTCAATTTATTACAGAAACTTATCACTTAATAAAAAGACAATTTCGTATTATAATGGATATACGAGAAATTGGGATTAATTACAAAAATTATTTATTAGTTTCAATTAATTGATACTTACCAGACATTTTTACCGATCTTGGTTCCGCTATCAAGCAGGTTATCAGTGTCTCCAAAATAGCTCGTAGCCAAAAGTATTCCGACGATTAAAATTATTTTTGTCATTTTATCGAATCACTTATTAGTTCATGTTATGATTATTATTCGACTAGTTAGCAGAAGGCATTAGAAAATTTATTCGTTGAAAACTTTCACAAGCTTTCAGTATTATGAAGCACGAGAGCACAATTCAAAAGTACATATTATTTTCTTTTAAGTGTTGTATTTATTTAATTGACTCGCGTTTTTCATTTAATAATTTAAATCTTTCGAATTTTCAACTAATTTTTCAAACACGCTTTAGCCCTGCTCTAGTCTGAATGTCTGAACGAGAACTGCTCCTAATTAGTACTGAATTTTAACAGACAGCAAAACTCTGATGCGTTGCATATACGTGCCAACCTGCTGTTGCAAAATTGCGCAACTTATATTGCAATGTACCGTGTTGAAATATAAACATTTTTTAATCGGAAATCCGTCCGATAGATCGAGGCTCGTTATTATTTCGTTACCACTCAAGGTTATCCTAGAATCGACAAAACGTATCTTATGAAATAAGTCATTATATTTCCCGACCAAATTTTAACACGTAATATAATTATATTTCTTGAAAAATATTTCACTGAAACATTAACCTGTTATCCGTGATGAAGTATGGAACAGAATATAAAATACGTAACTCCAATTTGAATTAATTTTAACGATTGGTTCTGGTTACTTTAAAGAAGTGCAGCTGCGCGTTACGAGTGAAGTGCATTTTCTATATATGATGAAAGGTTCATTGGCATCGAGTTCACCCTCGCATTTTCGATATCGACAACAAACTTACCGCAGCATAAACGTACGCTTTTACTTCCCTGAAATGAAAAATATTTTTGCGGATGAAGAAACAGGATATGACGTATAATCAATTTTTGTTTATTAATATTCTTTAAACATCATCGTGGGACAATGTGTGCGTACGGATAATATTACAATAGGCTGTTAATGCTTGATGGATATTTGTACATAAATTTATATATACGGTATAATAAAAATTTATTATTAATGTTATGTTAATGATTTAAAAGTAAAAAAATAAATAATTAAGGAAAAGTATTTGACATTGTTATATAATTAATGCCTGTGAAAAATGCGAGCTAATCCAGATATAAAAGCGAAAAACTTGTTAACATGTGTAATGACAGTATTGAAAACATTATGGGTAATTTTTCTTGTCGGAGATAGATTTTCAATAGTTTCGTTTTGCTTATTTTTTAAGGTATCGTTGAATCTGCCCTGAAAGTCGTCAATAAAGCTTTCTAAGGAATTTGTCAGATTTCCGGTCTTTTCGAATGTCTTCGTCAGTTCGGTAGCAATTTTTGGAATGACTTCCTCCAAAAAGGATGTTGGTGTTGAATTTTCAAGTACTTCCTCAAAATTACTCGTCTTTTTCGGATCATTATCTTCGGTAGGGCGAATCGTGGTTTTGAAAATATTACTTTTTGGGTGTTCATACGGCATCACCTTATTTTCGAGAATTTCAATCGTATTAGGATATGTTGAAAAAGTGTTGTCTTTGTTCTTTGTCTTTCCCATTTTTTTCAAATACCAATCTATATCTTTTTGAATTTTCTCAAACTCCTCAGCGTGCTCCTTCCGCTTTGCAATGTAATCCTGAAGATGTTTTGCATTATGCTTAATGTCCATAACTTCCGGCCAAACTTCGTTCATGCCACTGTTATTACTTTCTTCATTTCTAGTAATTTCGTTTCTTATCTCTCGCCGATGTCTGCTTCGTTTGTGACTTTTTACCGGTATCAGCATCAGTAATTCGTACTTGCTGGAGCCAAGTGCGTCATCCAAATCCAAAGAATCAATATCATCGTCGTTACTAATCGAGGGTCCATCTTCATCCTGATGAAATCTGACTTGGATTCCATTTGGATATTTTTTGGGTAAATCAACCAAAAGATCCTGATGTTTATTTATGAAGTCACCGTCGTCGTACATTTTGACAAAATGATTTTCCGAATTTCTCAAAGATATTCTTCCAGACTGATCCTTGTAGTCTTGGCGATGATCTTCGACTTCCTGAGAATCCTTTCTCACGTAACGTGGACTTTTTCCTGTTGGGTTCATATCTTTATACATTCTTGGGTCGTATTCCTTGTTCGTATTCATTTTTGTAATATCCTTCCAATTATATTTTCCACTTTGAATAATATCATTAATTTCATACTGACTTATTGGACGATGCTCGATATTTTTTCTAAAGGACACAATTTCAGGGGAAAATTCTCTTGGCGATTCTTCAGATCCAACTTCCTGTGAGACATATTTATCGTACTTGGGACTCATGTGTTTTCTGCTGTTACTGTACTCCGAAGACTTAAGATTCTTCTTGGAAACGTATTTCTCCTTGATCTCAACATTTTCTACAGGAACGGCTTTGTAGTGGTCCTCCTCTTTGACCAATTTGAAGAGTCTGTTTTGATCTTCTGCTGAAGATTCACCCGAGTCTTCCTTAAGGCACATATAGTTACATTTTCCACGTTCTACGTTTCTTTCTTTTCTTTTCGATAATTTGGACTTTGAAAATAATGGTCGCCATCTCATTGAAGGTTCTTCGCTTGGCCGATTTGAATCAGCCGCCAAATATCTTCGTACACGAACGTTACTTTCGTCATTTACGTCTGAATGATTCACAAGCGTCGCTTCGGACTCAACGGGGACGGATTCGTCTATACGATTTTCGTATTTTTCGATTTCCGCAATTTCCGCTACTGGGAATGCAGCCTTTTTCACTGTTTCTATAGGATTTTTGTAATTTTCGAGATATCCTTCAGTTTTTAGGGATTCCATTGTCTGCGGATGTCGTTTATTCGAGTAGAATGCTTTTGGAATATGCTGGTCCATCGCTGCAGGATTTAATGATTTATATTTCGATGTTTTTTTAATTTTTTGATTTTTCTTCGAATTATATTCCAACGATTCACTTTCTTCGCTATTCTGCGCGGATTTATCCTTATCTACCATGCCAAGGACAAAGGATAATGGACTGTCAGAATTTTTATACTTCTTCGAAGGCGATTTGCTGGTATTTATATAGTTCTTTTTGTTATATTTTTTCCACACTTTTCCATTCTCTTCTAAATCATCAAGCGTATCCTCCGTTTCGTAATTTTCATCGTGAATTTCCAATTTAGGTTCTCCACCTTTGTACTTTGAAGCATCAATTGCGAGTAATGGACGATTCAGATTTTCTTTTTCATCCTCATCTTGATGATTGCTTTTCCAGTATTTTAAGTCATTTTTTTCTTCTCTTAAATTTTCTTTCGCATGACGAGGGATTTCGTATAAATCTTGCAAATCATTGTGGTCCATTTCTATATTCAGATGATCATCCTTATATTGTTTTTTGTTATAATATTTTTCTAATTCATAGGGATCGTTTGTCCAAAGAAAGTTATCATTACTCTCTTTCAAATAATTATTTTTCTGTTTGGCAGATTTCCTATTTACCTTCAATAAACTTTCTTCGAATATTTTTGGATTCTCAATGCTCTCCACAATAGCGTAATAAGATTTAACCGGTTGGAGACTATTTTCCAAATTTTCTTCATCGTTCAATTCTTGTTGCAGTGTCTTCTTCGAATTTTCAAAATTATTATCGGTTCTCAATAGATCCTCGTAATGCATTATTTTTGGATCTTGAAAAGTATGAAGACGATTCTCCACGCTTATTCTTTGCATTCTATGATCTGGCAGAGATCTCGTTATTTCAACTTCCGGTATATATCTTCTTTCCTGGACATTTGACTCGGCACTTTCTTCTCTTATAGAACTGTAATCTATCGGTTTGTACATCATTATATAAGCGAGTTTTTCTTTATCGGCAACGTCTTGAAGATCCTTATGATTCTTCATTTCTTCCCATATTTCCCTTCTCTTAAGATTCCTTTCCACTTCGCTGTCGCACTTGCTTAAAGCTTCCAAAAGCTCCTCGCGATATTGCTGCAAAATCTTAGCTCGTTTCGCCCTCAATTTTTCTTTCAACTTCTCCAATTTTTCCGCTCGTTTCCTTTGGTACTCCTGATACTTTGCATTTTCCGTCGACTTCAATTTTGCAGTTTCCATAACCTTCTTTACTTCTATTTTTTTCATCTCACTTTCCTTCCTCAAATTCGTCAAAGCTTCCGATTTCGCTGCGGCTTTAGTCTCGTATGCTTTTGCCAAATCTTCAAAACTTGTAAGGGTCTTCGGCTTTTCTTTGGTGCTATCAACTTTATCATTTTGGGCAACGACGTCATTCGTATTTACATTTGTCGAACCCACCGGTTCTACTTTTTGTGACGAAGACTGGTTAATCTCGGCAGCAGTTATTTCAACTTGCGGTCCATTACCGATGGATTCTTCTGTCATTTTCCTAGGAGCACGGTTCTGTTCAATATTAATGTCTTTATCTGATTTCATTTCCTCAATCAATTTAGCTGTTGCTTCGGATGGGAATTTCTCATCAACTTTTGATTCTTCCTCTTGATTGATCTGTCTTTCCATTTTTACTGTATCTGTTCCAGTTTCTCTTGTTGCTTCAATGACTTTATTGTCCTCGTTCTGATCTTGTATATTGGACAGGTATTTAGTATTATCATTGTTACTGTTGTGTTCTGTGTTATCGATGCTAATATCGTTGACTGCTGGTATTACTGCAGGATTCGGAATAGAGTGAGATTCCGTTAAGTGCTCAGATACTTCAGGCACTCGAACCATCTCCAACGTTGAAGTCTTCTCAGACGCTCCTGCCTCTCCTTGCAAATTTGTTTCCATTTCCTTATACTCTTCTTCAGATTTCTCACGAAAGGTACTCCCTACTTTCGGTTTTTCCACGATTTCGACTCTAGGATCTTTACTCTGTCCAGTGTTGATTACGCTGGAGTTTTCATTTAAATTGTCCGTCACTGCGGACTCGGAATATTTATTCAACCGTTTAACTTGTTTAGCTGGAGTCTCTTGTGTTAGTAGAGCTGGTTCTTCGTGGGTTTCTTGAATTATTCCAACTATTGGTTTTTCTTCAGTAACTAGCGGACTTACTGAAAGGATTTCTTCAGCATCCTGCATTCTCGGGGACGCTTGAACGACTTCCGCCGTTCTTGAATTTAAGTCCATTCCTTTTGTATCTTCGTCTTCGTTAGATTCAGTTATTTCTACATTGTTCTGCAGCGTGGAATCGGTTTCTGGGGTTATGAGTTTCTCTGAGTTATGAGCATTTCCAGCACTGTAGAGATTTGCGGGTTCTTCGAGATCGCGCCTTTTTCGGTCATTTTTGGATTTGTAATGTTTACATTGATCGGCCCATCTGCCACCTCGAATCACTCTGCATTGACAATCCTTTAAATTGTCATCGTCTTGATTGATCATTTCGTTATTGAAGATAGAATCGAGATCACTGATTTTTCTTCTGGTTCTTCTTCTGTTTTGCTTTTCCTCTGTGCTCTCCTCCTCATAGATTGGTTCCTCCTCGGATTCTTCAGTATTTCTGAATTGCATTGATCCGAAATCTTCGTCTTCCTCTTCCTCTTCAGATTCTTCGACCTTCACTCTTTTCTTACTGCTAACCTGATCTTTATTATTCCTATGCGAGGAAAGTTCTTTTCCATTTTTAGAATCTTTCTTTAATGACGATTTTAATTTTTGCTTTCGTTTGCCCAATTTCTCTCCAGAGAAATCTACTTCAGGCTCGTCATTCATTACTTCGGAATTATCATAATATTTAAGCAGCTTCTTCACTGTTGTTTCTTTCGCCCGTTTATCCATATTTTCGTCCAGATGATTCTCTTTCACTATCTCTTCAGCAACTGTGTCGGTAGCTTGGATTTTCGTATCGTCCATTCCTCCGAATCCTTTCTGCAGAGATTCGGCTTCCCACAGCTCGCCATAATCCTTTAATTTTTCATTAATACGTATCATGGGCATCCTTACGTTTTCGTAAAATTCGTTTGGTGCATGATCGAGTCCATCGGTACCATCTTCTACCCACGTGTCATCCGGTTCAGCAGTTTTTCTAGAGGGCGTTCTGGTCTTAGACTTCGATCTCTTCTTCGATTTCTTGAGAGATTTTTGATCAGTCGCCATATCATCGTCATCCTGAATATAGTCATAATCATTTTCAATTTCCTCCGATGAAGTCCCAGTGTTGAGGAAAACATCGCCACGAGGAAAGTTTGCCGAAGGTTCTCGTTGCTGAAATCCAAAGAAATTATTCTCAATACTGTCAATATTCTTGGGATCAAAAATACCGGCTTGAACTTCTTTTTTAGTCAGGGCATCCTCCTTCTCCTTCTTTCGGTTTCTTCTTTCCATTCTACGTTCCTTCGCTTCTTCATTTTTTGTTCTTTTTTTGAAAATACTATCCCGTCTCAGTCCTAAAGGATCCTCCCCAAATAATTTATCCAAATCTCTTTTGAATCTTTCATTTTTATATTCGTCTTTCGTTTCCCTCATCTCCTCAGGATCATAAGGTGCATCCTTCTCAGGTCGTTCCTTATTCGAACTATCAGCATTCAATAACTGTAAAATAGCACTTAATTGATTTTCAATCATTAATTTTGGAAGGATCATTCTTTTAGTCTTTTCCGATTTCTGCAATTCGTCCTCGAGAATGTCTTCGTCATTATCTGAATTAGCAGCCGTCAAATCGGATATTGGACCATTAGAATGTTCCTTCTTCAATGTCTCAATTTGTGCATTAGCCTCCGTTTTGTCGAGACTCTTCATGGCTTGTTCTACTTTGGCTATGAGCTTGAGTGCTTCAAGTGCTTTTTGAGTATCCACGTCCTTCGAATCTTCTTCTATTTTTGAATTAATTTTTTTCTCTTCAAAGTCCAAATCCATTTCTTCCTGTACTTTCTTTCGATTCTCATATTCGTTCAATCGATTTTTATATTCTTCTAATTTAGCCCGTATTTCTTCACCGGAGTCATGTCTTCCGCTTGCTTTCAACTGAACAATCGAAGTCTCATCTTCAAGCGTATTATCCTTCTCATTACTCTCATCGTACATTAAGAGTCCTACGCGTCCCTTTGAATTAAGAGATTTTCTTTCCTCGTTATTATTATCCCTTCTCTTAAGTAATTTTTCAAGTTTTTCAAATTCCTTCTTGGCATCGATTTTTCGAAATTTTCTCTCATCCTCTTCCTCCTCGCTGTGTCGATGCTTTCGTTTCTTCTTCTTTTGCTTTATCAAACTTTTCCTTTCCTCCGTCGAATCCGCATACAAATCCTGATCATCCTCGTCCTCGTGACCAGCATCCTCCTCGAGCTCAGCCTCCTCAAGCCTTTTGGTCAGTTTCTTGAGCAACATTTTATCGATGCTGTCATCCTCGTGACTCATACAGGACTTGACCTAAAAATAAAAATAAGATTTAACCGGAAATGGTCACTCGCCGCAATGCTGGATTAAAATTTCACATTTAAATGTCTAAGTAGCTCTGTAGGTTGTGTGTGTAATTTCACAGTTGAGCAACCATTAACATTTAATCAGAGATTAACGCGTTACACAGGCGGTTTTATTGCGTGGTGAGGATTGTGTCAGAAAAGTTCTAACCTTCAGACCAGGAACAACCCAGAAACCTATCCCTCCTGATGGAAGTTTTAAGAGCATGCCTTTGCTGCTGGGTACAACCACGGGATTTAGTTCGGGCAAGTCCTTTTCATTAACAAGACTCAGGGGTTCGTTATTGAGTAGTACAGTCCTACAAAAAAATTCATGATCTTAAAATCGTATTATATATGTATATCAAATAATTCGAATGAATTATAAAAAAATTATTTTCTTTTTATCATCTAATTTCAAGATCCACATTATTCATCTTGCGGATAACAATAAGATAATATTCATGCGCCACTCATACTTACTCAGCAAACATTCTATTCGAATTGTCATATCCTGGCATCAGTATGTACTTGTGCATCGTCTTAATCTTCAGGCCCTTCAGGCTGGCCACAATCTTACTAGGTGTCAAGTTCAAGCCAAAGATGGTTAATGAGCCTTTTTCGTACCTCGAAGAAGGTCTGGTACATTGACAATAAAAGTGAACATGTGTCTTATTTCCCGATGTCACTTTCAGGTCCAGAACTTCACGGCCCACCAGAGTCTTGTGAAGTAAGGATACCCAGTAGTCCTGAATTACATTCAGAAAACCAGTCAACCAAATTTCTTTCAAGTTAGTAAATTTACAATGTAATCATTTAAGAGACTGAAAAGTGAATAGAGGAGAAGGAAATCGTCAAGAGGACTGAAGACTCAATAATTTTCTCTTGTATTTCTCAAGACCTTTGTACACGAGTATAACTATGTCGTAGTTCTCAGGCGTATGCTACGTGAATGATATACGCTAAGAAACTTACTGGAGTTGGATGAAACAAGTTTGACGTGTCAGGCTGCCTCATAAAAACTTGAATTCCAAGTTTAGCAGAATTTCCGAGTCTTCTGGCCCAAACGAGGGCACCCAAAAATTGTCTCTTGCATTCCTCAGATTTGGACTCGGCTGCAGGTAATAAAAAAATATAAATAAAAAAATAAAAAAATATATCACAAAATCCGACTGACCTATCCAAAGTGGCTTCCTCGCAATGGAACGGCCAACAACTTTATAAAGAGCGTCTCTCTCCGCAGCGAGATTATCTTGCAAAAGAGAGACACCATCAGAGTCCAAAGTGATACCAGCTAAATCTCTGAAATAATTGAATTCTTAGTGCTCGGTCTTCGAATAGAAGTTATTTTACAGCTGCCATGTCGAAACTCACGGATGCCAGGTTATTGCCGAGAGCGCCGGTCCTGCCGAGTTCAGATAATCCTGAAGATATTGCAGTTGCTGTTTGCTCTTAAAGGTGACTATATCTGGTCCAGCTATCAGACTACTTGAATACCTTGGAAAAGCGTCAAGCATATTTCGCAAGCGCAACACATCCTTTCCAAGATCATTGCCAGGTATGTCACATCGTGTTTGACATTCTAAAATAACACAAGACTCAGAATTATAAAATTATTATTAATTTCAGATAAAAAGCTGATTCAACGACGATATGAATGAGTCTGCGTTTGATGTACCATAGCCCAATTGCCAGCTCATGTTGTATCCCATGTGATCACTGAAGGAGATGAGATCCAGGGCGTTTCTAGGATCCCAAGTTGGAGGTTGAGAACCACTGTTAGTTTGTTGGGGTGCAATGCACGCTATCACCTCAAGTCCCGCCTTCTCAGCCCACTGCTGTACCAGAACCCAATGCGCCTCTGAAACCGGAGTAATTGCCTCGTAAAGCAGCCTAATTACTCCAAGAAAGTCTTCAAGCTGTGCATGTTCTCGAAGGACTTCCTTTTAGTAGATAATTATTAAATAAGGCAAATTATTGCCAATCCATAAAACTCTATGAAGGTTCAACGGCTAGAAATATTTGGTACCAAAAAGTTCATCACTCGTCAATTTCTGCGTGCGGTCCCCTTTAGTAAAATTGCAATGGTCATATGGCTATGCTTCAGTTCCAATGATTTGGGCTCTTAAGGGATAATTGTAGCTGCTGCAATTAAAGGGACGATTACTATCCAAAGGGAGGTTATGTACGACGAAGACATTCGCCATGACGTTACACCGGATGATGAGAGTTATTTCATTGTTACAGCATCATAACGCACATTAGCTACATGCATGCAATACTGGATGGATAATGGAAACATCTTGTCGTAACTTTAATGATCTCGTAAATATCTGAGGGAACGAGAAGAGCGCGCATCATTGGATATCTGGCACGGAGCAAATAGAAATCTTATGTCGCCTGCGGAAAGACTTCGAGTACGTGTGAAATTGAAATATTCTTAGTCTAGACTCTAGTCGATGACAATGCTTCCTGGATATGTTTATAAAAGGTGGAATGCTGGCGAGGCTCTGTCATAAGTTAACCGAAATTCTAGCTAGCTCATATCTGTGTTAACCTATTTTAAAGCTTCTTCGAGGTTCACCTAGCTGTACCTTGTTTTTCAATATAGGCACACAGAAACCGTACGTCGTTTCAGACTTGTTCGAGTAATTAGGGTGAGTAGTAATCTAGGAGAAATTCGAGGTACAAATAGAAGTTATTCGTTAGGGGGTTGGTGTAGGGTGAAAGGCGAAGTGGAACGGACTGAACCTTCTCTGTAACGTTACTCGCTTAGTATAGTATATCTTTAGATTAAGCATTGTTTAGTTTAATCCAATGTGGTAACACAGCGGCTTGGGTAAGTAACGCTTCAGCATAGCCAGGAAAATTAGCACAGCCTGGGGTACCTATTTCCGGCAATGCACGTGCATTATTATGGCCGCCGGATGAAATTTGGTGCTGTGAATTAGAAGTGGAGGAGCGCGGGGAGTTAGTTGTTTCTCAGATTTAAAGGATATCCGGAAAATTTGAGCTAGTTTAGAATCCCTAATTAAAATTGACTTTAATGCTACAGTAACGTGTTCGTGTATATTACTGGCTCGACGTTCGAAAACAGCTGTCAATGCTGTAGTAATATATATTAAGTAAAAGTCTACGAGAGGAGTGAAAATTATAAATTAGATAATAAGAGTTCCAACAATGTTTATAGGTATCTATCCTGGCGTCAAGTCCGAGATTGAGTTTCTCATTAACTTTTTTTCTCTTTTGTTCTTACCAGAAAATGTGTAGTCTGGATCGCTCTTAGCATCCTGAGGAAAGAGGGCTCGCTCAAACGTGTATGAATTGCTGTGCGATCCGCCAAGGCGGACGTAAGCTGGTGCAAGTCCTCTTGCCATATTGGTGCTCCTTTCCGTACTCGAGCTGGAACATCCGGATCTTCTGGATTTTCTCGATTTAGGAATTTCTATTTTTTTTTTTATTTCCACGCCTCTTTACGAGATGGGAAGGAATTCAGGCGATATGCACAGGGTGCTATGTATATTGCGTCATCTCAATGGGTACGATTCAATTTCAATGCGACTTGATAGAGAAATGACTTCCGGCAAATGAGATTCTACATATCGCGAAAGGCTATAGCTATCCGCTATGTTGTTTTAATTGATGTAATTTTTTTTTATTTAAAATTATTTTTTACAATCTTTATCATATTTACGGCTAATTCGTTGCTACTTACGTGAGTACGTCCCCGGTAAGTAGTACAGCTGGATCCAGAGTCATGCTGAGAAATTTCTCGCTGACTATTGCTATAGGCTTTTTCACGTTCACCGTAAGAATGGCATCGTCGGCCACGATGATTCTCATCAGGAACGTAAGAACCAGCGCGACCATTACACATGGATTCTCCATGCTTGTCATTTTTATTATCTATTATATTTTTAACGCTCTTCTCTTATGCTACAAGCACTTCAGATATCCCATATTATGAAGAAAACCCAAGTATACGCTGTATATGTTGCGTTTAACTTCTGCCGGACAAAGTATAAAAATTCTACTAAAACGTTCACGACCCTGACGTCCTCACGGACTGAGAATCTTGATTGCACTGCTCAATGACCCATGGAAAATAAAATGACGCCCAACTCGGCGCACGAAATATGTTTGTCGATCTAAGCAATTCTGACATTGGTATTTTAGACCGTTGCGTAAGGCACAATCGGTATCTAGGTTGACGACTCGCGTGTAATTTGCAGACTCGACGAAACAAACATGGAAGCTATACAGTTTCTGAAAATATTATTCTTGCTGAATAGTTTTGTCGTGAAAAGAAAGAATTTGCAAATTCAAGGAAGGAATTTCGGGACGTTGTTAAATCAAGTACAACATGCGTTTTGGTAACATGATCGATTTATTTCTTTTTTTTTTTCATTATGCTTTTTTCCTCACGTTTCAATGGTTAGAACTAAATAACATAAATGCATACTTTTTGTTATTTTCCTTTTTATTTATTATTACTCGTAATATTACTATAGTAATAAGAGCTATAACGGTGTGGCGCGCCCCCGCAGTGGCTTTTTACTTTTTCGTCAGTTTCCTTTTTTATTTTTACTCTCTCACTCTCTCTTTCTCATTCTCTCTCTCTCTCTCTCTCTCTCTCTCTCTTCCAATAATTCTGACTCTCACTCCCCCTATTTATTTATCTCGAAGGAGAAGAGTCTTAAAACGGAAATACTTTGTGGGTTAAATAAAACGTAGACGGATGAAAAGCTCGATTACCGTCTATCATGGATACGCTCGATTTGATTTGACGATCGAGAAGAGTAATAATTACAAAAGAAATTGTTTCTTTTTTTCTTCTTTAATTTATTAATATTCATTCCTCAAGTATAAGTGGACTGCGGGTATTGACGAAAACACCCGAAGCGCACGTATCCTTCCGAATGCAAAGTTGTCTGACGAACGAACAAGAAGGCGCGTATCCACTTGATGTATTTTACACTTTGTAAAGGAAGAAAACAAAGAAAAACGAGGATGAATGCAAAGTGGAAACCATGCCCAGGGGCGTGTCTTGTGTTTTTGGCACCCCTCTACGCAGGGCCCTTCTACGAAACCGTGTCGATGTGTATTCGTGTGTAATCGTGTGTGCGCGCGTGTGGTTATGTGTGCCGTGTTATAGTGTCGACCCTTAAAATCTAGATTATTTCATTTTTATATCAATATATATATATAATATATATATATCTAACAACAATATAATATTATCATCATCGTCATCTTCATCGTCATTTTTAAATGTTACATAATATTATGTTCAACAACAAACTCGTTCTTGCTTTTTATTCCTGTACCAATATTTTTTAGCCACTACGCACGCTACTTTATACAAGGGTTTTCCCATTTTGTTATTCACCATTTTTTTCTCTTTAATTTTTTTTTTTTTTTTTTTTTTTTTTACGTCGCTCTTTGTATTTATCCTTTCTCTCGCATTCTTGTCTCTCTCTTTTATTTTTTTAATATCTTCGCTCTCTTGGTTCAAACCTTCGTCTCTGTCTCTTTGCAATTTAATTATTTTTTTCCCCCTAACTCCTGAGCAAGTTTCGTGCGATTTTTGGGCACAAGAGAAACGATAAAGATTTCTCTAATCTTTTGGGTGCTTTCTAACTTTATTCGCGAATATTCATCTGGTTTTAATGTTTCTTGGCTTTTTGGGTCCACGACCAGTCTAATTGTCATTCGATAGCTCGGACAGTTTTCGATCGTCAGCGATACTGCGACCTGCTAATAATTTCATGCGAACTTCAAACCTTCTTCAATAACCTTAAACTCCTGTCGAAATTTCGCTACGATCGAGATTTCTGCATGGAATGTTACGTGATCAGTCGTGTGTCGTGACGTGTTTCGCGATAAACAACCTTAAGCTATTGGTTTTTATTTTCATCACTCAAGATTTTTTTTTTTTCTTTATCGTCTTACTCCCTTTTTCTTTCTTCAAAGGCTTGATAATAACATTATAGGCATCGACAGTATTGCTTCTTGTTTATCGAATATCCGATCTGCTGACTGAAATTTTCGCAATACGAACGGGCGTCTCGAAGAAACTCGTAAGAATAACGTCAGCGGTTGGATATGCAGGCGGATGCACAAACGCTCGACAGACCATCAGCCATATGTAGAATTGCAAATTTCGTTGGAAATGCGAGCGATCCAGTTTGCAAAAACCATATCCTAAAAATCGCACAAGTCCGCTCAAGGACGATGGTACGCGAATTTGTTTGACCAAATGGCAATCGAAAAAAAAAAGAACAATCTTTTAAATCATCGCCAATCATACGTATGCTTTCCCTCCATTGATTATCACTTAATTTTTGAGTTTTCGTTCCTTTTTGGTTTTTCATTTTTTTTTCTTTTCTTTTAATTTAGCACTCTCACGTACAAAGCTAAAGCCTAATTATTTTATCTCACGGTTTCAATATCTCTCGCTTATCCACTAACTTTCTTCATCGTACCTTTCGCTACTGTATGTATATATATATATATATTTATGTATAATATTTATAATAATAATAATAATAATAATAATAATCACCATCATCACCATCATAATCATAATTGTCGTAATAATAATGTTAATAATGTTAAGTATCATTATTACTTCATAATGCGTTGTGTCGTTGTCTCTGAATAGTCATTTTGGTTACGAGTGACGCCCCAGATATTCTGCCGGCTCGAAAGATCCTCTCGTCAATACTTGTTGTCGTCATATTTTCTTTTCTTGCTTTTTTTTTTTCTTTTATTCTTCACACCCCCGACAAACACCGTCAAGACGGAATCCCTCTCTAGCCGGAAGAATCATGTTTGCGATGCAGTTGGAATTCCTTTTTTTTTCATCATTTTCCCCATTTTCATCATTAATTAACGTTCGCTCAAAGGATAATATTACGCACGCAATTAAACACGGGTGTAGATATAATAGGTACTATGTACATAGAAAAATTCGTGTTCTTCTTTTTTTTTACTATTATAAGGTATTCCCTTCTTTATCTCTTTTTTTCTTAATTTTTCTTTTGCTTTCGGCGCATTCAAAAGGTAACACCTGGCCATTCTTGTCCCCCCTCTGTTATCTCGGGTCTAACAATGCTCTTGTCAATGAATCCTACAGATTGGTAAGATCGATCAATAAAATGTTTTTCATTTTTATTTTTTATACGTCACGTCCGGCCTAGCCTTGGTATAGGACCGCCTTGAAACGCGCTGTTATTTTATCTCTATTTTTCTCTATTTTTTTTTTTCATTTCGCCTTTTCCTTCTCACGTCCGACGAAAATTTCATACAGTGTCACGTGGACACGAACGATAATGATTTTGCTCGAATGATAAATGGGTCGAGATTCTCGTGAAAGGAGAGAAAGAAATAAGGGAATTATGGTAAGAGTGAAAAGTATGGGAGGAAATAAAATTGTAGGACGTGGAGAGAGGACATGGGGGACGAGATTGAGGAAAAAGGTCGCGCTTATAGGGAGAATCGACTTTTTTACGACGAATCGTGAAATAAAAGGAAATTCGCGAAGAGCATTGCGCAACGTGACGTGTTCGATGTTCCCTGCCGTTGATAATGGCAGTCGGGATTTGATTTTATTGGCGTCAAGACGGACCTACAGAGGGGGGGATGGTATTTTATTCTTTTAAATTGGAATCTACGAAACACATTAAGTACGTGCAAGGTGTATATTCTCTCTCTCTCTCTCTCTCTCTCTCTCTCTCTCTCTCTCTCTCTCGCTCATTCTCTATCTTTCTCTCTCTCTTACTTTTTTTTTGTTGATATCACGTGCCACGTTGCCGCTCAACGGCTTAGGGTGGCTTAGATAAAGAATTGAGAAAAGCTTCTCGGTCGTGGACATGGTAGGAGAAATGTTCGTCAGTTGACGTCCGTGGTCCAAGTCGTCGATAAAGAAAATTTTGACTGGCTCGATTCTGCTTCTACTTCATGGTTTAAAGGGGCATAAAGCGACGTCGAAGTGATTTTACTTTATCATTTTTTTGCTCCCCCCCAAAGAAGATCAAAGATGGACTCTACAAGATGAATCCAGAAAATTCGATTCGATTGGAATCTAGAGATAAGATTCAGTCGTTTCCGATCGATCGAGAATTGATTTCTGAATGGTGGCGATTGAAAGCCGATATAACAATCGAATAGATATATTCGACGAAACCTCCACGGGACAGCTATCTTGGATAGAAAGTATAGAGAGTAATTAATCTTCAAATTTTTTTTACACGAGAAGATATAATAAGACCAATACTACAGAGCGTACCTTAGACGCTTGATCAGTCACAATCAATATGATCCAATTAAATTAAATTTTCATTAGGTCGAATCAGATCGGTTCTTTTTATAAGCTGATTACGTTATCCTCACACAGGTGGTATTACTGTATTGGTATCATTAGAATATTGAGTATCAAATCCGTTACTTTCCATCTAGTGTGAAGGAGATTCTCTTCAATTGCGCATGCGCTCTAACAGTTATTACACAATACATCTATTTCCGTATAAATCTGTACTTTTGTCTTTATTTTTTTTCTTTCACGTGTATAACGTTCAAACGTCCATTGTTTACTGTGTCGCGGGCTGGTGCGTACTGAACGAGAATTGCAAAAGACGTAGACGTGTTATTTAGCATGTAGAAGATTCGTATGGGTTATATAACGTGTTTTAGTAGACGAGTGTGTTTGCACCCAAATTCCACGGCTTTGTGATTCCGATAGTAAAGAGAGGGAAGGAATGAAAAAGAACATTAGAGGAAACCAAAGGAAATCGAAAATTGAAGAAAAAAAGAAACTTTAGAAATGGGATACTGGGTAACGATGAAACGTACAAAGCGAAAGAGAGATAAAATTTCTTTAAAATATTCTTGCAACAGGTATAAATTTTTTTACCATGACGTATTTCGTAATGCGTGTCAATAATAGCGTACATCATTAATTTACGTTGAATATCGAGAAACAACAACAACACACGACATTAACCAGCAGTAACAGTAGCAGCAACATGGCATTGCATTTATCTATGCACGTTATGTAACAGACACACACGCATTATGTATGAATATCTAGGCGAACGCGCTTTTAGGGTATACGTTTTATTTATACGTAGTTACAGACGAGATAGTCACTTTACTGACTTAGCTAATAAGATTAGAACGAAGAGAAAATTTTTATTTCAACTTTTTTTTTTGTTCTCGTTACGGGGAAACTTGGAAATTTAGATAAATGCGTTCTTCGAGCTTTCGCAACAGGATATCATTTCTTCGTATACGTACGTCAAGATCGTCGCTATCCGATTAATATATTTTTTTGTTATTTCGAAAATTTTTTTATCTCGTCTTATAAAGACTGCCTTTTTGAATAGTTTCATATGCTTGGTGGTAATTTGAATTTTATTATTTTTAAGGGTAGCGAGGTCACTTGGATCGTACGTAGCATAGGTGGTTGGGTCTCTTAACGTCACACTCACAGTAGATATAGTTGAAGATGACATTTTATCTAAATTTATCTGCGTTACACACGTAGCGTAATAGTACAGAACAGTAATCGTAGGCTAGATAGATTAGTAACATGCATCGTAGAAACATCGAGGGTTGTGAGATTAGTGGGAGTTAGAAGGGTTACGTAAGCTATAGTAAGTAAGTATAGTATGTATAGTATAGTATAGATAAGATACAAACGAAGTTTAATAGAAGTTCCTGGATAAATAAGGTAGCGCAAGGTGCGATTAATACTAGAAATTATTATTTCCCATAAGTACAGACCGTTCCGAGATAGTCGGGAGCCATCTTGGTTTTCATTACGTAAAAACCTGACACGTTTTTCTTTAAAAATATTATCATAATATCAAGAACGAATTATAAGTGGATTTGAATGAAGATTTTTCTTGTCTTTCTTTTCTTTTTTTTTAATTAAGCAATTTACGAAAAATCATTAATTTCGTTTTTGGAAAATAGATACCGACTATCGTGGATCGGTTATATAGCGCTCATCCTTTTTCCTTCATATATAAGTATATAGTAATATGATGAGATCGATATATATGATATATCCGAGAAAAAAGAATGCGATTTTTCGTCTAATTAAATATATATTCTCGGGTTTATTAAGTAATTGACTTCAAGTATATTATTTCAGACAATTCAATTGTTTTGTATGTAACGTCGTGGAACGAGAAATACACGGGTAAACGATTTATAAGGGATGATCGTTAAGATGTGAAAAATTGGAAATGGGGTAGATGGGATTACGGAATAGTCAAACAGACTTTCCAGGGACGTTTAAAGCGTCTTTATCTAAACATCTTATCATAGAAAAATTGATCATATAGAGAGAAATAACGCGACTCGACTTACATATTTTACGAAAATTATCGATTATATATTTTCACGATATTTACGTTAAATATGATGAAACTTAATCAGATCAATTGAATAGATTCGTAATTAATGTTGGACCAATAAATTTTATAATAAAATATTACTCCTTTTTTTCTCCTGTTTCATGAATATATATATAATATTAATAATGACACGTGAAATACGTGAGAAATGTTCTCTTCGACTGAATAACTCTCGTAAAAATTAAGTCGAGCTCACAAGACAAGAGAAGCCGCAACGTAGTAGATCAGCCAACAATGACAGGCAGACAAACATACAGACGTGTACAAGATTTAAAGACGTATAGACAGAGAGACATGCAACATTAATACACGAGAGAGTTAATAGCATTTCTTATGCACACCGTGATGATACGTAAAGAGTGTTTCTTAGATTCTATATATAGGGTGTTCGAGTAAATTTGCATTTGGGATTGGCGTTAATGTCTACCTTAGAAAATTGAAGAAAATCAATTAAAAGTATTTCCTCGATTTTATAGGGAGAGACAATAATATGGTCTAGATTGTTTTTGAACACCCTGTATATCTCGTAGTCAATGATTCTCAGGGTTTTTGTGTTTGTTGCTATGGTGATTCGGCGGGTAATCGCGAGATCGTTCCCACGTTAGTACTTATACGTACGTCATTGTTAGAATTTTTCGAAGTGTATCCTTACATGATATTAAGTATGAAGGTTACTTGTCAAAAAAATCTTTTTTTGATATTACTGTATAATCAGATAATTGAGAGCACGATTGAATTTTTGTTTATTTTACAGATCGGTATGGTGTTTGGTCGTCATCAGACAATGGTAAATTGGTAAAATGATTTTATTTTTGAATCTTACGGTATCGAGACCAAAGTCGGATATACGTATGTTGAACCGGAAGTTTTCTGTAGGAGTTGTCAGATTCGTACTTTTGATTTACAGAGGCGAGCAAACAGCAAAATCATCGAGATACAAAGTAACAGGCGAGATACTTTCAAAATCGTGGGAACGGAAGATTTATTGATTTTATATTTTGGAATTTTTCTTTATTTTCAAAATCGATCTAAAATCAGGTAACATCCGTTTCCGCGATCTAGTCGTACTCTGACAGAGTGCGCATTAACATCGAGAGAAATTTTGGAGAACGGTACGCGATAAAATCGGCGAGCTTTGCCGATTTCGCGAACGTTATGCACATCGACGACATTGCAAATGGCGACAGACACATTTTTGTATAGAGAATAGACACGCTAGTGGTATGAAAATAATAAATAAATAAATAAATAGAAGTGAATACTTCTATCAGAAAAGTGTGCATTACGTCACGGAATTTGGATTACTGAAGGGTCGCAATTTTTAAGTGAAAATTCGAAGATTCATATTCGCGAACCGAAAGGATCAGTTTTTCGCAACGATCGGAAAGCAATCGCGAAATGAGAGAAGAATCTCGTATTGTTTTTTTAGCGAAGAAAATTTTTTTTCCCGCGAACATGTAAAATTTCCTAAAAGTTCGGTGGACCGTGTGTGCGTGTGGGTAAGGTGCAGATTTTGAAAGTGGGATTTTCTAGGTATTATGAGAGAGTTTGTCAAATCGTACAAATTTCGAGGTGGGTTTTTGAGGACATCGAAAATAAAAAAATACATTTTTTTTTTCTTATTCATCGTCCATACAAAAACGGCTTAACACATTTAATTCTTTCCATCCTTTTTTTTCCTTTCATGTTCCCCACTTCTGTCTTCCGTTTACTTATTATCATGTTCTCTCTCTCGCTCTCTCACTCTGTCACTCCATCTCATTCTTTCCTGCTCTCTCGCTTTGCTTTTGTACACACGCAATATACTACTATCGCTTATTCGTCTTTGATACACATTTTAAGGTTATTTCGATCGCCACATACGTCACTCGTACGCACGTCTCAATTCGTCAACTTTCTCAATGCGTTACTAGAATTACATTCCGTTATCGCAAGCACGTCAAACGTGATGTACACATATGTATCTATGTACGTAAATATATATATATACATATATATCACACAATTTGGGAAAGTACCGCGAAATCCTTGTATTAAGCACGAATTCGCCCTCGTTGCAAATCAGTTTATTTCCACTCGCGTGCACGTAATACCGAATCCCCTAAGATTTTTCGTAGAATCGAAGAGCAAACTTTTGCGTAAATCTTTGGTAAAATCCAAACACTGCGATTGGGCGAGAGGTCGAGAGAGTACGTAATTAAGAGTGAACTTACTTCGCAAGAGGGTAGCAGGCAAGGCGGTAGAAGGTTTGTGGGACGTCGGGGGCGGGGGGGGGGG